CCGCCCCGCCGTGCGATCCAATTTCTCAATACCATACCCCCGCGGTAGTAATTGGGGATGAAAATCGGGAGCTGACCGCGGCGTATCAGGTCCTGCTCGTCGGGCCCGGGGATCATGGCACGCAGCGTGTTGTAAGCGCGATCGACGTCGTCGATGGTGTACAAGGCCCAGGCGTAAAAGGCGGCAGCGTGGTTGTAGACAGATCCGTTTTCGCCTTGGCCTGGGTACTTTTGCGTTACGCGGCCGACGTCTTCGCGCATGGCTGTGAAGGGAGGGCCGAACATGACGACGCCGTAGGGAGTGTTGAGTTGGGCATCGACTTGTGGGAGTATCTTTTCGATTTGCTGGGATGAGGCGGCGCCCCCGAGGATAGACCAGGCTTGTGGGTTCAGCCAGATGCGGCCTTCTTTGTCGTCGGAGATTCCAAAGGTGACGTTGTCGTCGGTGATGCCGCGGGCGTACCAGTCGCCGTCCCAGAGATGCTCGTTTGCGGACGCATTTACTTGCTGGGCGCCCGAGTGGTATTTTTGTGCATCGGTGGGCTTGTCGAAGTCGGTGCAGATGCGGGCCCAGAGATTTACTGCGTACGCGGTTGCGACGGTGAGCCAGCCGGATACACCAACGCCTTTGGGGCCGACCATGTTCATCGGGTCGCACCAGTCGCCTTGAGCGATGTACGAGAGACCGCGGGCGTCGCGGGCGTTGGAGGAGAGGAGCCAATCCATGGCCCGGCTGAAGCGTTCGAAGACCGTGTAGGTATCACCATACATGCTGGTGACTTTTTCGTCAAGGAATTCATAGTCGCCTGTCTCACTCAGGTAGATCTCCAGGGCGATGGGGAGCCAGACGCAATGATCGGTATGCGGTATTTGGTTGATGTACTTGAGCACCGCGCCTTTTGCGAGCAAGATACCATCTGGCATGGAACCGTTCTTTTCTTGCTGGCCAACCGCTGTCAATATCGCTTTTCGAGCCACATCTGGCTTGATGAAGCTCATTCCCATGTTGTCTTGTAGATAATTTCTTGTCTGGGGATCGGTCGTAAGACGATTCACATCGCCGTGGTAGTACAACTGTCGTGGTAGCCAGTTGTTGACAAGGTTATCGAGGTCCTTGTCCGGTGTCTCGAGATGTATGCATCCGCTACCTTTCTGAATGTACTCTTCGTAGTCTTTAGCAGCTTGGGCAAATGCCATTTTGCTAAGGTATTTCTTGCGCATATCGAGAATCTCTGCCTCGTCATACGCAGGGCCGAATAGGAACCGATACTCTTTACTCTCATTCTTGTCCAGGTCAGCCACATATTGCACTGCCGCAGTTGGAGTCTCGTAGCGAGCGTCGCTGCCTGATAATCGTGGCTGTTGCAGGGCAGATGGCGCTTGGAGTCCTCCCTCACCCTCGAACGCTTCCTGCTTTGCTTCCCACGCCACCGGCGGCGTTTCGCACAGGAAATATGTCTTGTCCTTTAGATACTTGGTTTTCGGGTAATCTTCAGCTTTTTGATATGGTGTTTTGCAGCTTCCAACAACGCCCCCGACATTTTCGTTCCATTCCGCTTCCTGATTCATCCACGACATGTAACCCAGGGGAAAGTAAGGATAAATGCTCAGTTTTCGCTTACGATCTGAGATATTGGTAACCTTGATGCTCCACAGCTCGGCGACATCATCTGTCGGCAACAAGAAGGTCATCTCAACACGTACGCCAAGTTTCTCTACGATCCACTTGATGTCGCTCTTACCCACGTCGAATGTAAACCGATCTAGTTTCGCCCGGACAGGCTCGTATGGGGCGGAGAAGATCTCGCTGGTTTCCTCATCTTTGACATATACAAAACGGCCGGGATGATGCGCGTAGTAATTTTGCTCCGGTTGCATGAATGTTTTGGCTTCGAGATTCGGGGCGTAGGCGTACTTGGCGGGTTCAGGTTGCATGTACTGTGCAGTTGCGAAGCCACGGCAAGTTACTTGAATCATCATACGTTGATTCCACAGAAATGCACCCGCTTTTGGCATCTCGGTTGGGCTAGTGAGCTCATATCGCTCTCCATTGTGCGTGGGTTGTATCATATTTGATGATGAGGGCAAAGTAGCCGATTGTGGTGCCTACGATAGTTCTTTATACCGCAAAGGGCTGGTTGGTTACATAAGATGTAGGTGCCAGCATGGCTTGGAGTCGTAGCTTACTGTGTTTAGTGGCACGGTAGTGGCGCGAGAGGCGATGTAGGACAATGTTGCGCGTTGTTACAAAGACCTAGCTCGTGTGCTAATCAAGTATATACCGCAAGAACAAGAGTGAATGCTGATAAACTGTGGCTGCAGAAGAGGGCTGTTGATACATCAATAAGAAGATGCACAAGAATTGAAGCACGAGACGTTGTTTGAAACGAAGGTCCGGCCAGCGCAATCGTAGCAACAGCAAACGAAGCGTGTTTACGAAGTCCTGAGTCGTCCCGTCAATGGATGGCTCCTATAAGTACAAGCTTCGCGACACAATAAGCCGCACAGCGTGGGGCTAAGCGAGTAGCGGTGTGGGGTTCAGCCTGAAAGGGTACGGTCCAGGGCGCGGAGACGGTTGTTCGGTCCGCAACGCCTTTAGCCACCCGTGAGGCATTACTCAAGTCCCATCACACACATGCACCAAAACATCAAAGTGCCGCATCGTCAAATCGTCGCCTGGGACCAAGCTGCAAGATTGCGCTATCCGGCAATCCGCTTTTAGTGGGACAGTAACGTCGATAAACAGATATATGTGGCGGCCCAAGCGCCAATTCGTGGAAACCTGTGTAAAGCGTGTCAGCTGGTCAGGGTAGGGTGACGGGTGACGCGCAAAGACGGTACCCTACCAGTGCCGAACTCCGCAGATTTGACGACCACCCACAGAAGCGGTACCGCTCACAGTTCTGTACATAGCGTGCTGCAGCCCTGCGGCAATTGTTGGGCGTAAAGGCGCATCACCGGGAGTGCTATCATTGGCTCCGCCCACGTATCAATTTGTGAGGGTCAGATGGTGTACTAAGAAGCCAAAAATGTGAACTACGTAACGTGGGCTGTAAATCGGAATAGAGCATTACCCACGCGACTGTCGTGCCTTCATATAGGCAACCAATATGTCGTGCGTCAGAGTGATGGCCATCTTCAATCACTTCAAACACAGAATAGCCTCCTCTCACCTATCACAACCACCAATCAATCTTCAGTCTGCTTCTCTCGTCCAATATCCTCTTGCTTCGTCTCTTTCCTAGGCAACCTTACAATCTTCACATACTTCCCTGTTTCAGGATATGGCTTCTTTGCTGCGATTACCGGAGTCTTCTCCCACCATGACAGCGATGCAGCAACGCTTGTTCGAAAGTACCGGACCTTTCCATCTCCATCGATACTCAGGTAGAATTCTTGTTCCATGTCATCTTGAAAGACCCCGTAAAACCCGCCCTCCACACACCCGCCCTCCACACCAAGAGGTCGGTTAAACAACTCCTTGGTATTGCTGTGCACGTCGTAGACGAGTTTGGTACCCTGCACTGATTCGACATAGAGAAGGTTTCCTTCTTTCATCCATCCCACAGCTTGAATCCCAGCTAAGTAGCGCCAGGTTTTGTTATCATCCAACTTCAAGTGCTGAAGAATCTTGCCATCTGGGCCGTCAAACGGATCCCAAACGTAGACATTCCTCTCAACGCAAAGTGCAATTTGTGATCTCGTGGGATGCCACTTGAGGCACCGGCACCAGTCAGAAAATCGTTCCTGCATTGTCGACATCTGCCGTCCATTGCAGCATCATGAACCTGCACGACTCGACCGCCTTGGTGGCGTGCGCAAATAATGAACTTTGAATCAGGCGAGAATGCCCCAGCCCAGCTTTGCATGTTATTTTTCTCTGTAGCCCACACAAGTTCGCCAGTAGACACAGAATACATGCGCAGAGATCCGTCCCAAGATACGGAAGCGGCGTATGTGTTGTCAGGGCTGATCGCAGACCACGATATGATGTTTGTATGGCCCATGAGGCGATGAAGTTCGACACCTGCGTCCACATCGTAGATGACTAACAGAGGTAGTTCTTCCGGCTTCCGCTTACCTCGTTGAGTTGATTCATTATTGGCGTGATACAACAACAGCCTACCGTCGCTGGTGAACGGAACTGATTCATAACCCCCAATCAGGGCGTCCTTGATGACGTTGTTGTGGCGCCTACGGTGGTTGATTGCTGCTTCGCTGAGTGCTTTGGTGAACTCTTTGTGTAGGTTTGAGGCATCGATGAAATCTTTAGTCCATTCATGGTTTGTTGTGAGGGCGGGGATGATTGCATCTATCGCTTGCTTGGCAAGTGCAGCAGAATCAATTGCTTCCTCCTGGTCAAGGAGACGGCCATGATGATCCAACTCCCAAAACATGAGCTGAGGGAGCTTTCTTTTGTAGCGCTCTTCTCCGCACGCAACCGAACACACGAGGGTATAACCAGGTCTCATCGCGTTGTCACCAGTGCTTTGCGAGGCTGCATTTCTGTTGTCGGCGGCCTTCCAGGGTCGAAATCTCACAATCCCAGCACCTTCTAGGACGACTCGTAGGTCCCGCGACACGATGTCGTAAATCAAAATACGGTCTGCACTCGTGCTGATGGCTAACAGTTTCCCATCAGAGCTCACGTCGGTATGACTGGTTTTGAGAGGAACTTCTTTCTCTAGTGGTATATTGAGGCTGTAATCAATGACATGATAAGCTTGTGGCCAGTCTTTTGGGTGGCCTGATGCGAACTGGGCCAGAATGCCAGCTTGTTCGAAATCGCGCTCGGGTTTGTTTGGGAAGACATATTGTTTGAAAAAGTCACCGCGCAAAGTGCTGACAGCCATATTGCGAATGTATCAGTTGGGCGAAACAGTTATTCAGATGTCATAACAGTGAGTAGTGGTCAGCTGCCTGGCCGACGAAACGGGCATAGATCGGCGAATGACGTCCCCCGGACTAGTCCTCCTACAACTACGAGCGCGTTTAGTATCAGCATCACGAATCGGACCAGCGCGTCAAGAATGGGAAACTAGAATTAAGTCCACATTTATAGTTCGGTTCTGTATGAGCTGAAACGAAACACCAATCCCATCTATGTCGTGCACCCATCAAAAGCTCAACTGCCCCGAAGGTCCAGGAACGAAGAGGGTGCAGCAACAGGGTAAAGGCGCCAGATAGGCTCATCGTTTCGCAGTCATTAGCAGGCTACAGCTGCGGAGCAGCTCATGCCTACCGAGACCGAGAAACATTGTTCTGGGGCGTTGCCTTTGCCCAGCAGCCACGCGTCCAAAGACGAAGGGAGAGCCCTAGCTGCTGAACCCACAAGCGAAGTACGGAGACAACGAATGTGTGACGCCCGTGATTAAAACAAACATACTACGAGAATCTGCAGACTCTAATGCAAAAGCAGAGCTTGTAGCCTACTTTGAAAGCTACAATGCGACAGCGTTGTTCGCAGCCTGCAAAGGCGGATATTGCCAACATCAGTCGCGTAGCTTTTCTGCCCCTATGCAGAGTGCTTATTCTCCAAGAGAGTAGAAAAGCAATAGTGGCGATTGCTGTGGACAGGATCAGAGTGTGAGTGTAAGAGAAGAAGGAAGAAAAGGGTTCGCAATTAGCGTAGACGCTTATTTAGCGCGCCTTATTATAGCTTAGCGTGTCTAATGCGATTCACTGCCGGCTTATGCTCTTAGTAAGAAGCTCTTGTGAAGCTGTAAAAAGGTGAGCAAAAAAAAGTTCTTCTTAGACAGCGCCGCTGCTTGTTTCCTGAGCTCTCTGGGGGTTTTTTGTACTTACAAGAAATCCAATACCCGCAATCGTATGAGAGAACTGTGCACGTCAGCGAGTCACAAGCGGGGTTGGGGCCTTGCCTGGAGAGTGAAAGCGGGGAGGATTTTTCGAATGCTGTAAATACGCCTAATGCCGTAAATACCTATTATTGACGTTAGCGGGATTCGAACTCTCGATCGTTAGAGATACGAGAGCGCAGTAACTAAACCGCCACGCTGGCTGAAGAAGAACTTTATTGATACAATGCTGACGGCTTACAGAAATCATATAGTGAAGAAGTGCCCATAGATCTCTCCTCTATGCAATTAGGTATGAAAGAAGTGGTAATGAGCTTCGCAAACTAACGGGGAGACACGATGAAGCGAGAGTGAAAGGGAAAGCCTGCTGTGGGAGTCTGATGGTGCTTTTGACCCCCGCACGATATGGCAACAGCACCATTACGTGATAGAACTTGAAAACAAAGGTCTGCAGCCTTTTGCATCATGAGAACCCTTGGCCCCTCGAGTAGATGATGGGTACCAGCAATCCCCTGTCTTGATACAGTGCATGTCTTGTATGAGTTGAAGCCCTATAACATGCAATGGCCCCGAGAATGGCGAGGCACCATGGCAGTCGTCCCAACGAGCCTCACAAGACTAACACGTCCAAATGAATTTGAACGATGCACCAGCTTCGCGAGCTCAAGAGGACTCGCACCCTTGATGGGGGGCACGCCAACGTATACCTGAGGCGACATGAGATGAAAGGCTGAACGCAACCCTTCAGGAGAGAAGCAGACATCAGAGACAATAAAGTAAAGTGATAATCGGTGACCAGGATGTGATAGACATGATGAGATGTTGTTGTGACTGGAAGTGATGGGAGAAGACATTCATGTAGAGATTTGAACAAGAATAGCCCGTGTCAATCCTGGACGAGCCATGATTTAGAAATGACTTTGGAAGAAATCAATACCATGATGCAGGGTCATGGCGGTACAGGACGTTTTCTCTATATGTGATGAAAGAGACGTCCAACATGTTCCATGACTGGTTGATGATGTCGAAGTTCAAGCCCATGACTAACGGGCGGTAAGGGGTTGCATGCTACCACAGGAGATGCAGAAAGCCAATCTGCATCGCAAACAATCGCCCGTTGGAGTTAAGGCAGCCTACGAGGTCGTGGTGGTAGAAAACATCGTCGAAAAACATGGAGGTTTGATTTTGCCGAACGATGTGGCCGGCGCTTGTCAGACAGGGCGGGGGTCATCGGCAGCTTCAACGCCTTGCCGGCTCCATGTCCGCAACACCAATTTCGACCCCACCACGTCCAAGATGGCGCCTTCGAGGGGCTTGAGTATGTCTTGCGCTCGGAATATGTTGTCAGGACATGTACTTGCGCATTCCAAGGCTTGCACGGTTCGTGGCAGCTGCCTGACGCTTCCAGCGAGCATGACAACGCCTTCTCCGAACGACATGTGCTTTGCTCAACACCAACATGCCTTGCGCGCCTTCCAGGCATGCTCCAGGGGGCAGTATACAGGCAAAATGGCTCTGAGAGATGGCTGCAGCTCTCTATGGCTCCCTGCCAGCAAGACAGCGCGTGCCACGATGAATGCACGTCTACTTGGACGACACGCTCTGTGTAGCTTTGGGGTAGATGGCCGTAACTTCGGGACATACTCCGGGCTGCAGCAGGTGTTTGGTAACAGCAGTAGCTTCTCATCGCTTCTTTCTCCGGATAGCACGCTCCTCTCCCGACCGCGACATGCCCTGGGCGCCCTCCGAACATGCTCTGGTGCACAAGACACGACCAAGACCAATGCCCGGAGGTACTACTCATCCAGCGACTACTCGTCTTTTACGGAGAAGCTTGAAGACCCCACGAACAAGCTGCAGAGCTACATTTCGACCAGCCGCGACCCCTACCTCAATCTATCCATTGAGGACCACATCCTCCGGAAGAGCCCTGCCGACAGCACAGTCCTGTTCTTATACGTGAACAGGCCCTGCGTCGTCATCGGGCGCAACCAGAACCCGTGGACAGAGGTGAATCTGGGTATCCTCAACGCTGCCCGCGGAACACACGAGACCAAAGATACCGAGCCGCCAGGCATTGGCACCGTAGACCTCGTACGCCGCCGTTCGGGGGGAGGTACCGTCTTCCACGATGAAGGCAACCTCAATTGGAGCATCACATGCCCCCGAGGCGACTTCACACGCGACTTGCATGCTGAGATGGTTGTCCGTGCACTGCGAAGCCTGGGCATCGACCGCGCCAGAGTTAACGAGCGTCACGACATCGTGCTCGATCAAGGCAGCGAGAAGCGGCTCTCAAAACCCCAAGACACCCATCGTACATCCTATACCGTCGAGGAAGGCAAGCTGCCGCGAGCTCTGAAGGTCTCCGGCTCAGCCTACAAGCTCACGCGACTGCGCGCTCTACATCATGCCACGACTCTACTGAGCTCCCCGAACCTACACATCATACCCCACTACTTGCGATCTCCAGCAAAGGATGTTATACAAGCTCAAGGCGTTGAAAGTGTCAGCTCGCCTGTAGCGAACATTGGTTTGGATGTAAAGACTTTTCAGCGTCATCTCCAAGCCGAGTTTGCCGCCATGTATGCTGAAGTGGGAACTCCAAGCATCGTACAAACAGTCGGAGAAGATTATCTGAACATCCCAGATATCCGGAAGGGGTACGACGAGCTTCAGGTACGTCTTTTTCTTTTGAGTTGCATCGTCATTCCCGCTAATTGCCACAGACTGATGAATGGATGTGGTCCCAAACACCTGCGTTCCGCCTTGTGCTCAATTCTAAAAATGACATCGGAATCGCAGTGAAAGTACATCATGGCGTGATCAAGAGCCTTGAGTTTGAGAACTCTGAAATCGCTGACATGTCTCGAATGGCCCTTCGTACCGCGCTGGTCGGTCTAAAAATACAAGATATCAAGAACTGGACAAGATTCTTGCAGAAACGCGTCCGGTCATGGGATCACGGCTTGGCGAAAGTGGCAGGTCGTCTCGATGAGCTCTTGCCGATACCTGAAATCTCTGGCTCTTGACTTCATTTGTTGCAAGCAAGTGCAAATCGCTCGCAATCCGTTAAGAGTTGTGACGGTCGGACGCTGATAGTGTGAGACTTGGCCGAAGATAGCCATCCAGACATCGGTATAGTACCAAACGCGCTTGGTGCAGTTGAAATATGCCCACCCCTGTAAGAGAAAGGACATGAAGACTACCCCTGTTCCGAATCATGCTTGTCCTGAGCGTGACCGCCGACGTTCAGCAATCGCGCCAGATGCTTCGCCAGGTATGCGATGAGTCGTTCTATGTCTTGTTGCTCGTGTCCGCAAGGTATCCAAATCAATATCATCTCCCCAGGCTCTCCGAACCGCTGCCTCCCCGTGTATAAGGCCGGAATTTTCGGAGAATGATCCGTATAGGGCTCTTCGCGTGGACCCTATGGCTTAGTCTTAGTCCTTCTAGATCGTCTGGCAGTGATGTGGTTCCACAGTCGATAAAAACCCGATGCGCCAAGTTTCACCTGCCAGATGGACTTGGCCAGGATACAGTGATGTAGGTCTATCGTCAACATCCGGAGCAGTTGAGCCTGGCGCGACGGCTTCCTGTCGATTACGAGGCGATTACTAGTAAGTATCGCTGACAGGCAAGGAGCATGCCGTCGTCATGAGCGTGCTGTTGTCATGGAGTCCCTGCAAGACGTCATGGACAAGGTTCGTCTCGCATGGTATCAATGTCACCATCATCCACAGCCTGGTACCGTTATGGTCTGTGGAGGTGGAGGGCTGTATAGTAACTCCGTCAGTAAGTGGGTCCTTATTGTCGGTCTTTCTCCGGTTTACCGCCATCATGCAAGGTGTATACCTGCTCTCGAGGATTGATAGTCGGGAGCGATCGAGTCTGGCGGGGACCTCGACAAGTTTGACAGATGTTGTTCCCCGGCTTTCAGCGTCGTTATCCGTCGGTCTGCTCAAGGGTGAGTATAGGGCCGTAGGGCTTACGAGGGTTCGTTCGGTGGTCTTCGATGAATGTGGGCAGATGTGGTTCTCCATCATGGGGTAATTCCACGTCAACTCCCATGCAAGCCGGTGCGTAGGCTGTTGCAAAGAGGCGCTAACCCTGTTCGTTGTTAGTGTGGTTTGAAGGCTTGAGGCAGCTGGCTCACACGGCATTGCGCTCAAATGTTGAAGCATCCCTGAGGCGCCCTTAGACCAGGTGAGGCGCCCTTGGACCAGGCCTGCAGCTTTCCTCAAGCTGGATCTACGCGATCTTCGGCGCTGTCGAACACTCTACTGGTCTGTATGGCATACGATGAAAGTCCGCATGCATGTTAGTTCCTTACCTCAGCTGCATATGGCATGTGAGTGAGGCGATGCAGGAGATGCGCTCACTTTCTTTAAGCTGTATCTTCATGCTCCTCAGCGCCGCCTAAAGCTCCGCTGGTCTGCATGGCTCCTGATGCTAGGTCCTTTACCTCGGCTGGATGTGGCGTATGAGCATGGCGATGCAGGAAATAGGCGCGACACACCAAGCCTTCGATGTAAGAAGTGGACTACACGAGGATTCGGAAGTCGAGGGACTCAGGATCGCAGCTGAGCTCATGTAAGAAGAATTTAATGTGCAGAATCGCCGGCGCAAGGAGTAGAGCTGTAAGAAGCCCTGCGTCAAGGTCTCATGGCGGGTGCTTATGCAGACTTACATGGTGGTGGATTTCAGTGCTGCCATTGTCGTTGTGGCATTACAGCGAGACAGGAGCAGCGTCTAAGATACACCGGGTGCGGGTGTATACCTGTAATGCTGATACTTGGGAGAGGGGAAGAGGGGCAGGTGTAAGTGCCTCGTCGAGCGTAGACCCCCATATTGCCCACTAGCGCCGTTATTGCTCAGAGTAGAACAGCAAGACAGCGACATGTCGGGCATTTGGATGCACAGCGCCAAAGGCTCTGCAATGTTCTTCTCAGGACCCCTGTAGGATTGCTGAAGCTGGAAATGTAGCTGCCTTCACCCAGGGGTGGCTATGATTGCTTCAGCAGTTGAAGCTATATCAAGCTCAGCTTCAGTCTCCCCACCTTCTCCACAACAGCTACAGCAGCAACAGTTACTTCTTTAATCATTCCAACAAGAAACCTTTACAGTCGAAACACGATGAAAAACTTCCCTGCGTTTGTGCTGTGCCTGGGTTGCAACCCAGCCCCTAATCGTATGGTGTCACGTCAAGAACATCTGGCAGAGCTTGTGGGGCATCAGCGACGATGTGGATTGGAGTTGATTATGAAGCTCCCTCCATTCGGGTATGTTTACAGGCTACATTTGCACCGGGACAATGCAAAAGAAGGCAAAACAGTACTATCATCCATGGGCCTAGCCCGCGACCCGGAGTGATTCGGCTGAAGAGTAGCCTCTAGCCCGGTGGAAATCGCCACCCCAACACATTCACTTCCCTTTTCGCGCTCCTTGCGCTTGCGCTAGCCGACTCATCATACACTCGGTACCTACCCACCCTCACCCAAGACCACTCTTGACCGCGACTCGATCTTCAACCAAACTACCACCGCAAAATCCGCAACCAACCCAACCCTGCAAACCTGCACCACAACAACGTCAACAATGTCTCACTCTTCAAGCTCATCTTGGGCCACAATGTCCTCGATGCACACACTCTCCGAGGTGTCATACGACCTCAGCGCCGACCTGTTTCCGGACTTCGACGGCGCATATATCGTTCAGGAGAATCAGTGGAGGCCAAGCGATACTGGTGCTGAGGATGGGGAGACACATTCATGTACGGCTTCTAAAGCACTTGATGATGGAGGCACGCGAGGTGATCTTCTTGTTCCAACAGTGGCTGAAGGCAAGGCTGAAGACGAGGGTGGAACGAAGCGTGCTTGTAGACTACATCAGGTAGTGAAGTGGCTTAGGAAGATGATGAGGTGTTGGTAGGGGGGATACAGTGGAGCGATAATACGACGAGTATGAGTTGTTGATGTCTAGGTATCTTTGAGGTATTTCATGGAGGCGTACAGAGGACATGAATAGATTGAGGACCTCCTAGGTTAGTGGAGGGCGGAGCGGAATGGGGCTGCCATAAGCGTTGTAGACTCTAGGCTGCATGTACTATACTGATGTATCGAAACCAAACTAACTGGTTAGCACATGCGGGCTTTTAGCTCCTGAAAAAACACAGATGTAGAGATATGTAGCAGACTCCCGAGAAGGTCGCTTCTTTCAGTCCCGAGGTCTTGGCAATCTGCGGTCTGCACGCTTGTGGAGTTTCAGCCTTTTCCGCATCGACCACTCGCCATCGCACTACCAAACTCCATCGGAACCGGTGAACGGCTTCATCTGAGTTGAGGTCAGAAATCTGCAGGATGCGCTACGCGTTTCGATATTGAACCAATCTCCTCGATGTCAAAACCTTGGTGCCGGTCGGTTCGAAACGCGGGCTGCCCGTCAGACAGCCGTCATCAGGATTAGCTGCGTTTCAGGTGAACTGCCAACACAACACTACATCAGCTTTTGGCTGTGTTGCCTACTGCTGAGATTTGCATATACCTATACACGTCTTGGGGTGGACACCGGTGGTATGATGCAATCCTTTGCGCTGTGCGCATTTGAGCCTGTCTTTTCCTTGCCTCTTTGTTTGAATATCATCACTGTTAATTTGCACCATGAACGATTACCGACATATTGGTGCTGGTCCACAACATGAATACAATGCGTCAATGAGCTCAGACTACGAACTACTAGACATCACCTATCCTGAGTGGCAGGATCTTCAAAGTCGACTGCATCAAGTCGTGGACTTCAGACAGATTTCTCAAGGTGCGAACATCAATTATCAGTTTATATGAGAATTACAGACTAACTGTAAGTGCAGATAATCATGAGCAGTATCTTCAACCATGGCCTGGCAACAACCTTGAGTACCAGTCGTTTAGCAATCCGAGTCACCTTTCAGATTCCAGCTTTGCGTCGACAGTATCAAGTCAACGGTCTTCCAACTACAGTAACTTCTCCGCTCCACCAAGAGGCTCAATATCGTCTTCCATGTCAACATGGTCAAATAGTCCCAATATCTCATACGACCCTCGTCAGATACACGCCGATTACCTGCAGGATAATGCGCTACCAGCTCGGAATTCCTATAACCAGATGAGATTAGATGAAGTCATCTTGCCAGCTGCAACAAGAAGAGCGATTAGGCGGCCGTCTACACAAGAGAAGGATTACTTCAGAACATGTGTCTCAGCTAGCAAACATTCCCGGTCCTGTAGCAAGGAACACAAGTATTTCTGCACAAGCTGTGAGAGATTTTTTGTAGAAAAAGCAGACTGGAAAAGGCACGAGGAAACCTACCAGGAGCGACCGGAGATGTTCAAATGCGACCTCTGTCCCGCGATATACTTCCTCGAGAAGGACTTCGCTACACACCACGTGCAATCTCATCGATGTGCTCCTTGCGCCGAGAACATCAGGTGTAACAGGAAGGCCCACGTACTTTCGGCCAGAAAGCAGCGCATGAATCGAACAGGCTGGGGATGTGGGTTTTGCTGTCATTTCAGCTCTGACTGGACCGAGAGATGCAACCACATCGCTCAGCACATTGAGAAGGAAGGTCTCACGAAATCAAGATGGTATCACAGCAAGGTGATCCTCTCCTTATTGCAACGGCCAGAAGTGTACTACGAATGGACAAGTCTGCTTCGAAGCGCTCAACCACGCATCACAACCTGCTCATGGAATCAGCATTCGACAGGGCGGGTTGAAGGCTATCCGGAGAGTAACCCCACTCCGCAGCTTCAGGATTATCTTGAGTATTTCAGCCCGGATCAAGACGCAGCGTCACTGGCGCAGCTGGCATTTGATAAGATGGTCAAGATTACCGCGCCACCCCCAGTACCACCTAAAGACTACCGCAATACGTCACTTCGGGACTTGACAAGAGAGACGGAGTCATGGACACAGTTTATCAACTCGGTTGTTGAGAACGATGTTTTTCCTACAGGCGTTTGTCGTATCGATAGATGGTAGTAGCCTGCACACACTAATGTATAATATCAAACCATGTAACAAGCCAGTATTGCCTTCACGCGCGTTGCATTCCACAGCTCAATAAACTTGAGAATTTCACGGACAAAACATAGCACTAATTCCATAACGTCGTATTAGAAGCTATCGATTCGACGCGTGTTGTCTGCTTCAATCCATCACCACCCCTCCAACTCCTCGCCCTTCGTCTCCAAGCTCGGCGGCTGAACCGGCATTCCATTTTTCAGCGCCGCAACAAGCGGATCCTTCTCCATCATATTCTCTATCTTCTCTTCAGTGCTAACATCAGTCTTAACACGCTTGTACGCCATCCTCGACGGCTTATCAATGACATCCGCGAACTTCTTCCTCCTGGCTTCTGACCAAGCACCCAGCAGCTTCTCGTCGCTGAACGCCTGTCCTGACAAGATGCGAACCAGGACATCAGACAGCGACGCCGCGTCAGCCATACCTGACGCAAGACCGAGACCCGCATACGGATTCGTCAAGTGTGCCGCATCACCTATAAGGCAAGTACGAGAAGCGCCATGGTACAGTGTAGACGCCAGACGCTGATGAGCTTTATAAGGCGCCACCCTAACCACCTTGTATACCACCTCACCCTTCTCATCCCTACCCTCATTTGGCAACATAACCCGCAGTCTCTCATCCAAACCCCCTTGAATCTCCTCCTCTGACATACCGACAGGCACACCGTACGAAACGCGCCACAGCAACGGCTCACCATCTTTTTGGGGACTAATACGACCGATGAGTCCATAACACTGCGGATCTATGATGAAGTTGGCATCAAAGAAGCCGTGGGCGTGGAAGTCAAAGTACAGGTCTGTGGCTACGAGCTGGGCGTCGAGGGTTTCACCGTCAAGGGAGATGGCGAGGTATTTCCGGATGGTGGAGTGGGCGCCGGACGCGTCGATTAGGTAGGTCGCTTCTATTGATTCTTCGTTGGGCGTGATGTGGACGTGCACGCTGTTTTCTGATGGGGTGGATGATGTAACGCTGGATCCGAGTCGTATTTCCACTTTATCTCCAAAGGAGGCCAATCTCTTCATCAAAACCTCCTGAAACTTTCCCTGTGGTAGGAGTAGTTGACCTTTGCCTTTCATTCCTTCTCCCGAGTTGTCAAACGTCTTGCTCGCGATTACTTTACTGCCGTTTTCGAGGCTGGTTCGAAAGCAGAGTCCTGAACTTAGGCTTCCGGCTTTTACAAGTTCGGGTAGTAGGCCGTTGACTTTGGCAAAGATGGGGTAGGTGGGTGGTTGGTGGGCCATTGCTCGTGTTGATGTTGGGTCGGGTTGCTGGGGCTCGATGACGATGATTTTGTTGGGTATGTTTGACTGGGCGAGGAGAAGGGCGAGGAAGAGGCCTACGCATCCGCCGCCTGCTATGACTACGGGAAGAGTCATGGAATGGTTGCCATTCGACTGAGGAACGTCGTTGACTTTGGAGCTGCCATTAGAACCTGGGTTATCGAGTGTATGGTCACTCGCCGTGACATTTGTGGTCGCCATTTCAAATACAGCGAAGCCCAGATATTCGTGCTCTTCTCAACTCTAAGATATGGCTCCGAGGACATCTATCTGAAGTTGGGTTTTGTGGGTCACCTTGCAATGTGTCACATCAGTCGCCTGATGAATTTACCATCAGATGGGCTTGACAATTATATAAAGGGTCAACTCATCACATTGAATGATATCTTTATATAACAGATTCATTGGCCACACACATCGTCATTTTCTGGCGCAGCGCTGGTGTTGTCATGACGAGTATCCACCAAAGGCGGCCCCATGTGGGGAACCGATCTCGGAATCGGAACGCCTGCATACTTCGGAACCAGCTGCAGGAGGGCTCTCCCAACAATCCAGCGCTCTCAAAGACCACTCATTCCACAATCACGTCATCCAACTTGCGCGATATCCTCAACCACAGCGGTGGCTTGTCCCATAGAATGAAGCATCTCTGGTTATGCCAACCTTGACTCTCCTCACACAACTCAAAGTCGAAGTGCCACAGCAGACGCGCTAGGACTGAACGGAGTGTCAAGTAAGCCAGGCTGAAAGATTGCTCAGCATGTAACATGTTTCACGCGTGGAAGTACGACTTACTTCTTGCCAACGCAATTCCTTGGCCCGACATGGAATGGCTGTACACATCCCAACTTGTCGTTCTTGTATTCTTCGGGTGGGTCTGGTAGCCAGCGCTCGGGAGCGAAGGCCTCGGGGTTATGGAAGTTCCTGGTCGAGAAGTAGGTAGAGTATTGATGGACACCGACGGATATCAAGAGGCATATTAGCTAGTGTGAAACGGCTGCTGATCGCACATTTGACTCACATCTGCAGGTACGAAATACCCGGCAATTACATCGCCGTCTGGTCCGGTACGTCGTGGAAACGTACCTGGTACGGCAGGAAAACACCTCATGGACTCTTCAATGACGGCGTTTAAGTAGCTGAGTCGAGGTAGCGATGCCAGAGTGATTTCCTCGTCTGACTTGAACGCGGTGCGGACTTCCTCCTGCGCCTTCCTTCTTACTTCCGGGTTCCTAGCGAGATTGTAGGCAGCACCAGAGAGTACAGTCGCAGTAGTCTCAGACCCAGCGATGAGAGTAACAGCAGCAGTAATGTTGACCTCATCGGGTGTCATAGCAGGTCCCTTGCCACCATTCTCCTTTGTAATCTATGGCAGTCAGCCAGTCAGCCAGTTCCCACAGCAAACAGCCTCCGCCCCAACAAATCTGGAAACCAGAACTCACATAACTCATCACATCCCTAATTCCCGCTCCCCTTCTAATTCTCTCCTCCGCCTTCCCCACCGCAAACGCCATATGCGAATTCCTCAGCTCCTTCAACCTGGGCACAATCTCAAACGCCTTCTCAAACCCCCACCACAACACTGGATACCGTCTCGCAACCCTCAAATACCTCAAAAACTTGATCCCCTCAAATATCCGTTCTGTCCAAAAGTTAAATCGCTCCTGTTCCAGCAAATTGAAGCAGTCGTCTAGGATGAGCCGCGAGGCTATGTCGAACGCCGTGAAGTTGAACCATTGCGTCACGTCTACACGGCCGTTGGCGGGGCCGTCGATTTGCTGGAGGAGCTTGGAGGTGAGTAGCGTGAAGTAGTGGCGCAGGAGGGGCTCTTGGTCGCGAAGGGCAGTGCCGGAGAAGGCAGGGGAGACTTGTTTGCGGATACGGTGGTGGTCGGTGTCTGTGGATTGGAGTATGGATTGGATGTCGGATGGTAGGTCGACGAAGAAGTCGCGGTCTTTCTCCAGTTGGCGTTTGTTTGGTTTGGTGCCGTAGATGTCTGAAATGAGCAAGGAGTTAGTGAATGTGCTCGATTGTGCAAGTGGGTAATCAGGGAGGGCGTTGCGTACCTAGCCATGCTTTTTCGGATGTGAACGTCAGGCCATCCGGTACAACTCTTACGACTTCTCCGTATTTTTCGTGGAGCTGCTTGGTTGTAGTGTGTGAGTTGCCGAGGAAGATGTGGTAGAACTCGGGGAAGTAGAATGCGGCATGTGAGGCTGGGCCAGGGAATTTCGATAGTCGATGGAAATATACTTTGGCGGCGTAAGTATACGTAACCTTGTTTTGGGTGATGCTTAGAGGCTTTTAAGTGCTTACAGTTGTAGATTGCAACTCCCAGTGAGTATGTAAGATACTGGATTCATATCAGCGATCAGTTTACATTGACAATTCTATGGGAACAGACCCCAGCAAGGAAGATACCACTGAGATAGACAGCATTATTGATAGCAGTAGACATGATTTCAGTAACTGGATCTGTATGAAGGAAGGCTATTCAAAATGGCGGGGAAGCTTGATAGCTATAGAGATTACAATCATGCCGTGCCACATACTCCGGTGACCTAAGGTCCGGAAAATGCAGCCCAGCTGCTGACTGTTTCTCACCGGATCTGTCGGTATCACTATTGGTCATAAGCAGTAAGATGGTGCTACGTAGTCAAACACGAAATGAATCAGCAGGTACTTCATGGGAAAAGCTATCCCTGGGCCTGCGAGGACTGCATAGAACACTAAATGTAGTATAAGGAATTACACGAACTAAAAGAGGATCATGGTTATTCCACCAACATCTGTCACATTTTAACTCGTGTCCGTCATGTCAACACTCAATCCCAAGTTCTCGATTCCTGGGAATGAACATCATACGCATACTTGATCCCAATCTCGTACTCAACCAACGGAATCTGACCACTTGGGTTTCTCGCCTTCATATCAACTGCACTACTTTTCGATCTCGCCATCTTCTTAAACACGCCTCTCCTATTGGCACACCAAATCTCTCGCAGGCTGTATTGACCAGACCAAGCCCCTGCAATCAGCTTTCCACACGGGGCGCATAAGCTGGGTCCGTTTGCATGACCTTGGAAACGTCACATATGAGACAAAAATGTCGAGCGTAGCCCGTCCTTCGACGACCGCATGGTTTGATTATATCAGCTCGATCTAACCGCCCGGCTTCAACAAACCAGTCATGTTTGAGAGAACCTGTTTGACAACAACGCGTCGGGCGGCCGGGAGGGCCATGTCTTGATGCACCAGATCCTAAGTTCTGTTTCATCCTTCAGGCCATGTGTCTTTCATAGATTAGACACTCAGCCGGACCCAAATTGGCGGATTCGACAGAAAGTGTATTGGGGCGATGTCGGTACCAAGATGAATGCTGTTTGAATCAGCAAAAAGATTGGCTTGTATATCTTTGAGCTAGATACCTGAGTTGTAATTGAGTAAGCGAGGTTACTGCTCTCGAAGCGAAAATAGTATGCCTTGCCACGGCAGTAGCTAAATCTGGAATTCTTTAATCATTTTAAGAAAGATTGAGACGCGCCCATACTAGCTTGTTCATATGGTTTCTCATGGTGAATCAGTCGAGGCGAATACGCTCTGCGTCTTCCGGGTTGGCGTCAAGGAAGTAGTGCGTATCACTTTTGTCGGTAGCCATGACTGATGGTCGTTATGAAGCTGGAAGTAAAGATTCACTATTTATATTTGTCGGGGCATCAGTTTCACTGTATACTTCAGTCATACGACACGGTGTAGTCGCATATGAGGTCTCGAACATTGCGAATGACGTCCATACCATCTTCAAAGCATTTTTATCACTTACAGGCACTTCCGGAACTCGATTTGTACCTAAGGAAGACATCGAACGATTATTTTATCGAAGAATACAGGTAGGCGGTACAAGCGGAAGCAATCGTGCGCCTTCTAGATGCTGTGCCACAAGGCTCCTTCATACGCAACTCACCATAACGGATTTACCAAGACATACATGATAGCACCCGCCTGATTTTCCCTCTCAGTTAGAGTTCTTCTAAACATCATGTCGGCCATAGGGCTTATTGATGAAGGTGGAGAAACGTGCGTGAACTTGTTGTATTGGAGCTACGGGAGAAGAGAGAATATCTATGGTGCGCGCACGGAGCAGCTGACTAATCAGTGCCTGGCCAATCAGAGCACGGGAAGCCTGATTCACCGTGAATACTAGTGAAGGCTCTCACCGCGTCTCGACACTTATCCCTTGGCTCCTCCTTAGACAACCAGGCAGCCACCCATTTACCCGCTAGTACCTTGACGGCCTAGCTTCTTCACTCCCTCTTCCCAATGCGCATATAGACCTCTTTCCGATAGCTCTAATAAGACATGATTCTCCCCAACCTTGACGCTTGACACATCACATCACTCTATCCTCTCAATTGTTCATACACAAACTCGTCCGCAACTTCCCAATCACTTACCAAATATTTTCAACTATAATGCCCGCACCTTGGTGGCCAAAGCAAGCCCTCAGCATCGAAGGCGCATCCTTTCAAAACCTTCAGAGAGATGTCACTGATTCAATCGCTCGACAACTTATCAAAGAGCTTCCTCCGATCACAGAAACCTCCGTGGTCCACGACAACGGCTGCGGCTATGGAGCAATGACCATAGCAATCATGGAAGCCAACCCGCCAGTCGGCCTCCAGATCTACGCCACCGATTTCAATTTCAGGTTCCTTTCACAGCTGAACGCCAAGCTTACACAAAACCCGACATGGCCGGTCAAGGTCAAGACGATGGATGCTCAAAAGCTCGCCTTTGCGGACAACACTTTCGATATCTCCATCACCAACTTCGTCTTCGCAGGATTGCTCGATGACGTTGGTGCGGCCTCGCACATTCTACGAACCCTAAAGCCAGGTGGAACTGGCGTCATAGCTGTCTGGAAAGACATGCCCTGGCACGTCGCACTCGAGAACGCTCACCACAAGACTCGTGGTGCAGACAAGCCTATGGCACCTTTTCTCAGAGATAGCCAGTACAAAAAGGAGAAGATCGAGCAGGTCACTAAGAAAGCCGGTTTGAAGGATGTCAAGTTCATTGAGTTGAATGCTTATCTCAATTTCGGCACTGATATGAAGCGATGGGCACACCTGAGATCAATCAAGCTAGCTTGATAGCTTGATTGGAAGATTGATGCCAAGCCAATTCAATCAATCCAGCCAAACCTCATACAAAAACGCAATCAATCCAGCTGAGCTTTTCCGTGAGCTTGATTCAGATTGATAGCTTGATTGCCTTAAGTATATAGTAGATTTCGGTGATGAGGCAGCCATGAGGCAGCTTAGATAGCTGTAAAAGCTCTATACTGAGCTTTTTTTGGTGTTTTAGTTACGCCGTGTAACATTGAGTAATATCCGATAGCTCCGTGTAACTAGCAGCCAGCGCGTCGTCTCATATAGTATACTCCATCTCCATCTCCATCACCCACAATACTATATACTTTTGGTGTTGCAGATCTATCGCCGTATACCTCACCTCATCGTCGCCCTCATGCCGCCCAAAAAACGCGTCTCTGATAGCGCTCCCTCGCCTAGAAAGCGCGCGCGCGGCACTGCGAGCCAGCCCGTCGCGATCGACTCGCAGTCATATCAATCTCAGCCATCTGCTCTATCTCCGCCGCCTCCATATACACATACTTTCGAGTCGCGATTGCGCGAGTCGCAGCCCGAAGACGCTATCGTCGCGCCCGCCGAGGGCAGTGAGCAAGCTACGCTCGCTCCGTCTTCTGAAGCCGCCGACGACGCTGTAGATGAGGCTTTTGACGCCCATCTCGAAGACAATTATGATGGCATAGATTGGGGTCGCCTTAAGCTGTATACGAAGCCTATCACGACGCACCAACACAAGCGGAGTTGGATCTATCGCCACGGCTATCGCGTCGCTCTTCTCAAAGATCCAACCCGCGTATTCTTCATCTGCCACTGGTGTTTCAAGCACAAGCTCACGGATATTGGTATTGGGATATACAATACAAGCGCAGCAGTCTCGTCAGCCGCGCGCCACCTCAGCGAGCAGAAACCTGGCCATAGGCTAGTAGCACCAGGCAAGACTCCAGTTGCTAGTGTTTACAACGCGCTCACCACTGCGAGAGTCCCTATCTCACAGGCAGTAGCTAATCAGATTAACGGGTTTAGCAAGCAGCGCTTTAGGTTTGCCGCAGTAGACTGGCTCGTCGCGAACAACCACCCCATCTCTGAGTTCGAAACACCAGCTTTTCGACGCCTAATTGCTATCGCCAACCCACTTGCAGAAGCAGCGCTCTGGAAGAACCACAAGAGCGTCTCCCAATACGTCATACGACTGTTTGACTGGCTCAGGCCCCGCGTTGTCCACGAGCTGTCACAATCGCTTAGCAAGATCCATATAAGCTTTGACGGATGGACAACGAAAGGCGGCAAGCGCGGGTTTCTCGGTATCGTCGCCCACTACGTCAACTCAGATGGCAAGCTCCGAGACCTGCCTATCGCGCTGCCTCAGCTCACAGGCGCTCACTCCGGCGATCGATTAGCTGAGGTTGTATTATCAATCTTAGAGCAGTTTAGCATAAGCGAGCGCACACTCGGTTACTTCGTCCTCGACAATGCCTCTAATAACGACACCGCTGTCGCTGCGATTGCCCACGAGCTTAACTTCAATCCTATACACCGACGCCTCCGCTGTGGCCCTCATACGATCAATCTGATTGGGCAGAGACTGCTCTGGGGCAGAGATGCAGACTCATACAACAACGAGGGAGTTGACGAGCTCGCCGACGAGGCAGCGTTTATAAAGGAGTGGCGAAAGCACGGGCCTTTAGGCGTACTTCTCGATATTGTCAACTATATCCACACACCGCAGCAGTACAATCTTTTTGAGAAGGCGCAGCGTACAGCTTACCGTGAGCTACCTCACGACGCAGACGACAAGCTCACGATACTACAGCCAATCAAGCCAGTAGTCACACGCTGGAACTCATACTTCGACTGTTTTGAGCGAGCTATAAAGCTCGCGCCGGCCATCAACGCGTACGCGAACACCCACATACAAAATACAGCAAAAGAGGATATCTACGCCGACTCACAGGGCAAAAATCGGCCTGCTGCTCCACAGTGGATGAGATCAGACGGCCTCACAGCTGCCGATTGGGCTGTTGTTACCGACTATATAGAGGTTCTTAGGCCACTTAAAGAGTGTACAAAGCGCTTTGAGGGACGTGGCGAGTATAGCTTTGGCGCGATCGCTGAGGTGATCCCAACGTTTGAGTTTCTACTCACTCAATTAGAAGCTCGCCTCCTCTACTACGATTGCGTAGTCCATGACGCTCACGACGAGGCACCCGAAGATCACCTTCCTATTAATCTACGCGCAGCGCTACTTAAGGCGAACGAGTACTACGCTAAACTCGACGACTCGCCAGCTTACTACGCTGCTACAATACTCCATCCTCGCTACAAACACTACTGCGATCAAGCGTGGGCTGAGAAGCCTGACTGGCTGGCGCTTAATAATCTTAATTTCCAGGCACTGTGGGCGGATTACAAGTCGCTGCCGTTACCGAGGCCTTGCTACACACGCGCACCGAAGAAACCGAGCAATATTGACGACGCGATTGACGGCATTATTGATCCCACACGCGGCAATACTAAGGAGGATGAGTATGAGCAGTGGAAGCGCGAGCCAATCGTTGGCAAGGGCACCGATCCTATACAATACTGGTTCGGGCTGCGCGATCAATATCCCAACCTTAGTAAGATGGCGCTTACTATACTCTCTATACCCGCTTCAAGCTGTGAGTGTGAGCGCGTCTTCAGTGAGCTCGGAGATCTACTAGAGCCTCGCCGACGCTGTATATCACCTGAGCTACTAGCAGCACTACACTCAGTACGACGATGGAGACGGGCAGGTTTTGGTGGCGGCGACAACGACGATATGGGCCAATCAAAGCTTACCGACGAGCAGATGGACGTTTTGTACGAGCTTAGCAAGTGGGTGGGCGAAGACGACGATCTAGATACATGGGACGACGGCTGAGACTCAACACCAAAAAATATATACAACTTTCCTATTTGGGAATCAAGCACCCAAGCTACCAATCAAGCTAACAACTTTCCGCCAAGCCAATTCAATCAATCCAGCCAAATCTCATACAAACAGCCAATCAATCAAGCCGGGGGCTGTCAGCTTGCTTGATTGATTGATCTCAGGTGTGGCGATGGGCGGATATTGAATGGACCTCCTTGGGCGTACCAATTAGTGGCTGGAAGCAGAGAGATGAAGAAAAATGGGAGGAGGCTGTGGACTCTATTGTCAAGGAGCTAGAGCACTGCGAGGGTCACAAGGTTGAAGATGGAGTCCACAAGATCCGTATGATTGCCGATATCGCCATTTTACAGAAGTAGAAGTGAGGCACTACTATCAGTGTGTCTATCTCAGCTTGTATTCATCAACAGAACTGTAGGTAGATGTCTGCTACTACTAGATAGTGAATAGATATCGATTATAGCGTTTTAGAATTCATCTGAATGTAGAAATCGTCTTCAAGACATGTGTCGCTTTTACCAAATACTTGCTCAGCATGTCCGATATGCCGTATGCGAAAGTGGTGTTGAGGTCTTGTACTGCGGTAGGTGGCAGTCATAATCCGGTTAGTTAAGTGAAGAATGCCGGCCCCAGAGGAAGCTCCCCATTCCACCGGAGACTTTCCCAGCAGGGGCCGTCCAAAAGTCACCAGGGAGTGTCCAGAGAGTCTCCGAGGCCGGTCAGGTCATTATCCCCAGATTTACTTAAATCTCGAAATCTCAGGATCCGCACAGATTCTCCTATTGTCTTCCTATACTCCACATGACAGAAAATGTCCTTTGGAACCACGCGCGCAAATTTTCTTGCCTATTAACAACTCGCTATGCCTAAATCCAATGAACCATCCACAGCATCACTCTCTCCCACAACACCAAAGTTGGCGAAGATTTCTGATTCCACAAACCACGGTACCCGCCCCTAACATACCAAGCTACAATACCACGACCCATCCCATCTATCAAAATGCACTCGTCTCTCTCAATCAAGCATGACTTTCCAAAAGCCAAGCTACATATACTTAACCAAGATTTTCCTCTGCTTGTGGCTGCTCACCCAAGCATCCCTCATAACATGCGCCTACCTCCCCCAAAACGATTCACGGCTGAGCAATGAGATCATTCGCCACGAAATTATCACCCGCAGAATCTTATCCATCACACAGTTCCTCGATAGACCAAGTGCAGCGATTATCAAAATGGAATTCTCGAATTTGGTGGCCTGGTGCGATGGGTCTGCGGGAGGAACGTGCGGAGAAGCGAATGATTATAGTATGTTGAAATTTATTCTTCTCTATCTTCATGTTAAGAGTTCTTCATGGAGAGAAGCTAACGTGGTTTGGTATAGTGATTAGATATATGCTGCAGGGGAATGGGAAGGGAGGGTCTTATCCGGATGATGATACCAAAATCAAAATACAGCTGGGATACGACTATGTGATCTCCCGTATTCCATATGAGAATGGGGTGCAACACGTAGGGTGAGACTGAGAGGTATTGGGAGTATCAAGGATAATTGCTCGTGGGTCTCTTGGAAGAGATGGGAGTGATGGAGGGAAACGTGAGAATTGCGAACTACCATGCATGGATCATTGGATTGACATCATCTGGGGAATCACCTTACGATACCGAAGTCGATGCTTTTTCTGTAGATAATCCATCGCAGTCTACACTGGCAACATCAATACATCTGCCTCGCTTGCCTTATTATCTTGTTAATTTAATTTAAGGCCCGATGATAGAACACAACCCTATATCAGAGTCTTCGCAACTTCCAGCTCCAGCCGCTGTCCTTGATGATTGAATGTTTGCTGTCCACCACATCGATATCCGCGAAGCTAGAGTCATCACTTGCTACATAGTATAGATGCAGCCAGACATTTTTGATCACATCTGTCATGAGGAGATTATATAGGCTTCCAACACCACGCGAGGCCAGAAAATGCATCTAAGATTTTACGCTCTGTCGGTGAAAGTTGAGGGAAGTTCTTCACGCGATAATTCCAATTCGCGCCGCGTATATTGAAGAAGAACCCCAGTGCCCAGAGCCACTTTGCTGGGCCAAATGGAGCGAGCTCACGGCACCCTTTGATGATGCAGAGGACGACTCGTCCATCTTAGACTAAGTGTACATTGTGGACTTCAGCTACCCTCATGGTATTCCTTTACATGCTGTATTGTATGACGATGTCCATTTATGATTTCATGCGAATGTAGATCGTAAGGTATGTGCAATGTTGGCCTAGTGTCTAAATTGCAAGTGAGAGCAGCTACATACTTAGCTTTCCAAAACTCGGCCTCGCTGTGAAAGCGGTCCGCATGTTCGTCCACCGAGGATCTAAGAAAGGACAATGGAGAAGGGGTGCCGATCGTTTTCGGTAAGCAGCCTCGTTCGCGGACCAGTGTTTCCGTCACAGGCGTTCGGGTGCCGCCGGGCTCGCCATCGGACTCCGAAAATTCATCGGATGGCATTCGCCAAACCTGGTCCCGCGAGCGCCTGGGTCCAGAAGTGAGCCCGCGATATTTGTGCATGGCGACCGTTCGAACCGCGTATTCGCCAGCCATGTGTTCCGCGATGTGAATGTGTGGTGACATCGGCAAGCTCAACCATCAGATTGCCGCGACTTGCCGTGTGGGAAGCCGCATAACTTAGGGGGCCGGACCGGACCGCCAACCAACCACCAACCCCTGCGGCGCTAGAGGAACTGCGCACCGATTGGCCGGGCATCTCGATATGCTTGTCACTACAGTTCTGCTGCGGAGGGTCTTTCGAAATTTAGAGGAGCTTAGCAGAAGAGCTAGAACAACAAGTGCTATGGGTATGCATCACGTGAGATATGACTAGGAAGTACGTCACGTGATATCTACTTCACCTCCCCATTCGGAGACAAGAAATGGTGTAGTAAAGTGAAATGGGCTCGCAAAAATAAAGGAATATCGATGTGATACTTGAACACGATAATCGTTGACAGGGCCCGGGAAGATAGGATTCTACTAGACAGTTACGACAATCACCCGGCGCATATCGTGAGCAGTATTTTCCGAGTGTAGTCTACTGTAAAGGAGAAAGACTACCTACTCTCTCTCTCTTACAGCGCCCTCGAACTCAACAGCTTCTCCAAAATCCCTAGATAACCCATTCTCCGCCATCAAGCCTTCCAGTGCCTCAATTACAACCAGCGTAATCAATTCTCCACATCCTCCTTCGTAAAACACTTAGTGCTATACTCCAATCTGAGACTTAGCATACCATCACGACTAGCCGTGCACTCAACCCATCAACTTGAACTTCGCGCCCTCGATCCACGTAGGCACGGATTCCACGCCTTCTACAGGAAACTGGATCTCATGGTCTGCATCATGGCACGATACCATCACCTCGAAGGTTGGGTGTTTGGGAAAGTTGGGTCAAGGCTGAGATGCGATAATAGTTGGTCCCAAGGCACGATGTGCGAGAGAGCTTGCCTATTGTACCACTTCAAACTTGCGAGGAAGGTCTCGTCATCTAGAGCCGGTGCAGTGTGAGTCCTCTGCGAACATGGATACTGTATCCAGATAGGTAGAAGTTCGATAAACAAGCTAACCATACCTGTACCTGCCTCTGAGTTGCGGTTCATGTATGGTGCTTAGAGTGTTATGTCGCGTTCATCTTCTCAGTTCTGCAAAGCGACTGCGACGGCAGCGAGTACCAGTCGGTGCATCGAGAATTTTGACTCAGTACTGACATTGATCATCATTTTTTCGAATGTTGTTAAGGTGTCGATTAGATGCGAGGGGCTAGTCCAGCGCATACGTGCCTGCCACTTCCTGAAGCAAGATCTGGGTGCAGTGAAGTCGCTGGCACGCCTTACTCAGAGCCCGCATTCAGTTCCATCGCCAAGCGCTGACCTAACTGCCGAATAATTTCACTCGCCTGACGTTATCGGCGTAACCTATCTAATCAGGCAGTAGTGATAGCTTCTGAAGGAGGCGAAGTCGCATATGCGCACATAGAGCTCACCGGAGAATGAATTGCCCGGCCAACAGTCAGACTCGGCACTCATTTTCACCCACAGCCGTAATATATCTATCTCAGTATTCAACTTTCTGTATACTAACCAGCAGCAGCCAAAGACAATACAGCCTGGACGTTGGTCAACCCAACGAAGGGCTGTAGTGAGTAGTAGGCGACCATCTCTTTTTGCCTTCGTTCGAAACACCAAAGGTTCTGGGGGTTTTTTTTTGGTTTCTATCTTTTTTTGCTGAGCAACCATACTCTGGCCAGCGCCGTGCGACGGCGACTACCGCCAGGGCCAAGCCAGCATTACATGGCGAGAAGTTCATAGGAAATTTTGCCCGCCGTTTGACTACACAGACGGCGCCAGAGAGTCTAATATTTCAAGGAGCGCACACTCTCGTTGTACAAGCCATCTATTTCTGAACAGACAGAACCTAGTTCTTTCATTTTACTCGCTATCTGGAGACCTGCGTCATCACAAGTGAAGAGGCGAATCAAGCACAGCATGCAGGAAGATGGAACAGTTTCGTGGTTAATCATTATGGCGGTAAGATCAGTCAAGATTATCATGTACGGTATTCACGACTTTTGTTTCGCTCCAGTGTCTGAGCGAGGCGATGGGCTAGGAGAAAAAGACAGTATCAGCCTGCGATAAGTGTCTAGTCTGCGACGTTCGAATTAGCTGCTCGGCTGATAATCACTTGCATTTCAGAGACTATCTTCCAAGTCGGGTACATCGCTGGGTTTGATTTGTCTCTCCCACATATCATTATACATACCATTTTTTTTAATCAGCTCTTCATGTATTCCTCGCTCCACAACCCGTTCCTCGTGTAGACCACTCCAACGCCGGACTGTTTACCGACCTTCAAATCCAGCTTCTTCATGGCACAAGGCCTCTTTGCGGCGTCGATTGCGTATTTGAAGGCTTTATTTCAGACTTTCCGAACCAACCCTTCTCATATATCCACCGGGATGAGCCTGTTCTTCTACAACATAGTTCAGTCCTGTTTGTTCCAAATTTGGTGATCCGTGCCTCTGTTTGTTTCGGGTTCATTGGCAAGTCGAACGGCTTCGTGCTATCAATAGCGCATTTCGTGGCAACCACGTACGTCTTTGTCGTCATATTTGCTATACCCAAGATCTCCCGTCGAATACGGAGTAAGCGCAGCGGAGGGATATCCACGTCGAGCTCGCGGGGCCGTGATTTAGTGTTAGCCTCCATGTCCCTCACTGTACATATCCTATCGTTGGTGGCTCTCGGGCTTGCAACACAGTCTTGGCGGATATACTGCATCGCCACGTCTCTCGCAGTAGATCTTTTGACTTTATCTCTCAACAAGGCTTACTTTAGGAACCGGTTCGCAGTCATAGAGAGACATGGCGCACTGGCAGCCTTGGCAATGATGGAGATACTGCGTAGCATACTTGGGCCGATTGTTCTCGGGGGTTTGCAGAGTTACTTGTTTCGGGATGTGGAAGTCTTCTAGGTGGCAACCGGAATTAGCGTCATATCTCTCTTTTCGTTGACTGTCGGTTACGTAGTAGGAAGCGCAACTTCTTAACAAGTCTCTGGCAATGTATACTACGACTTCCTGGAGTCTCGCTTCTGGCCTATTGCACGTGGGAGGAGACCTAGTCTAACGACTCGCAAAGTGAAGGATGTATACATGATGGCAATGGCCGAATATAAGAGAGGCTTGTAGTACTTCATCGTGCTTCTTGATCGTGGGGGCGATGGAGGTGGAGAAGGCTAAAGATAGCTTCCATGGTGGGTGAGGTGTGGCTAGTGACGTACGCCACCGCGGGCCAGCCGAAACAAACCATAGATCGGGACACGAATTGCCAAGTCAAGACATCCAACGAATGCTCCCTTGGAAGCCGTATTGCCTCTCATCCCCCCAAATAAAGCCTCCTCCATGAGGTAGCGATTGTCTACGCGTCGCCAAGATGTCTGCGCCCGCTACATCTGACCCCGTACAGCAAAGTGGTAGGTGAGCTTGCAGGTTTCGGAGGTGCCTGGTGAACTCCGCATCCTGGTCGCGCGGATGGTGCTGATGTGTCCCCGAATTGCACGCTGACACCAAGTCGCAGGCACGCTGTCCAAGTCGCAGAAGAAGAAGAACAAGAAAAAGGCGAGCGCGCACGGAAATGGGAATAAAGCAGAAGAGGCAGGAAAGCCGAATGGGAACGGGCATTACGCGAAGACGGATGCAGACGACCATGAGGACGAATCCGAGGATGAGGACGAGCAGGCCGTATGCAATTTCCCTCGTCATTCTTACACATGCACATGCACATGCATACTAATACCACGGCATGCAGAAGTACGCCGCTCACTCCATGGATCCTGACGCCGACGATGTAGACGATGTAGACGACGAACAGCCGCCTGTGTCTCCAACAATTGCGCAGTCAAATGGTACGCCACGTCATAGTATCTCTTCTGCGATTGCGCTCGGACTGGCCCGCTCACGGTCACAACAAGGAGGCCTCTCGCAGTCACCGCCGCCGCCTTCAGACACCAGCGCACGCCTAGATGCCGTCGCAAAGGAGCGAGATGCACTGCGACAGGAAGTTACGGAGCTGCGTAAGAGCCTAGAGAGTTTACAAAGTAAACAGGATGCAGAAACATCAGACGAGTCACAGTCAAAGCACGAGGAAGAGATACGGAGTCTTAGGGAGGAATTGGATGAGGCTAACGAGGGCAAGGAGCACTTTGAGACACAGTACAAGAACCTGCTGAGCAGAGTGAACACCATCAAGACCAGTCTGGGTGACAGGCTCAAGGCCGATGCTGTGAGTTCTCCTATTCTCACCGCAAGTATCGCTGCATGCTGACAGGTTGTAGGCCCGGATTGAGGAGTTCCAAACGCAGATCGCCGAACTTGAAGACCAGACGCGGGAGCTGCAGGAGAACAACAACAGCCTCACCGAAGAGCTTGCCAAACTACGACAAGAAAATGAAGCACAGTCGGCCGAGATCGAGACGCTGCGGAGCAGGTCGACTCTGTCGCAGCAGAACTGGATCAAGGAGCGCGACGAGCTGATATCACGAGAAGCATATGCAAGAGAAGAGTTTGAAAATGCGAAACAGGCCATGCAGGACTGGGAGGTCCTGGCCATGAACGAGCGGTCGTTGCGCGAGAATCTTACTGAGAAGGATGCGGAACTTAGGGAGCAGCTAGAGTCGATGAGGGACGAATACGAGAAGGCTGCGCGCGACCGAGACACCAATAGCCAGGCTGTAGAAGGTCTACAAAAGGCACTACAAGAAGTGCAAAACCGTAAGTTGCATGTACTTCTAACCAAGGCTACTACTGACTGACCCCCTATAGTGCGCAAAGCCGAGCTCAAAAAGTCGGTCGAAACGTACGAATCACAAATCAACGAGCTGCGAAAGCAAGTCCAAGCGGCTGACTCGGCTGCGAATGCCGCCAAGGCAACGCTCGAGTCGACACAGAAGGAGCTTGAACGAGCACTCCCGTTCGAGAAGGAGGTCAAGGAGAAGAATCTCTTGATTGGGAAGCTTCGACATGAGGCAGTCACGCTAAACGAGCATCTCACCAAGGCGTTGCGCATTCTGAAGAAGGGGCGGCCAGAAGACAATGTCGACCGGCAGATTATTACCAACTATTTCTTGCATTTCTTGAGCATTGATAGAAGCGATCCGAAGAAGTTTGAGGCACTGCAGTTGATCTCCGCGTTGCTGGGATGGACAGACGGTAGGAATGCAGCATCCTTTATTCTACATACTATACTAACGACAACACAGAGCAAAAAGAACAAGCAGGTCTGGCGCGTCCTGGTACCTCATCCAGCTCGACAGGACTTCGCCTTCCATTGACACCCTTCCGACGGACACCGTCTTCATCACAGCTGAACTCTGCCGCAGCAGACCCCATGCTTATGGCTAGCAGCTCGAGCAACAAGGAGTCGCTAGCAGAGTTGTGGCAAGACTTTCTCGAGCGGGAGGCTGCAGAGGGCAGGGGCAACGGATCGAGAAGAGAAAGTATGGCGAGTCAGGCACGCACTGATGGCGGACTGGGCATCAACGAAAAGAAGTAATGGCCGGATTAGAGTGAGTATAGACACCAGCTGTCTTGTCCCAGTGTTTGATTCGGGACTTGAGCTTAATAGAGCTAGGTGCTCGAGGCACCGGGATTGCTTGATCGACTTCCTTTGGTGCCACATGTTGTTACATTCCCAATGTACATATATTCCAACGCCTGAGCTATGCTCGTGTATGCATCTGAGGTCCACTTTGACATCTAATGTGTCACCTCGCCTGGTCTCCTGTCGTCTGCGGGACCGCTTTCCAGTTAGGTCGCGGCTTAACCCTCCACCTGTACGCTTTATAGCCGCAATTCAACCCTTCCAACCGGTGTGCTTCAAGACCTGATCTTCCTTTTGCTTGCGTGGGTCTGGCAGCATGGTTCGCGCTCTTATCGCCTCGAAGCGTCTATCCCTCTTCAACTGCTTGGCTTGCTTAGGGGTCGGCCGGCGAATGGACCAGTTGAGCTGGCCGAAGATGGTGGTTTTGATGGCTGCACACACGTCAGCCAAACTTCCTGGACGTCCAATCGCATTTCACATACCATCCACACAGTACGGGCATAGAATGTGCATCCGCTTCACCCTCCCGCAGCCCGAACATGTATTTAATGCTGTAATATCCTTCAGTCCTTTGCCCGCCATGAACCGTTGTCGCTTCTTGCGGTATGACGTCTTCTTCTTCGGCACTGCATTGAGTATGCCGTCCCATATGTCGGCTATTGACGGTAATGACGGCAGCGATAAGGAGGGTAATGCGAGTGCGCCAAAGGGTGTGTTGAATGACTGTGAAAGGCGCTGGAGGAAAGGCGAGCTCAGGACGGGACGCATGGGGCCATTGAGTCCCGGGAACAGTGACTGCCACAGCGGGGGAAGTGGGCGGGCGAGTGCCATTTTGATTCTACTCGCAGCGGTCGGCGGGGATTGCGATGGGCGTAGATATGTCGGCTTGGTGTTGCAAATTGTCGACCCCAGTCAGTCGGTCCACACACAGTCCATGCTTGACTAGGCCGCGCTCGCGCCTTACCGCCATATCACTAGCGCGCTTTCGCTTCCCAATGACCCCTTTCCCGCGCCTGCATCTCCACGACAAAGTCGCCAGCGCAGCGACCCTGACTATTTACCCTCAGGCGACGACATCTCCTCCGTTCTCCGTCCTCCCTCCTACATTCACCACCACCCCCACCGCATTCCCTTCCCACTCGCACACGTGCCATCGAGGCCTGCACCGCACACAATGGCTGCCGCGTACCAGAACCAGTCGCAGCCCATCTTTCCGGACAGCTATGTCGGTTTCGACAGCATCACCAAGCAGATTGAGCGCAAGTCGGTGAAGCGGGGCTTCCAGTTCAATGTCATCTGCGTCGGTAAGTCCATCACGTATTTCCATCTGGAGTCCTCGTGTTAACACGCTTACTAGGTCAGACCGGTCTCGGCAAGTCGACGCTTATCAACACGCTCTTTGCCTCGCACCTCATGGATAGCAAGGGTCGCTTCCAGCCCGACGAGGAGGTCCGCAGCACCACCAACATCCACCCCGTCTCACACATCATCGAGGAAAACGGCGTGCGTCTGCGTCTCAACATTGTTGACACGCCCGGATACGGTGACCTGATCAACAACGAGCGCTGCTGGGACCCAATTGTCAAGTACATCAAGGACCAGCACAGTGCCTACCTCCGCAAGGAGCTCACCGCCCAGCGTGAGAGGTACCTCCAGGACACGCGCATCCACTGCTGCCTCTTCTTCATCCAGCCCTCTGGCCACGCCCTCAAGCCCATTGACATTGTCGTGCTCAAGAAGCTGAGCGAGTTTGTCAACGTCGTGCCCGTCATTGCCAAGAGTGATAGCTTGACCATGGAAGAGCGTGCCGAGTTCAAGCACCGAATAAAGGAGGAGTTCCAGTTCCACAACCTACGCATGTATCCGTACGACAACGAGGAGGACGACAACGAGGAAGTTCAGGCTAAGCAGGCCATCAAGGTGAGCAAAGATACCATGGCGCTGTAATTTACAAATGCTGATTTCTGCTAGGAACTCCTTCCCTTTGCCGTTGTCGGCTCTGAGAGGACCGTCGTTGTCAACGGCAAGAACGTCCGTGGTCGCCAGAACAAGTGGGGTATCATCAATGGTGAGCCAGATGAACCGCATCTGCCTGGAGCAGCTACTAACGCGTCACAGTCGAGGATGAGAACCACTGCGAATTCGTCTACCTCCGCAACTTCCTCACCCGTACCCACCTGCAAGACCTGATCGAGACCACCGCGCAAATCCACTACGAGTCCTTCCGTGCCAAGCAGCTGCTTGCCCTCAAAGAGAGCTCCCACCAGGGTCACTCCTCGCGCCCCATTTCCCCCTCGGCCGATCGCGAGCTCAGCAGGAACAGCCAGCGCATGACCATGAACGGGTACTAGGAGTTTCCGAATCATAACCGCGTGGACAGCAACGGGGGCAAGTCGAGCGGACCTCCACCCCCGCGTATGGAAACACGCATGGAGAGGCCGGTACCCATGGTCGATGTCGTTTGAGCGCTGCGTGGCGGAGACTAGAGTGAAGAGGCAGATTGCCATGTTTTGATACCAGTGCATCATCTAGCACGAAAACGGGAGAGCGAGTGATTTGCGGCACATTCAGATTTGACACCTTTCTCAATATCCTTTTAGTCATGATTGACCTTTTTTATACTTCTTTCAATCTCGTATGTCATAGCACGGTGTAGTGGTTTGGGCTGAGAGACCTGGATAGTGCACGGGTCCGTCTAGGATAGCGAAGTAATTCGAAGCCCCCTCTGGTTTCATTCTCCCGTCCTAGTGTCTTGTAGGCGTGGTTCTTGTTTTCTCTGTGATGTCCATTGCTCTTTCCTCGGGTCTTGAATTGTCAGACCACTCTCGACATCGTATGATCCCCTGGATGACCCCCCTGTTGAGCTGGAAAGCACGACACCAGCTTTCCCCAATCATGCCTTTTCACTCGCCCATATGACTCACTCATCTCATCTTAGCAACCTCGACCCAGCAAAATCCTCCATACTGTCATCGCCCTTCTTCGCATTTCCCATCTTCCTCCCACTCCCACCATTCCCAGTCACTCTAACCGGACCCTTTTTCCCTCTAGCAGTAGTACCCGGAGAGCCATCTGCTGGAGAATCTAAAAATGATTGGTTGGTCTCGCTTTTTCCCACTATACGCTCAATTACTTTTGCCTTGGCTCCGGCGCGTTTGAAGCGATCGTCGTAATCCGCTACTGCGTCTTCGGTGTTTGCAGTGGAGAAGGTTTCGGGGTCTGTGAGGGAGTGTAGGAGGGGGGTGTTCGTGTGGAGACGGGGGTTGGGTTGCAAAGGTGGTAGCTGACATGCCGCCTTTGGTATTCCATTGCTCCGGTCCTCGATATCATTGTTTTGTTCCTGTTGGACTTCAAGGGTTTTGGAAGGCGACAAGAGACCGGGAGAAGTGGGATTGGGAAGTCGCGAAGCCCATATTACACTGCGGCCGTGGAGTACGCCTAGAGCAGCGAATTTCTCAAAGCCTTTTTCTAAACCGAAGATTCGGCCTTCGATGCGGCCGGCGTGGGCGCCGTCGGAGGCGCCGAGTGTGTAGGCGGTGGTGTAGAGAGTGTCTTCTAGGGTCAGGAGGGTGTCGAAGGGGTCGGTAGAGTCGATTTGGTCGGCCATTTTGGGGGAGGTTGGGGGAGGTTGGTTTAGAGTTTAGGGTTTAGACTTTTGGGTTTGGGGTTTATGCGGATGTTTGTTTAAGTTCTGTGTAGTCGCAATGGGACTTGTTTAGAGTCGATACGCGACAAGGTTGAAAATGCTTCCTTCTAGTAGTATTCTCGATCCCTATTATTAATGAAAATTTCAACGTGACTTCTTATGGCGACCATACGAGTGCTAACAAAACCCAGCCTTTAACAGGTATTACTTCAGTTTACATGACACCTCTGTTCGTTCTGTAGAGATGGAGGCTCAGCTCGTGTGGCGTCGCGTGGCTGGCGGGGTAGGTAAGTTTTGGCGGGGCAGCTCCATCACACATCCGGCGTGTGAGTGATCGCGCTTGACTCAGAAACTCCGAGAGAGGTGTATATGACCTATTGACCGCTCTTGTTTCTCAAAATCCTCGTCAGTCTGAGCTCTAGTTGTTCAGATACACGTCAGTAAGCCCGAACCCCTCATACGTCATCCACAAGTCCTCATCTAATGCATCCTGCAGCACACGAGTGCCCATGACGGAAACAACAAAGAAAATCCTCCCCGTAGAGGGTGAGCGCAATGTACTCATTACCAGTGCGCTCCCATATGTCAATAACGTGCCTCATTTGGGCAACATCGTCGGCTCCGTTCTATCCGCCGACGTCTTCGCTCGATTCTCACGCGCGAGAGGTTACAACACTCTATATGTCTGCGGAACAGACGAGTACGGAACTGCAACTGAGACCAAGGCGATAGAGGAGAAGGTCAGCCCCAAAGAGCTTTGCGACAAGTACTTCGCACTGCATAGTGAGGTTTACAAGTGGTTCAACATCTCCTTTGACCACTTTGGGCGCACACCCACTCAGCAACAGACCGACATTGCGCAAGACATCTTCACAAAGCTCTACAAGAACGGCTTTCTCGAGGAGCAAACCACCACACAGCCCTACTGCGAGACACATAAGAGTTTCTTGGCAGACCGTTTTGTCGAGGGTACATGTCCTTTATGCAATTACGAAGATGCGCGCGGAGATCAATGCGACAAGTGCGGGCATCTTCTTGACCCTCTAGAGCTGAAGAACCCACGGTGCAAGCTCGACGGCGCAACACCAGTTCCACGTGAGACCAAGCATGTCTATCTGTGCCTGGACAAACTACAGCCGCTAGAAGAGGAGTGGTTCAAGAAGTCCAGTAAGGAAGGCAATTGGAGCTCCAATGGTGTCCAGATCACTTCTTCATGGCTCAAGGAGGGTCTGCGACCACGTGGTATCACTCGAGATCTTAAGTGGGGTACCGCAGTGCCGCTCGAGGTAGGGACGCCGTGTGGGTAGATATGGGTTTTAGCTGACCAAAATAGGGCTATGAAGACAAGGTCATGTACGTGTGGTTCGATGCCTGTATAGGTTACGTCTCCATCACTGCAACATACACAGAAGATTGGAAACAATGGTGGCATAACCCTGAACACGTCAAGTTATACCAGTTCATGGGCAAGGACAACGTACCATTCCACACTGTCGTCTTCCCCTGTTCGCAAATCGGCACCAAGGACAAGTGGACCATGCTTAACACTATCTCCACAACAGAGTACCTGAACTACGAAAAGGGTAAATTTTCCAAATCGAGAAACATTGGTGTTTTTGGCAATAACGCCAAGGAGACTGGAATCCCATCGGATGTATGGCGCTACTACCTTCTTTCGCATCGTCCAGAGACCGGAGACACCGAGTTCGAATGGGATGGGTTCATTGCCGCAAACAACAACGAGCTTCTCAAGAACCTAGGCAACTTCATCAACCGCGTCATCAAATTTGTAAACAACGCCAAAATCTACGATTCGGTCGTGCCCGATTACACCAAGTTTGACGACCCCTACTTCACAGAGCACAGGAAAAAGGTCAATGACCTGTTGAAGACGTACATCGCCGAACTCGAGGACGTCAAGATTCGTGCAGCGCTCGCAACAGCGTTACACGTGTCCAGTCTGGGTAACTTGCTTCTGCAGGATAACAAATTGGACAACAAGCTCGCTACTGAACAGCCAGATCGGTGTGCTGCCGTCGTTGGGCTCGCACTGAGTCAAATCCATCTCCTCGCTAGTTTGATTCAGCCTTTCATGTGAGTATTACCTTCGCCGAGCTGCCCATTGGGCCGGGAGACCCCCCGAAAGGCTTACACGGTCCAAATTATGGCGCGTAGCATGGATGGTGGCACAATTGCTGGTGCAACGGCATACCAGGTGTCATATACGACGCTACAGAACACATGGCTAATCGTGCAACAGGCCTGATACGACTGCCGCCATCCTCTCCCAACTCAATGCCGAGTTTCTTATTATCCCCGATTCCTGGGAAGCACGTTCGCTACCCGTCGGGCACAAGATTGGTACTGCCGGCTACCTCTTCAGTCAGATCAAACCCGAGAAAGAACAGGAGTGGCGAGAGCAGTTTGGTGGTGAGGAGGCTCGCAAAGCCAAGGAAGAGAAAGCAAGGAAGGCAGCAGCTAAGAAGGCAGACAAGGAGCGCAAAAAGGCAAAGAAGGCAGCCGGACCTGAGAAGGGTGTTGAAGCTGCCGAGAAGGGACAAGATGGACCTGCACCAAAGACTGCCGAAGAAGAGGTGTCGCGAGGCGTGGAGCAGGTCAGCTTGCAGACTTCCTAGTATAAGTGTCGAGTCATGCGGTCTGGAGGGTTCTGGCGTTGGCGATAGAAGTAAGCTTTCCAGGGCATAGTAAAGAGGCGTTTTTTTTTCAACAAGGTGGGGGTTGGCTGTAAGCGTGGGCCGTCAGTTTCTCAGCTCGATGGATAGTCAAGTATAGTAGTTTCTAAAAGTGTGCAGGGGTTGTGACACATGAGCACGCGCACAGCAGATGCTTGTGTCAAATTCGAGGAACCATTACACGCATTTTTCCGGTCAACTATCCTTTTGCGGTCATTTCCGTGTGCTCGGCGTCGCTGAGTTTCGCTCAAGTATCACATGGACCCTGGATCATGTACTGTAGTTGATAACATCGCCGGCTTCACATTCACTAAGGGACATTCAGCCAGTCATCGAGAGGTAATTATAAGCCGCGCCCATTCGTTCAACCGTCTAACAAATGAAGGCAGAGATCACATGCATTTCCTTATAGTGGATTTTACGCGCCTTACAACCTGCAAGGCTATACGGTCTACAAGCATGGATAGCTGGTCCCACCATTACATGCCACCTCAGACCAGAGTCCCTGTGTATATCGTCCTCGAGATAATCGGTGTGCCTCCTAGATTGCAATCGAATCGCGTGATGGTGGTGTTGTTCTTGTCCATTGCTGCCTGTAACGCCGATTGTACACGCTGCGCCGTCGCCACTTCCCTACGCGCAATTGACGCAATTGCAAGCGGAAAGTGCAATCTTGCTCGTCCAAAAATGACCATCTACCCCTCTTTTCTTATCGGGCTCTCCGCGTTCTTATTTGCGGGGATCGCCAACAAATAGCGGCTGTTGTCGCTTCTGCTCTTCCCCTTCACGCTCACTTCTGCACCTGACACACTGCGCACTAGCTTTCGCACGTGTGAATTCGTCTATTGGTCAGCGCAGCTAGCTGCCCTGCGACCCGCCTTCTATATAAACAAAGCTAGTTCCTTCTTCCTCTGCTTCCTTTGTACTCTCTTTCCGCCCCGCAACCGCGCCGCTTCGAGCTCACGACAACTGCAAGTTCGCTCCTGCTGCGCTTCAGCAAAAAGCTCAAAATTCAACATGGCGAGCGGATATGTCCCCCAAATGGAGAAAATGGCCGGTATGAGCATTAGCGAGCAGCGCGTGTTCACTAGCGACCATGTTGACGGCGATGCGCATGCCAAAAGCTCCTCGACAGACAAGTGTCCTAGCGACATCACGATGAACACTTTGGTCGATTCACAAGCTTCGATCACTGCAGTCCCTCCGGTTTCTCGGGACATTGATCCCGAACAGCCCAAGGGTCCGGCGGAGATGGAGGCTGTCACCGTTGTTTGGACACAGGGGTGGCTGGTGGGCGCTTATGCTGCGTAAGTTGAACTCTTGAGCGTGTTACTTTGTTTTAAAGCATCGGCGGAGCTGGAACTACAGGTGCAATGCGGGCTGGAGGATGCAGTCAGGTTCGGTTTATGGCAATAGGGTTTCATGGATTCTTGAGAAGACCACGCGCTAACACACACCTCCAAGCATCATGCTTATCTCGTTCATCAACTCGCTTCAGCAGCAGGCCAACTACTCCTGGCGACCCTATGTTACCTCGGCGTTCCAGCAGCACGGCTTGACTGCTATGACTGACATTGTAGCCAACATTGTTGGTGGTGTCTCCAAGCTGCCGTTGGCCAAGTTCATCGATCTCGTGGGTCGACCTCAGGGATTCTTGCTGTGCTTAGCATGCATCGTCATTTGTAAGTATCCCAACGTATTCCTCCCGTATCTCCATCCTTGCGCTGACCAAAATCCCTTCTAGCCCTTCTACTCATGGCGTTGTGTCAAAACGTGCAGACATTTTGCGCTGCACAGGTCATCTACTGGAGCGGCATGAACGGGGTTGACTACGTCTTCAACATTTTCATTGCCGACACTTCTCTCATGCAGAATCGCCTCATTTGGATGGCTTTCACAGGGTTCCCCTACATTATCAACACCTTTGCTGGACCCGCCGTTGGGCAAGCCTATCTCGATCGCCTCAACTGGCGCTGGGGCTATATCACATTTGTCATCCTCACGCCACTCTTTTCACTCGCATTCTGGCTCGTCTTCTTCTTGATGGGTAGGCGTGCAAAGAAGATGGGTGTCATCAAGCGTGAGAAGATTGGCAGGACCGTGCTGCAGAGCATCCGTTTCTGGTGCATCGAGTTTGACGGTAAGTTCCCATTCCTCTTTACTAATTGCAGTCACTAACAAGTCACAGTGATCGGCATTCTGCTCATCTGCTCCGGCTTCTCGCTCGTCCTTCTCTGTTGGCCCCTCGTTAAATACCAGGCAAATGGTTTCGCATCTGCACTGTTCCTTTGTATGCTCATCGTCGGCCTTTTCTTCATAGGACTCTTTGTGGTCTGGGAGCGCTTCTTTGCTCCAAAGACTTTCTTCCCGTTCCACTTGATGAAGAACCGCTCTGTTGTCGCGGCGTGCTTACTGGGTGGGAATTCGTGGATCGCTTTCTAGTGAGTATTTCATACGCACCTAAGGATTCGAGCTGACCCGTACATCTAGCTCGTACAAGATGATGTATTCATCTTACCTCCAGGTCGTCTTCCAGCTTTCCGTCTCAAAGGCAGGTTACATTACCAACATCTTCAACATCGTCTCCTGCACTTGGGCCATTCTCATCAGTTTCGTCATGAAGTACACCGATACGTTCAAGTGGGGAGGTATGATCGCTGTTCCTGTCCAGATTCTCATGACCGGTCTATTGGTATATCTCCGTGCGCCAGGCACCAGTATCGCACTACTGGTCATGGTTGAGGTTTTCAATGCCATGGCAAGTGCGATGCTCCTAAACGTCGAGCAGATCGCCATCATGCTTGCTGTGCCCCACGAAGAGGTTGCTGTCGGTTTTGCACTCCTAAACGTCATTACTGCGGTTGGTGGTGCCGTCGGTCAATCCATCGGCGCCACTGTCTGGTCCCAGGTTGTGCGCAGCAAGATTGAGCAGTACCTCCCCGATACTTCCAAAGGCCGCGCCAAGGAGATCTATAGCGACATCACGATCCAGCTGGCATTGCCATGGGGTTCTCCGGAGCGAGAGGCGGTAGTGATGGCGTTCGCTGATGCGCAGAAGGTTATGCTGATCATCGGCACCTGTGCGCTCGTGCCCTGCTTGATCTGGGTAGCTATGCTCAAGGACTCTCGCATGAGCCTGGGCAACACAAGGAAGGGTCTGCAAGCTTGATCGTTTGCGTGGTCAGTCCGCAGGTACAGTTCGAACAGTACGATGGTGGTCATATGCGATATCAGTCGTCGATTCGTTGGAATGAATGAATGGGAACGGAAGTCTGCGCAACACGCGCTGCATCACGGAAACGAAGGTTTCGGATATGGGTTGTCTGATGCCTAAAAAAAGGAATTTCAAGGGTCAATAGTGGACATTGATGGGAGGTCTCCACATACAGACGGCATCATCTAAAAGCATTAACGAATATAATTGATTGACGATCGTGCTCAAGTTGTATCGGCGACCTAAAACGAACAGTGTGACTCAAGAAACAAACAAGCAGATATCGTCACATGGAGTAATAATGAGTACTGATTCACATGTATGAATATCTATCACATATGTAACAAGTGTTGGAAGCCGTGATACCAACACTAGCGCTGTGGGTGCAGGGACGCACTTCACGGAGTCCATGCATTATGGCAGAGCAGGATTTGGATGGTTCGTCGACTGGGAGTGCTGTTGCTGTGGCTTTAGAGTTAGGGGCTGTTGAGTTGGGGTCGGAGGTATATTGATCCCACGATTGTCTTTTGTATGGGCTGCGGTGATGTGAGGTATTTGGTAGATGGGTAAAGGAGATGAATTAGGAGATCATGCTGATGAGTTGAGCAGACAGATGGAAGTCTCAGTCCCCCCCGCCCAGCGCTCCTGCGTTGTTAGTATCAGACCGACTGTGGGATCTACATCACGCCATGTTGTTCATCTTATGAGTGAGTGGCAATGAGTGAGTGGCAGGACAGCGTTGGTGTTGTTGCTGAGGGTGTGAAAGACGCCGCGTTGGTTTTGACGTACATTGCTGGTAGGTTAGCATTTCGCTTTTCTGGGATAGGATGGACGGCTGAGGAGAGTTAGCACCGGATGAGAAAGACGCGCATACCATCGCTGATACTAGGGGTGAGGGTGGGAAAGGTGAGACTGCACGAGAATATGGATTTCACAAGGTTCTGTTGTGAAGGTGCGATTAGGCGGATGAAGATTGTTGTATTTTACTCACTCCTCAAGTTTGACGACCTTTTTTCCTTTCTTTAACGAGTTTTGAATAGGTACCACGCTACCTCTACCGCTGTTCTTGCCCAGCTAGAAGCTCTTCGCGCCACAATCATCGGTAATGTCCCCTTTTCCGAATTCGACCCCGAGCTCCATTACTCTGAAGCGGAGGACTGGACGCTCTCCTCCCACTTCGACCGTCGAAAAAATAAGTTTGTGTAGGAATTTAGAATGTTGAACCTTTTGGGAAAATACGGGTACCCAGGGGCAGTGGAACTAAACTTAATGGTATTCATGAAGGAACACAATCTTGAATTTTGAATAAATCTCCCTCTTCCTCTCATTATCACAAACAACATCATAGCTTGTAGCTCCCCGCCCCCTTCCTCACCTCATCCCTAACCTCCTTACCCTCAACATCAGTAAGCACACCCTTGCGACCAATAATCTGCACACCACCCTTCTTCAAATCCCCAAGCAGTTGCTTCTTCTCTCCCCTCTTCTTCTCCTTGCCCTCGACCTTCTTCTCCTTGGGCTTATTGAGACCAGCCTTCTTCGCCCTCTCCTTGGCACGTCGTCGCCTCGACATCTTCTCCTCTCGCGACATTTCCTCGCGCGCGACGGGCATACCGCTCTTTGTGACAATCTCCGACTTGTTCTTCTCCTCACCGGGCTTGTATACTTCTTGCGGTGCGAGCATGCTTGCGGTTGCGACTTCGCCTCCTGCGGTGGGTCGTGCGTCTTCCATTTCGATGGCAGGGGCGTCGACACGGATTTCGAGATTGGGGACCGCGGGCTTGGGCTTGAAGTGGGAGGAGCTGAGGGAGTCGAGCTTGGCGGATACGGATTTCCATAATGCGGAGATCTCATCGTGCTCTTTCTTGAGCTTCTCATCTTTGGCTTCGACAAAGTTGGGGTCGGTTTCGCGCAGGTGCTCTTCTTCGTAGATCTCGGCGAGACCTTTGCCAGACTTGGTGTCATCGAGTTCGAAACGACCGCGTCGGGGTCCTGTCGCGAGGTCGTCTGGTCGACGGCGTGGGATTTCGTCAAACTCGCCGGCCAAGATGCGTCGCTTAATGAGTGCTTCAATGTCTTCTGATGTTTCTGCTGTAACTAGCGGCACGGGCTTACCCGCTCGCTCAAACTCAAGGTTCTCTTCGAGAAGCGAGTTGAGCGGTCGATCAGCTGCACGCGCCTCACCAGATAGTTGCCACTGACGTTTGGCAACATTGGCAGCCTCTAACCTCCTGATCTCTTCTGCTATCTTGGCTTGTCTGCGTTCGTGTGTTGACCGTCTTGACTTTGGATCTGAAGGGTCTACGTCTGAGAGATCACCCTCGCTATCGTTGTCGTCATCGTCCTCAAAAAGATCACGGTGTACCCTAGCCATGGTCCCTTCTACTTCCTCCTCGGTCGGCTGCTCTTGCTCTTGCTCTTGCTGCTTCTCGGGGAAGTTGTGAGGGTTTGGCCGTCCCCGCTTCTTGGTGTTTTTGTTCTTGCCTGCTTTCTGTGCTGGAGGCGCGAAGAAGTCCTTGTACATGACGTTGTTGGCGTTCATGCCGGTATCCAGACCGTCCAAGTCTCCTTCCTCGATATCGTCCTCGTCGCCGCTGTCTCCTTCTGGTGCGTCGAGGTCCACGTTACCAAAGGTTGGACCGCCCTCATCAGACTCATCGTCGGATGCGTCTCCTGCAAATGCAGATTTGCTCTTGCCCGAAGCATCCTCCATGGGGTCCGCCTCCCAGTTGATCTCGTCGTCATCGCTGTCCACGCCCTCTCCTCTTTGATCTTGCTGCTCTAGGAAGTCGGTCTGCTTGTTGAAGTCGTCTATGGAAAAGAAGCCGTCGTTTAGACCATTCGGGTCGGGTTGGTAGGTTTGTGCGGGTTCGTCGTCTGAAGCGTCGTCGGAAAATATGCCCTCTTCTTCATCTTCCATTTCAACATCTTCGCCCTCATCTCCTGACGCTCTCACATCGTCTTCGTCGTCGTCTACGCCGTCATATTCCCAATCTACGCCCTCTTCGCCTATATCCGATTCGGTGTGGTACTCCTCCGGTTCCTCTAGCTCTTTATCTTCTTCTTCGCCATCTAGTACCGGCACGAGACCTTCCTCTTCCTCGGGCAGCGCGAGCTCGATTTCGTCTGCCGTCGCCTCGACGATTTTGCGCGTCTGCTCAAAAACCTGGTTTACGCCAAAGCCTTCCACATGTACCTTCTTCAAGTGCAATACACGGATATCATCGTCGTAGTCTCCGCCCCGCTTCCGTTTCTTGCGCAATTCTTGCTGCCGCTGAGACTGCGACTCGCTCACACCAGCAGCTACGGGGTCCAGGTAGTGTTTCGCGGCGGCAAGAAAAGAAGCATTCAACTGAGGGGTAGGCTGCAGGAAGGAGAGCGGGCTTGCGAGTAGCGATGTAGGCGAAGCTACAGCGGCGGGTTGCAGCTCCATGGGTGGCGGCTGGGCGGAGCCGATTGAGAGGGTATGCGATGAAATGGACGTGTCGGGCGAGTGCGTAGGCGGCGCCATACTTTATGTCTTCCCAATTGCCGGGGAGAGTGAAGAGGGCAGTTTGGAGCCAGTCAAGTTCGCGATGGCAGCGAACTTTTTTGGTGGAGATACTGGGCCTAGCGCGCCTTAGCTCATCCGCTGCTCCTCCACCAAACACCCCTCACAACATTGATTAGACGTTGTATGCGCCACTTGCATATCAAAAGGCAATTTCTATAATGTACAAACATTTTCTGTTCATGGTTTCAATCATTGATAAGAAATTCATCAAGATCGTTGTATTTCATTGATATCGTGGTCTGACGCTCAATTCATCATATACTCATAGCGCAATCATGGCCACAGCAACTGCCATGGCCGAAAAAATCATCATCCAAATAGACACTGACGAGACGAATGACGCTTCACTACTACTGCTGGGCGCGACCTTGGTCGCAACACTCGACTGTCCGGAGGCGGTTGCGGTACACTGCTCACCACAAGCATATCCATTCGGACAGCAATTACCGCCCCGGTCCGCTGCGCAGCTATACCAAGCACTCGGGCAGCTACCACCAGCAGCGGGAGTTACGCTAGCGACTCCTAAGCCTGTGGGCGCCACCACAACGACGCCATTGGTGTTGAGAATGGTTTCGGTAGGTAGAGCACAGCTACCGGTGGTCTGGCAATCCCGACCAACGCGGCAACATCCCGATGGATAGTATGCGCTGCAGACATAGAAACCAGTTGGACACACACTACCGCTGGAGGCAGAGGCTGCATCGGTCGTGGTTGCAGAACCGCTAGTAGGCCGCACGGGGGCGTCTGGTGCGCGGGTGCTGGTTGGGCCTCCAAGACACGATGCGCCTGTAGCACAAGTGCGCCCGTTCGCACAGCATCCGCCGCCCAAGGACACCGGGCACGAGAACCACCCTGTTGAACATGTATATGCGGAAGTCGATATAGGCTCGGGTGTGGTGGAGGGCGATGTCGGTACGACGACGACGGCTGTGGAAGTGGGGGCAGAGCTGGAAGTGGGGGGTTGAACGTAGGCAGTAGATGTGCCGACTAAGACGCCTGAACCTTGTGTTAATCACATGCAAATATGCTATACCATACGAGAAGAGGACTTACACCCAATACCCTGACACTTGAACCCAGGCAAGCAACACCCTCCATTCGGCGCATCAGGACAACTCGTGTACCCTTTCGACACCTCACAGCTTACACTTCCCGCACAAGCTTGACCCTTTGGACAACATCCCACATCGCCAGCATTGCTATCACCAGTGACAGTTATACAATTGCTATTCGTCCCACAGCATACATCGGGCGCGCCAATCGACGAGCAGCTATTCGTTCCTTCGGGGCATTTGAATTGGCGGTTCAAGAGAACATCTCTGACATGCATACGCGCTAGCCAGTCATTCCGAGCTAGAGGTCGTAAAGGCGAGAACGCTTGGGAGGTGACGTTGGTATAGACATCCGAGTGTTGCGTGTCCGAGGCGAATATCCAGTTATCCAACATGAACATCTCACCCTCGTCCGTGCTCATCTTCTTGACACCAATTGGCTTCTCATGCTCCAGTCTTTGTTTTATGCTCAAGCTCCGTTTAGCGTGCACTTCGTCCTCTGGAAAGTACTTGAGATGTCTGGGAACATTGTGTGGCCATTGGGTGTCGGCCGCTACCGAAGCTGCGCATAGCGCTATTATGGCTGGTGGGAGGGAAAGCAAGTGTGGTAGATACATGTTTGACAGGCGGAATTATGCGGGTTGAGGTAGGAATGCAGGAGGAAACATAACGCACTCGTAGTAAACGTGGTAGACTCGTAGTCAAGGTGGCTGGCGCACCGGCGGTCCGAGGGATAGTTCAGGTAATTGGCGAGGTTGGGATGTGTTGGCGGCTCACCGCCGATGGGGTAGCAGGGGCCATCCTATCCGCGCCATCCAAGACTCGAGCTTGACCTGGTAGCGCAGGCGTTCTTTAGTTGCGGAAATGAGATGGTGAGTTGGAAAGAACCAGACGTCATGCAGGTCGCATGCATGTTCCGCGGTTCCGGGTCCGCATTCCGCACCCTGAACCACAAAGAGTAATGCATGTGAATCTTCGCTAATCGACACGCCCAGTTTACCATGACATCATCGTGAACCCCGGCCAATGAACCAATACACTAGAAATAACGATTGTGTTTTGATGTTTCGAAGTTATTAATCGGTTTAAGATTGGTTGGTGCTCAATGCGCATGGTCTGTCGGTACAACAGAGATTAACTCATCGCTATATTGGCAAATCACTATTACCTACTTAGCTGTTCAGAGCCTTACTACCATACATATGTTATACTGGTGCTGTTCATTTCATAATGACGGGACTATGGTCGAGTGGGCACTGGGAGAGTTTATTAAGACGCTGTCGCCTTCTCTAGACAGATAACATACTAGTGCATAAGAAGCTCTCATGGCAGTCGAGTGAAGAGTTCGTTGGTGAGCTCAAGAAATCCTATTTTGGCTGCTCTAAGGCCATCCATGTCTGGTCCGTCTGCGTGATAATATGAGAGGCTTATCTACCACACTAAGTTTATGAGGCTTCAACTCCAACTGAAAGCTCCTTCAAAACAGTACATGACAACTCACGTTGCTACTATAGATTTGCCAACGACGCACCAGGACGAGAATCACAGTTGTTGGATGTTAAACACAAAATGTAGTTAAGAAGCAACGCTTATAGACGTGCGGAATGCTTTTTGATTCCAATTCTAATCCCCATACGAGGGTCGTGAGCTCAACGTGAGATATACAACACTAACTGTCCAGACCAATGTCATACTCATAGATAGAGTTAGATATTCCTTTCCCTGAGGGTGTACCTCATCCAGAAGGATGCTGTAAAAGCTTGTAACAGTAACTTTTTCAAAGATACCAGCATTAAGCGGCCGAGTGCCGTTTAAAGATCCTACAGAACGCATGCTTCAAAGCAGAAGAAGAAAGAAATAGCGGCGGGACCAGCCGGCCGGCCCGTTTTGCAAAAGACAGACCAAGACTAAGTGCTCGGCGACTGTTGTCAGAGTCGCTCGAGCTCTTGGAAGCGCTCGATGGGATCAGAAAAAGAACGTATCAAGCCAACGGAAGCCCAGAAGTCATCACTAATATCTTCCCGGCGCGATAGGCGCTCAAGCAATGATCGCGCATCGCGGAGCTCCTGATCCAACGGCGCAGCATCAGCAGGGACAAGAGGGGGTGCCTCTTCCTCGTGATTGTTGATCGGCTCTTCGATAGGTCCGTCGAGCTGTGAATTTTGAGGCCTCAAGGAGTCCCGTGTCTCGATTTCTCGCCACGCGCCGCCTGAGCTGTAGAAACTGCGGACGTATGCACTCGCATCGCGCGATCGGTCGATGACGCGGAGCGAGTAGCGCTCTGTGTCCCGCATCGGGGGCTCATTAGAAAAGTATGATGCTCGTATCCTGCGGCGGGGTGGCGCTGGGTCAGAGGCACCCAAGCGATTCCTGAGGGCTTCGGTGGTATTACGACGCCGTGTGCTGTCACCGTCCATGTCCTCCTCGGTGTCTGAAGCCGAATCGTCTTCCGAGGTGTCACAAGCACGCATGAATTGTTCGTTCTGCGGCGGTGATTGGCGGCGCGAAGGGACGGTAACGTGTGTCTGCGATGAGGCTGCCGAATTTGAGCTCCCAGCCCGGGAGCTGGGATGCGAGTTTGAGAACGAGGCTGAGGCTGCAGCTGAAGCAAAAGAAGATGCTGCTGTTGGTGCGACAGGGTCATCCACTACAGTCGTAAGGAAGCTGTCCCATAGCGGTGTGTCGCCGAAAGGACTGAGGCTGCGATTCCTGTCGCCCAGACCGTCAAGAGCAGGCACTGGACTCCACGACTCGCGCAAAGAGCTGGCAGGCAGTGGGCCATCTGCGATGGTACGGCGACCCATTCGGCGAAGTGGGGGGAAGCCGGCGGTGTTGTCGCCACTGCTTTCATGGCCGTGTTCAGATGAAATGGCGGTATCGCCTCGCGCAGACGAGGCGTCGGCACGTGGGCTTCGCGAGCGTGTCAATCGCGCGTCAACAGCACGGCGATACGAGGCCCTTGCCCGCATGAGTGAGGGGTCTCGTGTGTCACGTAGCAGTTCTGGCACAGAGGTCCGCGAAGCAGAGGCTGGCGCAAAGCCTGGAGTGAAAGCCGGAATGGGGCGCTCGCTGTCCATGGCGGCGCGTGTCTCCCAGGCGCGCATGTAGCCATCGAGGCGATTGCGCGAGCGGCGCAGGCTGCTCTCTTCGCGTTGTAGCGCAGGCAGCTCTCTCGAGGCGTCGTGGGTGCGGTAGTCGGTCCTTGATACCTCGGGGACTGGCGGAGGCGCTAGACGCGAGCGGTGTGAGGGGCGCGGAACCAAGTGAAAGTCGCTTGCAGAGGCAGAGGCCGAAATCAAAAAGTCAGTCTCGAGGGTACTATGAGGTCGCGGTGATCTGGTCGGTCTGGGGCGGCGACGGATGGGAGAGCGATGGCCGCTAACATCGTCTCTCAGCACGTCCCTGTCTTTTGCATCGTCGCGCTTGATATTCCAACCGATGGGGATTCCCATTGCGCAGACAGTCTGACGTTCTGGTTTGGACAAAGATGGGTGAGGAAGTCTTGTGGTGGTGACGCGCGTGAGGATGGTTGACGAAGGAACGAACCAGGGCGGATGAGCGGGCAGGCGCCTAGTACCGAACCGCAAGCCTGAAGCGTCCGGGGAAGGCGCCGCGCTGAGGCAAGACGGGTGTACCAGTACCGTCTATTATGGGAGGCTGACCCTTGGCCTAACCGCCGCCAGAGCATGAACGACGCCCAACTACTTCCTCATTCAGGGTACATGCTTTTCCCTGACAACTTGGCCATAGTTTCACCTGCATCCTACACTATCGACCACGACGCCAGCCACCAGACTCGCTGATCGTCGTCGGCGCGCGCGACTACCATTGCCAAGCCGAGCTTGCCTCTTTCGGCAAGGTCGCTTATGCCTGCGCCTGCAGCTTCTTACCACTCGCTCCCGTGACTCAACACCATCTGCACGTATATGCTCCCGAGCATGGCTAAAATCCAGCCGGGCTTGGAACGCATCAGCCAGCTTCTGAGAGGCGTCCATTTCCCGTGGCAATCCATTCATGTTGCTGGCACAAATGGCAAAGGCACTATTTGCCACTATGCTTCGTCGCTAATCAGCAAGAAAAAATCAAAACTGACGAGTGGTGCTTTCACTTCACCACATCTGATAGACAGGTAGGCATACTTCATGCTCGCCCTAGCCCCTGTCTAATCTGTGTCAGATGGGACTGTATCAAAATCAATAACAACCCCGTAGACGAGTCCGTCTTTCGCAAGATAGAACAGCACTACCTCGACCTGAACCTGAAGGAGGGCATTAACGCTTCACCATTTGAGATTTTGACTGCCACCGCTTTTACCATCTTCAATGAAGAGCGTGTCAGACTCGCCGTTGTCGAGGTTGGAATGGGCGGGAAGCTTGATGCGACTAACATACTAAACAACCAAGCCGTATGTGTCATTGCCAAAATCGCACGCGATCATGAGGGCTTTCTCGGAAACACTCTGAATGATATCGCACTACACAAGGCTGGTATTCTCAGAAAGAATGTTCCATACCTCATCAGTCCACAGAACGAGACAAATGTTAAGCATGTTATTACCGAGTATGGTGATCAAATCGGTGCAATCAAAACCGATAACACTGTGCTCCCCAGGTCTTTCTACACCAGCCCTGGTTGGCAACACGCGAGCAACCAATTGCGTTCAATGCAACAGACAAACCTACTATTGGCCGCCGTTGCCACTATCAAGGCTTACGAGTCTCTGACTCTTCGCTTTACGCCGACTGCCCTGACCGAGGATCTTTATAAAATCAGCAGCCCCGTAAATCACAGCGCCCTAAATCCTGGACGACTGGAAGAGATCAAAGTACAACCCGTCTTTGGGGACCCAAATGGTATTAATACTTCTAAAATAAAAGGGCGGCGGATCATGGTAGATGGCGCTCACAATCCGGATGCTGCGAAGTTTCTGGCCGATCATGTCAACTCAGTGCAGAGAAGAAAGAAGAGAGGAGAGAAACGAAAGACTGTAATCAAGCCACCCAGAAATGGGTGGCGGGTCACGTGGGTGCTTGCCATGACCGAAGGGAAGGATGCAGAGCAATACTTGAGCATACTACTGCAACCCGGAGATAGCGTAATCACCACCACGTTCGGTCCCGTGGACGGTATGCCCTGGGTCAAACCAATGGATCCAAAGAAACTCCTGAAAATAGCACAGGCTGTTCATCCCGCCATTACGGGCATGGCCATGCCTAGAGATGGAGTGCTTCGAGCACTGTGTGCAGCCAAATTTCTAGCCGATCCACAAGGGTCAATTGTCTTGACCGGTAGTCTGTATCTTGTTGGCGACTTCCATCGCGAGCTACGCCCCAGGCGTGCTCAAGATTACATGACCGCCCCTGAGTATGAAGAAGATAGAAAAAGGTTCAAGGCTATGTTGCAGACAGAAGAGAAAAGGGTTCGCGCCCTGTTCGGCAATCCCCATGCTCAGCCCTCCACCCAAGATAGCACGATCGAGGAGAGTCCGTTCACTCCGAACACCAGCCCTGATCTCGAACAAGTCGATGTAGACAGCGAAGAGCAAGATCCGCGACAGTTGGAACGTGAGAGATGGAGCAATATGCAGGCAGAGCTTGCTACTATCGATAACACGTTGGATGCTATCGCGGAAGAGGAGCTCAATGTGCTGAAGAAGTGGGCTCCCCAAAAGGATGAATCGAGGAAGGAGGAAGAAGAGAAGGAGAAAAATGGGGTGGAAGAGAAGGAAACGAGCGACGAGGATGAAGAGCACGGAAAAGAACAGAATGAGAGTAATGAGATTGAAGAGACCGATGAACAAGACATGCTAACGATCCAGAATGAGCAAGCCAAACAAGCCGAATCTTTCCACAGCCCTGAAATGCTGGAGGGTCTAACAATGCTGGATGAGAAAGAGCCGCCAAAGACACACACGACACACGAAGGGGACCAAGGGCCAGTCACAAGACACCAGGGACTGCCTGAGCAACTCAAGATGGGGAACGAACGAACCTGAGACTGAACCCAACCAGAAAATTGCAAATGGTGGATTTAAGCAAGACACTGGATATGAGGAAAGCATGGAGCGATCAAACCCCAAAGGACGTGAATCATAAGACGCCTTGAGTGGTCTATTCGAGGAACAGGCGGGGCCCACAATCCGCAAGCACACAGGCCACATTAAGAAGACCGTCCCAAATTTTACGGAGAGGTTTCGCGATAAGACGTATAGTAGATGAAAGATAGGTGTATGTAATGACATGTAGTTTGCGTTTACGAGGGAAAGCGCTGGGTAGCGACGCATCCGGGGGTAAAGCGTGGTTATGCATACACGGCGTTACACTCCACTGTTCAAAATTTCCCACTTCTGTAGCATACCCGCCATGTAGCTCAAACAACAAATCGCTTCTCTCCACTCAAATCCCATCTCATGTTTCTTACATCTCTTAAACCGTAATCCTCCCATCCTTCACCATATCCCTAATCGCAGTAATACTACTCTCAACCGCCGTCTTCGCCATCTATACAACACACGTTAGCCCACCTCTCCACAACCAAAAAAAAGAAACACTCAAACTCACCTTTTTCAATCTCCCCACCTCCTCCTCCAATGCCTTACTCCCCTCCTCCCCCTGCACATCAAATTGAAACGCATACGTCATATACAGTTCCCCTTCCCCTCCCTCAGAGATAATGTTCCTAATCACACTCCCGTCTTCCTGTTCAAACTCGACCCAACTAGGCCAATAACTCGTCACTACTTCTTTGGCTTGCGGTTTAGGCGCTAGCCCCTTTTTGAAGATTACTTCGCGGGTGACTACTGTGCCGGAGGAGCCGAAGGCGGACGAAGAAGAAGCTGGTTCTTCGGACAGAACGGTGCAGGACTCGATGACAGGCACGAATTCTTGGGCGAACCGGATTTTTCGCTGCAGGCCGGCCCAGAGTTGAGGGGCTGTTAGGGGAGGGGTAGCGGAGGGCGGGTTGATGGGGGTGGTGTGGGAGAGGTTTATTTGCGGCATTGTTGTGGTGTGGTGTATATGGGGGTTTTTGTTTAAGGGTTTAGATAGATAAAAGAGCCGGATAATATTCAAGATGCTGAGTGGTGTCTGTTTATGTATTTATATTGTTTATTGTCGTTGAAGTTATGGGCGTTGTGACGCTTACATGGTGGAACCCGCTTCTTCCTCCACCTCCCCCCTTCGGATGCCGCTATGTCCGGACTTTTAGTATGATTTGTAATGACAACGAGATACTCAAGAATTCAGTAAATCATGGAATATCTTGGAAACTATTGGTTCTATTTTGTCGGCTCTATCACTGTGTTGTCATCACGTTGTTATGTAATCCGAGAAATTGGAAAGGAGTTCCGTCCTGAGCCTTGCTCGTTCCTCGGGTGGTGGCTGACGTCAGTGGAGGACCAACCTACATGAAGCCGCGTGAGTATACATGGGAAGAGAAGCATCTTTCGGGGGCATCAATGAATAGGCACTTCAATTGCCATTGCATCAATTGATATCTTGCAATTATGGTGTACGTTGGATTGCTTTATCAGTTCATCGTCCTACAACCACTGCCATCGCCATCATCTGTTCTCGTGCTGATCACAAAACAATTATATACCCACACACGTAGTACACCGACCAAACATCCGATTGGAGCCAGTACCAATACCATGGTAGTCGTCTTGCAAGTTCGGCTCCCCGAAGTCCGACCTACGAACGCCCGGTTTATGCAAGACGGCTCTCTTGCCGACATTGTGAAGCTTCCATACATCACATCTTTCCATCACGTGTTTAACCAAGCATCATATAAGAGCATATAAACTGCACGGTCCAGGTTGTAAATTTCACGACATCGAAAGGCCTGTACAAGCTGAATTTCAAGTCCATCCAACGTGGCGGGGCATGATCTGTCATTGAGGTATCATTTCACCAGCCTTTCGCTCTAGATTTCAATAGTAGCTACTGGGCATAACCCGCCGGAACGCCATGCTTTTGATTATGCACATCATCCTTTCCCGACATTCCTCAAACCCCATCTAAGCGTCCTCGACGATCTGGGTGTGGAGACCCTTGGGGTCCTTGACGTTGACGGCCTGGACGTACGAGTAGAGCTTCTCCTTGGCGCCCTCCTCGTCGTTACGCTTACGCGAGATGCGGACACGGAGGCGGAAAGGAACGCCCTTGATACCGGACTCCCAAACCTTCTTGTTGAGCTGGGGGTCTAGGCGGACATCGTTGGTGCCCTGTGATGCATGTTAGCAAGAATTTACTCAGAATGCGAATCCACAAATTCGCTGCTCAAAGTCTTCACATACCATAGCCTGCTTGGCGAAAGCGCGGATCTCCTTGACAGCCCTAGGGGCCCTCTTCTTGAAGCTGACGCCGTGGACCTGTATCCAACGTATTAGCCTTATGTTCTTCTTCAGTCTTCCGCCCGATGTCTGCATAGCCAAAGATGAATGCTCAAGCCAACGTAATCAACGATTGGTCTAATTGAGCACTCATCCAGGGTTCTGCCGACCATCTTTGGACTTCACAAAACTGAATCAACATACGCGCTTGTGTAGGTGGATGGTGTATTCGCGGGCGACGACATCGGCGATAGCGCTGCGGCCAGTCTTTCCGGCAGACTTCTTGCCGGCGGTCTTGGTGGAGGGAGCCATTTTCTAAAAGGACATAATGTTAGCAGATATTCTGATCGCAGGGCCAATGTCCAGCTCAGTGTCGCATAAGCTTTGGTGCGCTATTGCAGAGAATATTCGAGCCGGACATGGCATCGGAAATGCGGTACATACTGACAGAGGTTCTCGCTGTAGGGTTAGTCGACGTTGGAGATGCGAGTTGAGGCTTGTGGTTCGGAATTTCGCGACAGACGAAAATCGGATGCGAATTGTGGTCGCTTACTTAGCGCGCCACGCACGGGCCATGCATACACGTGAGTCCGAGCTTCATTCGTGACTGCACATGTGGAGAGACTTGAGCTGCATAAATGTGTTTCGTTATTTGGGTATCTATCTAGGAATCGTTTTCTTTTCTTTTTTCCAGAGATTCGTCAAGAGCTAAGCAATGAGTTGACCGCCTGCAAAGTAATGTACGCCGTTTTGCCGCCACCTTAGACATGACCCGGTAGGTCAAACTCCTTGCCGCGTTTCTTGCTATTCATTTCGAACTCTTCATCGTCGTCCTCATAGTCATCCTCGTGCTCACTCTCCTCGTCACTGCTGCTGTCGTCTTCGTCGTCGTATTCGTCGCCTGCGAGGTAGCGGTCCAGCCGCCCACCATCTTCGCCCCAAAATTGCAATCCGTCAGGATCGTGGTCTTCGGTCAGATCCAAAGTTGGTATCTCTTCAAACAAGGCTGGGTTCAGGTCGTTCCTGAAGCGCACTAGTGATTGCGTAAAACGCTCCAAAACATATTGTGGCAAAGAAGGCTCTTTGACCGTGGTGCCATCTGTGGCAGGACGTTCTGTGCGGTCATCATTGCCAAGATCAATAATAGGCACATCCTCAGCTCGCACATCCCCAGTTGGGTTGAGATAGGTATCAAATGATCTACGAACCCGCTCTAGCATTTGCTGTGCCGCATCGGGCATTTGAGGCATCTGCGGCATTTGGGGGAACTGTGGTATCTGTGGGAAATTTGGCAACGGTGGAAACTGAGGTAAGGATGGAAACTGGGGCATCTGAGGCATTTGCGGCATCTGTGGCATGCGCGGTCTTCCAGGAAATTGCGGCATTTGGAAGGGGAAAGAGGGTAGCTGACCTGGCAGCCACGTTTCCTCCGGCTCATCTGGCTGGAAATAGTATCGAGGAGAGCGAAGTGGTGCTTGGGACGATGGCGAACTGACGCTCATAGGTGATCTCGAACCAGCATCTCGGTCGGCATCCAGAATCGCGTTGGCAGCCTCTTCACTCTCTGGCCCATTGAGAATGCGAAGCTCGTTGGTATTGTATGAGTCGCATGTGGCACACTGGTTTCCAAGCCAATGATACTTGACAGAAGATTTGGCAGAACAATCGTTGCACTGAACGACTGCACGGGTTTGTGCGAATTGCTCTGGCATAGGTTGACCTTCGATTGCTTGTGTCAACTTTTGCCACTGCAGGTCCATACACACAGCGCTCTTCTTGCATATCGGGCACTTGTATGCAGCTTGCATGTAGAGATTGTAGCAGCCTTTGTGCAGATAGTGGCCACAGGGCATTGAGACTACGGCAGTGGACGAGGTGAATAGGTGGTCGCCGCAGATTGGACAATCACCTTCGGTAGCAGCCGGAAGACACTTGTGCGAGGTTGCGTGAGATATCGAGATGCAGACATTGCAGCTCTGACTAGAGTTAGCCTGGTTTCAGACACGTTCAATGTATGCACTCACCTTGCAATGATAAAAGTCTTTACCCAGACCCTCTCCTCGTCGACATATACCGCAGTCTGGGCAGTGGTAGATCTTCTTCTTGCTGTTGTTGTCCCACAACTTGCAGATGTCACAATAGTAACACGCAGCCTCAGTTTCACAGTTCTTGCAGCAATCACTCGCACTCTGGGGCGTGCCACACACCATGCATAACATATTTTGCGTCATCTTTCTGTTCAGGTTATGGTCCTCGACTGCATCGTGACAATGGCGACAGGTGTACCAGCGACGACATTCAAAGCACTGCACCTTTACATTGCGCTTGTAATGCTGACAGCCGAGCACGTGCTCCCCTTCTGCAGTATCCTCGTCCTCGTCTTCGCCATGTTCTGCGCCATCATAGTGGTGATGTGGTCGGTACGTCGGGTTTGTGTCGCCTTCGCGGAGGTTGAAGGGAACATCAGCATTGGTATCGGACGGAGACGAGTAGGGCGACGAAGCGTGTAACTCGGAGAAGACCGACTCTCCGGATGTGGGCGTGAAAGGGCGGTCGTGTGATATGAAGCTTGCTGGGGACGTTGGCCGCATGAAGTTGTACTTCTCCGTCATGACTGCGTGGATCATACGAGCCCGCTCATGGTCTGAGATGTCCAGGGCCCTGATTTCGTGGATGCGCGCACGGAGATGGGCCATACCATCATCTGCCGGGAGCAATTCCGCCATGGCAGCCGCATGCTGACTGCCAGTACTGGGCGTGCGGTGCAGCGAAGAAGTCGGCGGCGTGTTCAGGCGTGATGAGTTGGTCGAGTCGTCTCCGGCCGCTACATGGAGTTGCCGGAGTTGATATGCGAGCGAGGGCGAGGGATTCGCAGACATTTTGGACTGGGATGTCTATTGGTGGCCGCGCTTCATCACTCTGCTCTTCTTCATCAACAACGGCACTGCGAGGTCGCTGAGAGAAGGAGGAATATCGCTGGAAACGGTCCATCAAAGCAGTGGGTCGTGTGCCCGTTGCTTCTTCGGCATCGGCAACGTCCACATGCTCCAGCGTGTTGGCCGTATTTGCGCCCGTTTCGCAGTCTGGCGGTGGGACAGCAGAGTCGCGATTATCACATGCTAGAGACCGAGCTCCGTCCACGCTCGCCTCGCCAGGCGGAACAGCACCTGAGAAACGACGTGCATGGCGCACGACAGGATCAATAATGAAAGAGGAAAAGAGACTCATCGCGTCATGCTGCACGTGTAGGAAGAAGTGGTATGTGAGAAGGAACGCGTAGTCTCAGTCTCAGTTCCTCCTGGCCTAAGACGGTCCTGGCGCTGCTCGCACTGTGCTCCTCTTTAACACGTTTCTGTGGCTCAGTCTGCTCACATGTCCTCGTAACGCCACAGTCGCCACGAGAGACATGTCAGAGAAACAATCAACGCAACTGGGCCAAACTCCGGTCCGACATGCTCGTGACAGAGCTTGGGGCAACGCTGTCAGAACATATCATCGGTAGATCCACGCCGCCGGTTGGTCGCCGCTCCCACTCCCCTCATGTTTGGTTCCCCCTAATTCCCATGCCACACGCTACCGCCAGGCCCAACCTTGGAAAAGAGCAGGAAGCCAACCAATCTTGAAAATCCGAATCCGAGGCTACGCATGTTTGGACGCATGGGATCAATGTGTTGAGTTGAAATGCTCACGTGATTCTCACCATGTACAGCAACGAGCTTTCCGTGCAATCCGACTACCTTGAATGACCGACCACACCTCCGATTGCAGCGCCCTGCTAGGCATTCTTCCTGATTGAGCAATTTGCTGGGTTTGGCAAGTTCATGGCAAGTGTTGATCACAGCAGAAGCCCATGGAAATTAAACATGACGGTTGGCGTTCCAGTCCACTCGCGAACCCAGCTCGGCCAGCCGCCACAGTGGCAATCGGCATTCGGCATCCTCCCCCCGTCTCAGATATCGATCCTCCACCACACCTCACCTGCCGTGGCGACTTCCAGAGAGGGCAGTTTGGATCAAAAACTGTGGATTGCGGCGGACTTTTTGCGGTCGCAAAACGGACCGAAGTAACCACTTTTTCTCTCTTCACTCCGCGGAGCCAAAAAAAGAGGCCAGTAGGTAAACAATGGGGATCACCTCTGACTCGTCTCGAAACCGTTTCTACTGTCCCAGAGTCGCGAGGCATGCCGCAAACAGCAATTTCCCAGGCAGACGTCGATTACGGTAAGAAAACTTGGGTGCAAAGAGGAACCATCACTGCCTCGATTGTAAACAATTCCATGGTTCAATGGCGGCATGACGCATTTCCGGACTCATGTCGCCCACCTGCCTCCCCAGCCGTCCTCATCTACGATATTGCCGCAAGAGGAAGTTTTCCACCAAAACCATCGATTGTCGTGGCTATGTCATGGGTGAGAGACCAGACGGCGCAACCATGTACATGTTTGTTTCCCTCCCAGCTGCTAAACAAAACCGCACCAGCCCCAAGCTCCCGCAACAACAACTCCGGGACGCTGTACCAGCCCCTATACCTCCCAAAACAGCAATTTCACAAAATCCATCGAAGACAGTTGGCTTTTCGTGGGTGGCTTTGTATCGTATACCTCCTAAAGGAGCAAAAAATCAGTTATCCATCGAACATGGCATCCATTTCGTGGGTGAAGAGGTATCAAACCGTCCCGCTCCCGTAATGAAGACATGGACAATGCCACTCCCAACCAGGCAAGTACCTACAAATCCATTGATGACTGTCGTATTTTCCGTGGAAGACTACTGCCTATCCCGCGTGCGCATGACCCGTTGAAACACCACGCTCTTGTCATGGCAAATTGCGCGAACGACCCAGATCAGGCAATTCGAGCCCCCAGGTGTCGAACATGGCAGATATACCGTGGTTCTGCATCGTGAGCCGGCGTAGCACTAGGTCTTGTTTTGGTCCACCCCTGGGTGCCTCGTTCCCTCAAGATCCAATTTCGCTTACCGACTCACGATCTCTTTTTTCGTGTCCGCCGATTGTGTTGGCGTTGTTTTGGGGGGTGTTTCTCTGGGCCGCTATATGCGGTCTAAAGGCTAGAACCCACTTCTACGGAAACGACTCCATGTACCTAGATGAGCGTGTCCATGGAATGCGTCGTCGCTAAGACGAGGTAGCTGTTCGTATTAGGAGGCGAGTGGTAATTACTACGGATGATGCATGAGGAGTTTTTTCTTGGTGGCATTGCTGTTGCTTTGCCACCAATCTTTTACTTGTCAAGCGCTTCATACGATCCATGTGGTACGTTGCAAACAGACCAGGAGACGTTGAAGAAAAGGAAGATATGGGCTTTTCCCCTTTATCACACAATGCGACTATAGGGAAACCCCTTTCCTGATTGCCCATGTGCACAGGACAAACCAAGACAAAAAGCAAAACATGGAAGACCCTACTTTGATAGCTCAGTCTTATTGCCCCTATCCTCTATTGTACGCACCTTTGTATCCTGTGTCTCGCCGTACTCTGGTCCTTCACCACCCGCACGCATGGGTATACATGGCGCAATGTTTTTCAATAGGGTAATAGGGAGCAATGTAGAGGTAGGCTTGTCTCGCATGTTTCTATCGTCGGACCCTTTCATTATTAGGCAAGCTATAGCCATACAATAAGTAAAATATCAATGATACAGGTCATTATCGAGAAAACAAGCACATACCGAAACCTACGCGAAATCCATTAGATGCCCGCATTCAGTCATCGTCCTCGAAGCTCGGCATATCTGTCGCTGGTAGTAAGGCCTTCGAGGTCTGTTTACGCGAATCGACGCCCCTTCGCAGTAGTACCTGCTCGCCTTCAGGCCCCTCGTGGAACCGGATACATTCGGTTTCCGCTGCCCGCATATATGATGCGATGACTCGCTCGTCTCTAGATACGATTGTATCCTTGGACTGTCGTCGTGTGTCCCGTTCAATGCTTGTCGCAGTGCGCTCCCAGGGGTACTCTACTTCTTCTGCGTTGTCATTAGTGGACTGTTGGTCATGCGGCGATGTATTGTTTGCGGTGGCAACTTCAGAATGAACATAATCTGTAGCTCTGTTGTTGGGTCCTATGAGTTGACGAACGATCAGACGACGCATTGCGGGCTGCAGCTGTATCATGAGTCCACTGAGAGGTACCAGTGTGAATTGTGTTACTTACCATGCACACACAGAAGACGCTGTTGTTGGCCTCTAAGACACTCCAGTAATCAGAGGGAGCATTGTCCCAGGTTGGATTTAGCGATTTGGCGTAATTGATAATTGCTGATATTCGTCCACAAGAGACCAAGAGGATACTAAGTGAATTAATTAGCTGTGGCCTACATATACTTGGATCCTTGCGGCAAGCACATACAATGCTCCGACAGCGAATACAGCGATGACCTCAAATTTCTTTCGACAGATCATCGATAATTGAAGCAATGCTGGGATAGGCAATAATATTATCAAGGGGTGTAAGCAAACCGTGGCACCAGCAGCAGATAGTATGAGGTAGTTGATGTTCCAGCACTTCCCGTCGTGCTCCCGGTCCCATTTCTGCCAGATGAGTAACGTGGGATGGCAATAGAAGATGAAGCTGATCTCGAAGAACAACCAGTAGAATATTGTGAGGGCTATCGTAGCGTGAATGTAGCAACGAAGTTGCTTCTGAGGGAAGACGCGTAGATACATCAAGAGAAATGCCAACTTTGGGAGTGCAGTTGTAGGCAAGTAGAAGATTTGTGTAAGCCATTCCAGCTGCTGTTGTTAGTCTTTGATGAATAAATAGACTTCTACAGATCATATACCTTCTGGACATATGTGATCCTGTCAGGCGACAATGTCCAGGTATCCCACCCTAGGCCAGCAAACGCAATACGCAGGAGGAAGCCAGTCATAGGTATGGACGTGATGCCCGCACCAAGAGCACAAGCATCACCCCATCCAAAGTGGCCATCAACAACTGTGTCAACCGTACGAAGTAAAACCGCTAGAATGGAAAGACCGCCTGAAACGCTACCAATGACAATTGGCTTGATGGTGTTGTTGCGAATTGGTCTTTGGCATACAGTGGCAATGACGTTGAGCGCGACCAGAGCTTGTCTGATGGTACACGTCTTGTCCGCACAGTGGTGCATCCCAAGAGCGGCATTTGGATCCGTGCATATGCATGTAGCATTCTCGGGCGAGCATGTCAATACGGTCTCAAGAGCCGATGTTAGGCAGTCGGTCTAAGACAATTAGTGTGCTGTCTCGATGAGTCAAGGTTAATGTGAACCAACCGCATATTGTGGAAGCAATTGTTGCAAGTCTCCGACAACGTCGTGAAGCTTGTGTGGACCTAGAAAGTACCCAAGATATGTTGATCCCAACATGGTGGCATGTTGCCAGGTGAGGTAGTGAGCGCGGCTGGCGCTTAAATCCAGGTTCAACCGACCAAGCTTTTGCGGCACAGCGCTCTGACAGATAGGAAATTGTCCCTGAGATTTGTGACAAACAAAATTATGGGGTTGAAATCGATTCGCCGTGTGGGATAAGGCGAAGAGAGTATGCAAGAAGCGCCCCTTGGCCATGCCGCTTTGCGAGAGAGTGCACACACATGAATGTTTTACATGATTGAACGGAGTTAGACTCCGCACACGATAGATTCAAGTGTGAAGACGTGCATGTAAGCTACCAGATCGCTTGCATACATCTGAGCTGAATATAGCGATTGCCATGTCTAATGTGGTCTGGTACGTTGTTGGAAATATGGACCACATGGGCAGGATCGATCAGCGCCCAAGTACATGTCTGAGCTGCTATGCATGGTTCGGGCTTTTCTATGATGTCGTGATACAGATAGCCCCCATAGGAGTAGGAGGTCAAATGAATTACTGGGCTGTTGATGAGTGTGCATGCAGGGTCACAATCGTGCTTGCGAGGTGGAGCTCTTTGCTGCTAGCGCCTTAGTCTCGGCACGGGTACTTCCAGCTTAACAAACGCGACTTCACCGCGAAACCCCGACCGTGCCTCTTTCTGCGACGTCAGCGCCCGAAACTTTTACCACCAAGCAACTGGACAAAACTCGTTTGCGGAGGTTTTAGCTGTTAACGGCCGACTACAAATAATCCTCGCATCCGCCAGATCACGGTGCCCGCACAAACTCTCCGCCGCCCGCCTGCCCCACCATTGTTCGTACACACAACTTCTGCAAGGCAACGAGCCTCTGCGCGCCCGCTCTCCCCCCACACAAAAGGCGCGCATACGCAAGCCAAATACAGCTACACCGGCAATCAAGCTTGTTGGGGACATTTGAGATAGTCTCAGGCTGATTGGGAGCCTTTCCCGCCGCGTGACAGCCCGCCGCCATGTCTCTGTCCATTGAAGAGCTCGACGCTACAGTGCGCGCCTTCTACGAGGGCCGTGGCGATACGGTATGTTCTATTGCACTTTTGGGAGACTGGATTGCACAAGTACATGACTAATACACTGACTTTTGTAGCAAAAACAAGCCCAAGCCACTCTGAATCAGGTATGTATTAATGTCTCCATTGCGTACCCTACCCAGTCCGGTCAGCTAACACGCAAGCAGTTCAAGGAGAACCCCGATGCATGGCTGCTGGTTGACAAGATTCTGTCGGATGCGCAATACCCGCAAACTAAGTGTAAGTATCAACATGTCGGGTGAGGCTGGCTAGTATCGCGCTAATCCATGGGCAGATCTCGGGCTCCAAGTTCTTGACAATGTGATCATGACGAGATGGAAAGTGCTGCCCCGCGATCAGTGTCAAGGTATGGTGGACATGTTCCGGCGCCCGAACGTGATTGACTGACTCGCCCAGGAATCCGAAATTTCATCGTCAACTTTATCATTCAACTGTCCAATAACGAAGACAGCCGCCGCACCGAGCGAACTCTCCTTAACAAACTAAACCTCGTCCTCGTGTCCGTTTTGAAGCAGGAATGGCCTCACAACTGGCCCACGTTCATCAACGAGATCATATCGTCATGCCACAGCAGCTTGGGCATATGCGAGAACAACATGGTCATTCTGCGATTACTTTCCGAAGAAGTCTTTGACTACTCCGAGGAGCAGATGACGTCGGCCAAGCGTAGAGAGCTCAAGCAGAGCATGTGTGACGAGTTTACTGCCATCTACCAGCTCTGTTCCGAGGTCTTGCGCACAGCCACCGAAGCCTCACTCATCAAAGCCACACTCGAGACCCTCCTGCGCTTCCTCAACTGGATTCCTCTGGGATACATCTTCGAGACGCCACCCAGCGGCCAGAGCCTCATTGAGACGTTACGAAGCCGCTTCCTCGAAGTGCCCGACTTCCGGAACATCACCCTCAAGTGCTTGACGGAGATTGCCGGTCTGCATACGGAGCCTGCGTACGACGATAAGCTCGTCTCCATGTTTACTGAAACACTGACGGCCATTTCCAAGATCATTCCTCTCTCGCTAGACCTTAAGAGTACATACTCATCCAGCAATGGCCGGGACCAGGAATTCGTGCTGAACCTCGCACTCTTCTTGACCAACTTCTTCACCATGCACCTGAACGTCATTGAAAATCTCATGAACCGGGACTTCCTCACTCATGGGCATTTTTATCTTATCCGTATAAGTCAGATTGACGACCGCGAGGTCTTCAAGATCTGCCTCGAGTATTGGACCAAGCTGGTATCAGAGCTGTACGATGAGATGCAGGCTCTCCCGATTACTGACATGAATCCGCTCCTTAACATGGGAATTCCAGGAAACGGAGCTCGCGAGCTGGCCAATTACCCTCTGAGGAAGAACAAGTACACCGAGATTCTATCCAACCTCCGTACAGTCATGATTGAGAAGATGGTCCGTCCTGAGGAAGTCCTTATCGTCGAGAATGATGAGGGCGAGATTGTCCGCGAATTTGTAAAAGAGAGTGATACGATTCAGCTGTACAAGTCTACTCGAGAGTGCCTCGTCTTCCTTACCCACTTGGATGTTAACGACACCGAACAAATCATGTCGGAGAAACTGGCTCGCCAAGTTGACGGTTCAGAATGGTCATGGGCCAACTGCAATACTCTCTGCTGGGCTATCGGATCCATCTCGGGCGCCATGAACGAAGAGACAGAGAAGCGCTTCTTGGTCACTGTGATCAAGGATCTGCTTGGCCTGACCGAGATGAAGCGAGGCAAAGACAACAAAGCTGTTGTCGCTAGTAACATCATGTACATTGTCGGCCAATATCCTCGCTTTCTCAAGGCTCATTGGAAGTTCCTTAAGACAGTCGTCAATAAGCTGTTTGAGTTCATGCACGAAACCCACGAGGGAGTTCAGGACATGGCTTGCGATACCTTCATCAAAATTGCCAACAAGTGCCGCCGGCATTTCGTTGCTCTGCAGCCCGGAGAGACCGAACCCTTCATTGACGAAATCGTTCGCAATCTCCGGAAAATCACTGCGGATCTTTCACCGCAGCAAGTGCACACCTTCTATGAGGCCTGCGGTTACATGATTAGTGCCCAAGGACAGAAGAGTATGCAAGAGCGCTTGATCGCCGACTTGATGGCTCTGCCAAACTCGGCCTGGGACAACATCATTGCTCAAGCCAACCAAAACCCCGCTTGTCTCCAGGATTCGGACGTCATCAAGATTGTCGGCAACATCATGAAGACTAACGTTGCAGCGTGCGGTTCAATCGGTTCCTACTTTTACCCTCAGATCGGACGGATATACTTCGACATGCTGACAATGTACCGTGCGAGCTCACAACTTATTGATGAAGCAGTCCAGCGGGAGGGCAACATCGCGACAAAGATGCCCAAGGTCCGCGGCCTTCGCACGATCAAGAAGGAGATCTTGAAGCTCATCAACACTTACGTCGAGAAAGCCGACGACTTGGAGATGATCCACAACAACATCGTACCGAAATTGTTGGAGGCTGTCTTGATCGATTACAAGAACAACGTCCCGGATGCTCGTGAAGCAGAAGTATTGAATGTTATGACAACTATCATCAACAAACTACATGTACGTTGGAGACCCAATCTGAGCAAGCACATGGTTGGACTCGCTCGGCCATCTTTAGATCCTATGCTAACTTCCCCGCAGAGTATGATGGAGGACCAAATCATCAACATCATGGACAGCGTATTTGAGTGCACGTTGGACATGATCAACAAAGATTTCTCGGAGTACCCCGAACATCGTGTGGAGTTTTTCAAGCTTCTCCGCACTATCAACCTTCGCTGCTTCCCAGCTCTGCTACGGCTCGATGCACGATCATTTAAATTCGTCATTGACTCGTGCATGTGGGCAAGCAAGCACGACAACCGCGAGGTCGAGAGCGCTGGTCTCTCCATGTGCTTTGAGCTTGTCTCTAACATGGCTGAAACTGACCAGCAGACCTGCAACGCCTTCTTCCAGACCTTCTTCACCACGATCCTCCAGGATGTCTTCTTCGTGGTCACCGACAGTGATCACAAGGCTGGATTCAAGTCGCAGTCGATGCTGCTGGCCAAGATGTTTTGGCTTGTCGACTCCGACAAGTTACAAGGCCCAATTTACACATCGCCTGACATGGCAGCCCCAGGCACACCAAACCGAGAGTTTCTCCGTAACTTTGTCGGCAACCTCTTGGCCACTGCCTTCCCCAACTTGCAGACGTATGTCATCTCTCACTACCCCGTGTAATAGCTACTGACCATTTCTAGTGCTCAAATTGCATCGTTCATCGACGGACTATTTGCCACCAACTCTGATCTTAACAGGTTCAAGGTCATTCTGCGTGACTTCTTGATCTCTCTGAAGGAGTTCTCTGGTGACAACGCCGAGCTCTACGCCGAAGAGCGTGAGCAAGCAGCGAAGACGGCCAAGGAGCAAGAGCGAGAGCGAGCCATGAAGGTCGGCGGTCTGCTGAAGCCGTCTGAGATGGATGATGATGAATTGTGACTTGAAGTTGAGCTGGACGCAAATGTGGCTACCCGCACGCCCTACGACGCTCAAGCTGCTGTTCACGAGTCTGCAAGCAGTCAGTGCGCGGGCGACCTCGATGGGTGGGACATGTATGGCTTGTGAGGGCTAGCAGATGTAGTAGAAGAAAGGGCGATGGCAAGACTGTGATGGATTGGGAGTATGCAATTCGACGCTTTGCCAAATTTCTTTTTAGCAAGGAGATGGAACCGGTTCGTTTTGGTCTAATACCCTATAGACCTTTCAGTTCTTGATTCGATGCATGGTTATATAGCTGGCTTGGAGGTAGCTTGGCTTGGCTTACATATAAAAAGGGAAGGGAAGCTTGCAGGCATACGGGCAGCCTCGTCTCGAAGGGACAGAACAAATATAGGACGCGATTGCCTCGAAGCATCATTATCCCAACCCTGGCCTTGCGGCTACTGCGCATGCAAGTCTAAATTTCCTGCCGGGCCGGCCCACTCTGCACCTGCACCTGCACCTTACCTGCGCCTCTTCCTCAAGGAGGAAGAGAAGGAGGTAGCATCATGCAGAATGACGAAGGCCGGCCGGTATGGCTGGCTAGTCTTGCCATGTAGAGCCATGTTTTGCCGTGATCAAAGACCCACATGTCAACCGTGATAGCATCATATATCTGGAAGAAAGTGCGAGCGGACATTGACGAGCGGCATGTGTTCCGCCCGGCGTGGTGATGATGCTGATCAGGTGTCGTGCACTCCTATGCTGGTTCCCGTTGCGGCTGAGCTACCAACTCGAGCTAGAGGCAGCCACGACTAGCCCTTACGTAACCCGGCACCTCTAGCCATCCAAACGTCGAAAGCGTCAATTGGGCAGACTTCAGCCTTTACAGCTACCCTAGCAGACCTGGCGGGTCTAAGATTCGGCAGAATAACCGCATGCGACCCCCTGTCCCATGCCCATCGCCCTAACGACATCAGTACGTGAGCCACTGCTGAACCTCGTGGCAGCCATACGCCCTCTGATTCGCCGATACACTCCTCGTCGTCTCAACGACATGGGCACTCTGCTCTTCAGCCAACGTATGCACACACTCGTGGCCCTTCCTTAGAATGCGTCGTCGGCAGCCATCTCAAGCCTGGCCCCTCCTTCGGCACCTCCCAAGTCTCTGCTAATACGTCGTCCAACCAGGCCCAAGCAAGTCTCTGGATTGATCGGTGCACTGCAGGGTACTGCGAGCCACGATCTGAGTGACTTCACACTTCTCGACTTTCCTACCAACTACGCACGGCCGTTCCAAGGCTGTCACTGCGAGTCTCAACTCGCTTTATTCTGTTTTTCAAGCCCCCACTGTCGAATAGGCGGTTACGGACAACGACACACCCGGCATTGCTGAACCTGTATGGTGGGATCCGCATTATATCCCGAGCCAGGATCTGTCGCTTGTGTTCCGTATGCGCATTGCCGTAAGGCTTCGAAACAACCTCTCGTGAATTCCTTCTTGCTGTTGGCACAATGTACGTCTTCCTCTCATATGGATTACCTGCAACCCCACCCATTGGTGGTTTTGAAAAAGAAAACCTCGTCAACAAGTCTTACTTCCAAGGAGGACACTACTGACTCAGCCCGCTTCTCCAGGAAGTTCGGCAAGCACATCCAGAAGAGACAGCTGGAAATCCCGGAATATGCCGCCAGCTTTGTCGACTACAAGGCGCTCAAGAAGGTTTTTATACTCTGCGATATACTATTAGCCGGTCGCTGATGCTACTATCTGCAGCTTATCAAGAAGCTTAGCGCTACTCCAATAATACCCCCGCAGGGCGACAGCAGTCACCATGATACACTGGATCCGCAAACCTCGTTACAGGCCAACAAGGCTACCTTTTTCTTTCGAGTGGTGGGTTACTTATGCTATTGATAGACAGGCCGCTTCTTACTCTTAGCATAGGAGCGCGAACTCGAGAAAGTTAACACATTCTACTTGCAAAAAGAAGCAGAGGTATGTTCAATTCTCCGCTTCTAGATGAGCGCTTACAGTCGTCGCAGTTGCGTCTGCGTTTAACCACCCTTCTTGACAAGAAGAGAGTCATGCAGCAACATCCGCAATCTGTTTCAAAGACATCTTCGCGCTATGTTGCCCTTGAAGAGGGACTAAAGCAGTTTAGCATGGATCTTAACAAGCTCGAGGTGATTGGTCCGCATGCCTGTGTTATTTCCATACTAACTTGACGTAGCAATTTGTGGAAGTGAACGAAACTGCATTCTCAAAGATTTTGAAGAAGGTTTGAGGCACCCCCCTGACTTCGCCGTTATCGACCGGCTAACATTTACTAGTGGGACAAAACGTCAAAAGTCTGCACGATCAGCCTGTGCAACTGTCGACATTGGCTGACTTAATGCCAGTCAAAAGAAAAACAGCTCTACCTCTCGCGCGCCGTCGAGGTCCAACCATGCTTCAACCGTGAAGTAATCAGCATATTGTCCGACCAAGCGACTCAAGCGCTACTCGATTTTTCAGGATGGGCTGAAGGCGAGGGTGTACAGGCGCCTCATCCTGCAACCGAACCACGCGTCTCCGAACCCGCGTTCGAAGCGAAGCTCGAGCTCGACAACCAGTTCGTACAAGCCATCAACACCGCAAATCAAAGCAAGATCGAAGAGTGCCTCGCGCGTCTATCGACTCTACCAGACGCAAGCGACCACATTTCTAGAGCGTTCCTTAGCACTGTTGCGGAAGCGCCAGAGTCTGCATTGAGAACTCTACTCAACTCAGGTCTTGTGAATCTCCAGCAGGAGGATGAGATTAATGAGCGAAATTGCCTGCACAAGTCTGCGATTAGTGGTCGAATCGAAGTACTCAGGCTCGGGCTGTCAAGCAACGTGGACGTTCATGCGACCGATGTTTACGGACGGATTCCTCTGCATTACGCCTGTATGCACGGCCATGTAGAGCTGGTTCAGGAACTTATCAACACAGCCTCTGATACAGTCAATTTCCGCGACCAGGACAGTTTTACACCTTTGATACACGCGATTGTGCATTCGAAACTTGCCTGTGTGGAGATACTCCTGTCTAGAGGCGCCGATCTTACTCGTCTGGGGCCAGGGGAGCATGTTCCGCTCAACCTCGCATGCCAGTATGCTTCGCTGGAGATACTGGAACTTCTACTAAAAAGGTCGGCTGAAATGCTTTCGGATGCAGAGGGGCTGTTTCCACAACACCTGGTGGCGCGTTCAGGCAAGACACCCGAGGCGCTGCTGATGCTAGAAAAGTATGGCGCAGACCTCAACCAGCCTGATAAGCTATATCAATGGACACCGCTGTTTCATGCGGCAAGTGAAGGGCATGTAGAGTGCCTCAAGACATTACTCCAATGCGGAGTAGATGTGGACATTGTGGACGAAAAGGGTCTGTCTGCCATGTACTACGCGACGTGGGAAGGGCACCTTGAGTGTATGAGACTGCTTGCCTCCGTCGGACGCGGTATTGGATTGGCGAAGCAGAAACAGGTGTCCCCACAGATTTCGTCGCAGCTATCGAGCTCGATGCCCGGAGCCATGGATATCGAAGGCGACGCAGACGGTATTCCCGAATTCATCCTACCGCCTCCTATTATTCCCTTCCGCAGATATGGACACAACTTCCTGGACACGAAGACGTTTGTGGTCATTAGCTTTGAGAAGGTCGGCAAGGACGCGATCCGGTTCTACGACGAGTCGAAATACCCCGCTGCGAGGCTTACAATTTCTTCCAAGAGCTCGGATCTCATACCGCGCAACATTCTCTTACCCATACAAGACGAGTTCAAAATCATCTCTTTCCAGATCGAGAATCTCGACACCTTCTCTATCGACTTTGACGTATATCCTACAATTGGATCGAAAGTCATTGCTCGCAGCGTAGCTTCTTCCAAGGTCTTTACGGAGCGTTCGAAGAGTACAGGGAGGTGGCATCTCGAGTTATTCGATCCCAGGCTACGAGCAATCGGCAGAGTTACGTTCGACTTCCAAGTCGTCAAGCCGTTTCATGGTATCCCGCTCGAGATAACACATTTTGCAACGTATTGGAAAGCCACTAGTCAGCTCGACTCGCAACCTCATACGCTCATAACTGGCTCGAGCTTATCAGGCGAATACGTGCGCTTGTTTGTTCAGTTGACTGCTGACGGTATCCCAGTGCTGCATCCAAGATGGAAGGTCAACCACCATGGACTAGAAGTTCCAGTCAACATCCTCACCTATCAACAATTCGCAGCTATTGGTGCCCAGCAAACAGCTGAAGCGGCAGAAAAGCTTTCGGCAGAACTGAGCAATACTGGTCCTAGTGATATAGCCAACATTTACCAGATTCTGGCGTCCTCATTCATTACATTGAATGATGCACTAGCAGCGCTTCCAGCTCATATCCATGTAGAACTGCACGTTCTCTTCCCATCTAGGCTCGAAGAAGAAAGTCTCAAGCTTGGCCCGACGCTCGACATGAACGCTTTCGCAGACAAGATTTTGTCAGTAGTCTTTGAACACGCACGTCAGTTGAGGGAGCGAGGCGCAGGCGAGATTGATGGTACGCTCAGAAGCGTGCTGTTTACTTCGTTCAACCAGGATATCTGCACAGTCATCAACTGGAAACAACCCAACTGTGAGTGTCTGTAGATGCAGTGCCCAACTAATGATGCTAACATAGAGATAGACCCGGTCCTCCTCTGCAACGAGCTCGGCGCCGATAGCCCTCGATCGTCATCCGAGAACACAAACATTGTGCAAAGTAGTGGTCGCACCACTACGTCTGTAAAGGAGGCTGTGCAGATTGCCAGAGACAACAACTTTATGGGCTTGATTTGCAGCTCGCGTCTGCTAGTGAGTATACAGAGAGTATTGCACATTTCAAGACTGATAAGAAGCAGTCACTCGCTCCTGCTCTCATCGAATCGATCAAGACGGCCGGCCTCGTCCTCGTCACGGATATAACAGATTCGTCTTCTGAAGGTGCAACACAGTCAGAGAATATCCACGTCGCAAACCCTCGCGGGCAGAACACACCCGATGGAGTTGATGGGTATCTGAAAGGCAATGGCGTGCTTTGCTTCAATGAGACTGTCGATATGTAATAGCGTGACGAGAAGTCGAACATGGATAGAAATGATAGCGGTAGGGCGGACATGGCGTTTGTTGATAGAATGGTTATACTGTGGAAGAATGGTTATACGAGAAGGACGATTGGGCGGTAATTGTGCATTTTGTCAAGAGTGGTATTTCGTAGACCAGGCTTCATCCCGTATGGTTATGAGTGAAAAGCCGAGAGCATGAGGTTGGAAATGCATGCAGGAGCTGGTACACAATGCAATACTATGTAGGAGTGGGAATGCCGAAGCATGGGTCAAGTGACGATTGTTGTCGAGGGTGTTGAAGTCATGACATGTGCAGCTGAGATGGTTCACATGCTCCCCGTTCGGCTGTCTCGATGCGCGACCCGAAGCGACCAGGGTCTGGCGTCGGTGGCGTTCCGATCTGCGCTACGCCTACATGGAAATTTGTCGAACGACGACAGTGTGCCCAGAAGCGGTCTCTTTGCCGCTTGCCGCTCGCTTTTCTGATTCCACCCAGCACCATCCACTCTACCGCGCTGTGAATTCGCCGGCCATGGTCATACCCAGATAATGTCGACGTTAAGCACCTTCTCTTCTCCGATCCTCCATAGGACGTGGATATGCCGCGCTTGTATACGGTCGCAACGGCAGACAATAGCGCAACAACCGCAGGGCCTATGGCAGCAACGAGGCGCACGCCTGACACAGGATGCATTTCGGAGCAGGATAGGTGCACAGCGGACGTTTGCCACACAGGCAAATGAAACCATACACGCAACGGCGAAGGCTGCGGGGCGGAGCGCAAAGAGCAGCAAGAGGAGGAGAAGATTGTTGATAGCTGGGGGTGGACTTGCAATAGGCGCGGCTGTGGTCACGGTCAACCAGGATGCCAAGCATGCCTATGTAGCGGCACAGAGGAGTTACAGGGTGGTGGAGACGCTGGTGCTCAACATTCGAGAGTATGTGGATAGTCTAGCCCGGTGGAGATGCAATGGCTGATATACGTGTTTTCGTAGCTACCGCGATGTTCTCAAGCGCGACCAAGAGCCAGACTACAACGAACAGCTGAAAGCCTGCCACCTACGATGCGCCAAACGAACCCTCCGCACACTCGAGAAGAACGGCTCCATCTTTATAAAGCTGGGTCAGCACCTGAGCAGCATGAACTACCTCCTTCCCATTGAGTGGTGCGATACCTTTATCCCGCTACAAGATCAATGCCCCGTGTCCTCTTTCGAATCTATACAAGACATGTGTCGGCAGGATACTGGTCTCGAAATCTCAGACTTCTTCTCTGAGTTCGAACAGCAGCCCATAGGCGCTGCCTCGCTCGCCCAGGTACACCGTGCTACTATCCGTGAAACTGGTCAGAAGGTCGCTGTCAAGGTGCAACACCCTGCGTTGGACGAATGGGCAAGACTCGACTTGGCATTGACGAGTTTCTCCTTTGCAACACTCAAGCGATGGTTCCCTGAGTACGATCTCACATGGCTCAGCGAAGAGATGGAAGTTTCACTCCCCCAGGAGCTTGATTTCGCCCTCGAAGGCAAGAACGCTATGCGAGCACGCGAGTACTTCTCCCACGTACACGAAGTACCCGTTGTCATACCTCAGGTGCTCTGGGCAAAACGTCGGATGCTGGTCATGGAATATGTCTCTGGATTCCGAACAGATGATCTCAAGAGCCTGGATGAGCATGGCATCGACAGAGATGAGGTGTCTGCAGCATTGGCAAGAATATTCAACGAGATGATCTTTGGCAGAGACGCTCCCCTTCATTGCGATCCTCATGGCGGCAACATTGCTATCCGATACAACCCTACTCGCAAAGGCAAAACGAACTTTGATGTTGTCCTATACGACCACGGTCTCTACCGCGATATCCCTTTGCCACTGCGACGAAATTACGCAAAGCTGTGGCTAGCTGTTCTGGACGCTGATGAGGATGAAATGCGCAAGTACGCCTATGAAGTAGCTGGTATCAAAGATGAGCATTTTCCGCTCTTTGCCTCTGCGATCACAGGCAGAGACTACACGGTACTGGCCAAGAAGGAAGGTGGCGCTGGAGGTGTCACGACTACTAGGACGAGTGAAGAAAAGAAGGTCATCGGAGATGCGCTTGGAGAGGGCTTGTTGGAAAACTTGATTGAATTGCTCGGCCAAGTGCCCAGAGTCATCCTTTTGATTTTGAAGACGAATGATCTTAGTAAGTCTTTCACACTATGTATTATGAAACGCTTTCTAACATGTATCCAGCTCGTTCACTAGACGAAGGTCTGCACACACGCCAAGGTCCCATGCGCACCTTTCTCATTCTAGCCCGCTACGCTTCCCGTACAGTCTACGAGGAGTGCCTCGACAATCTCAATGGATCCGTGCTCTGGCCCAGCAATTTCTTCATCTGGCTGGGCGCGTGGACAAGGCATATGCGGGTGGAGATGCAGCTGAGCAGCTATGAGACGTATCTCAAGCTGAGGGCCCTGCTGGGATTGAGGAAGATTGAGATTGCGGATAGTTTCAGGGAGTGATAATGTTGTGTGTATATGGGTGTGGGAGGCATGAACAGCGAGGAGTTTTGCGACTATAGAGTGGCCATTTGCCCTGGGGATTTAGAGTTAGACTAAGATCAAGACACGAGCATTGCCAATTGATTAATCTGCAACTACAGCCGAGGCTTGGGCTTGGCACGTGATAAGAGTGATATTTGAGCAAGAAGGCCTACGTTTGGTGGGATAGACCTGGAGTGACAGATTGCTGTTAGTGCTAGCAACGCGGAAGACACGGAACCATGAAGCGGGTTGGGGCTCGAGTTTGGCATGTGGCGGTGCCGGCTACGGTACCTGTCGAGGGGCTTGGGCATAGTTTGCGTTTTGCGTCGCAGGCGAAAGGTAGGTTTATGTTTGACGCCTAGTTTGCAGTGCGTTTGAGGCGTGGTCGTCTGATCATGTGCAAGTGAGGGGTCTTGGTATGCCCAGATGGTCGAAACATGAGCTGAGGTGGCTCAAGCACCGAATGCGGCACTTGAGAAGTACTTACTTCAGCACCAGTTTGTTATTCGGCCCATGGAATCATGGATATGCCACTTGGCAGCGACAGGGACGTTGTGTGGGCTTGACATCATCGACGGGCATGGTGGTGCAAACGTGGGCGCGCTCGCAGGCGCGGTTGGCGACCAAAACAACGGCTTTCGTGTTGGATGCACATTTGCAGTCGGCTCGCTCGTGTCTCGGCGGACGGCTCACAGGATCTTGTGGTGACTTGGACTAGGCTGCGGTTTAGCAGCAGTTCGCATCGTGTTGTGTTGGTGCTGCGGGGCAGGCGCCAAGGCAACAGAGGCGGCACCTTTGCACCGGAATAGCAGCGTGTACTGGTAGTCGTCGACGCCCTAGGCGCTTGGGCTGGTCGAATAGTCTCAGCGTGGAAGCGTCAGACTGACTCCGGCCATCGAAGCAGAGGATTCAGTACGCGAAGTCTTTGCAGCGCTGGTCGGAAACTTGGTCAGCCAGGACCGTGAACGCCCGCGGCATTTGCCTCTCTCTGTAACTGCGCACGGCCTGTTCCTCTCGCACAGCCTCCTCCAGACATCCTCGTCACCCGCCGCAGCCAACGCCCAAGACGACATCACCACCGCCGCCGACGAGAAGAGGACCCCCCTAACCACTGCGAGCTCTGAGAGCCGCCCCTCTATCTCCATCCACTGCTGCACTACCCGCCTGTTGTTGTTGCGCTGCATAATCGCGCATCATGGACGGCGCTGGCCAGCCCAACCTGCGCATCACCAGTACGTCTTTACCTCGGACTGCAAGCCTCCATGGCCGTCTGCGAAGAGGGAAGCTGACAGTACATAGTCATTGCCGCCGATGGCCTCTATAAGCGCGATGTGTTCCGTATGTATGCCCATGTAACCACGGCCCGTCCTGGTCGCTCACATAAGTCATGCAGGATTTCCGGACCCCTTCGCCGTGGCCACGATCAATGGCGAGCAGACGCGCACCACGAGTGTCATCAAGAAGACGCTGAACCCGTACTGGAATGAGAGCTTTGACATGTACGTTGTACCTCGTTACCCTCGACCGAATCGCCGCATCTTTCATCGCATCACGCTAACACATGAGCCAGGAAAGTGAACGAAGAAAGCGTCCTGGCGGTTCAGATCTTTGACCAGAAGAAGTTCAAGAAGAAGGATCAGGGCTTCCTAGGTGTCATTAATGTCCGCATCGGGTCGGTAATAGACCTTGACGCGGGGGGTGATGGTAGGCCGGCATAGTCCAACCTACGCGCACCTGCTAACAAGCCCGCAGAGATGCTCACGCGCGACCTCAAAAAGTCAAACGACAACATGGTTGTTCACGGCAAGCTCATCCTTAACCTCTCCACTAACCTCTCTGCGCCCATCAGTCAAGGAGGACAGAACGCCACCCGTCCAACCGCCTCCCCGCATCCATCCGTAAATGGTGGCATCCCAGGCGCTGTGCCCACCCCGCAACAATCCACGACCAACTTGCACCCTCCCGACGCATACCCCGGCCAACAACGACCAGCAGTCGCCGGTCAACCGCCTGCTCAGCGCCCACCACCAGCAGGTGCTCCTGCCGGTGGCCCTCCCGCTGGTCCTGGTCCTGCCCCCAACGGTGCCCCTCCAGCTCGCAATGGTGCCGGTGGCGCTTACAGCGCATTTGAGGATGCCCAAGGAAGACTGCCAAATGGCTGGGAGCGTCGTGAGGATCACCTAGGCCGAACATACTACGTCGATCATAACACGCGACAAACCACATGGATCAGACCTGGCGCTGGCTTCAACGAGGCCGACCAACGCCGAGATGTAGCCGCCCAGACCCAGCAGGAACGCATGAGGCATCAGAACCGTATGCTGCCAGAAGACCGGACGGGAGCTAACTCGCCCACGCTGACCGACCGCCAACCATCGCCACCGACTGGCTCAGCAAGCGCGGTAAGCATGATGGCAACAGGAGCAACTACTGCTGGTACAGGAGAGCTCCCCTCTGGCTGGGAGCAGCGGCATACTCCCGAAGGTCGACCCTACTTTGTTGACCACAACACTCGGACGACAACATGGGTGGATCCCCGCCGACAGCAATACATTCGCATGTACGGTGGACAGGCCGCAAACGGCAGCACCATCCAGCAGCAGCCTGTTTCCCAACTTGGTCCGCTGCCATCAGGATGGGAAATGCGCCTCACCAATACAGCACGAGTCTACTTTGTGGACCACAACACCAAGACTACCACTTGGGACGACCCGAGGTTACCATCTTCACTAGATCAGAACGTGCCTCAGTACAAGCGTGACTTCCGTCGCAAGTTGATCTACTTCCGATCGCAGCCAGCACTCCGCATCGTTAGTGGCCAGTGCCATGTCAAGGTTCGCCGAACCCATATTTTCGAGGATTCCTACCATGAGATTATGCGCCAAAGTGCTGCTGATCTCAAGAAGCGCTTGATGATCAAGTTTGACGGTGAAGACGGTCTGGATTACGGAGGTCTTTCCCGAGAGTTCTTCTTCCTGCTTTCCCACGAGATGTTCAATCCTTTCTACTGCTTGTTCGAATATTCTGCGCACGACAACTATACGCTCCAGATCAACCCTCATTCCGGTATCAACCCCGAGCACTTGAACTACTTCAAGTTTATCGGACGTGTCGTGGGTCTGGCCATCTTCCATCGTCGTTTCCTGGATGCTTTCTTCATTGGAGCTTTCTACAAGATGATCCTAAGGAAGAAGGTTGCGCTGCAAGATATGGAGGGTGTGGATGCCGATTTCCATCGCAATCTGGAGTGGATGCTGTAGGTTTAATGCTCCTGGTCTGATTTGAAAGAGACTAACAGTTGCAGGAACAACGACATTACCGACGCTCTTGAGCTGACCTTTGCGACTGACGATGAGCGCTTCGGCGAAACTGTCAGCATCGAACTAAAGCCCGGGGGTGACGAGATCGAAGTCACTAATGAAAACAAGCACGAATACGTCGAGTAAGTGGCCTGGTAGTATTTTTTCAGAAGACGTACTGACCCATCTAGACTCATCACAGAATGGCGTATCCAGAAACGTGTCGAAGAACAATTCCAGGCTTTCATCACCGGTTTCCACGAGCTCATCCCCGCGGATCTAGTAAACGTTTTCGACGAACGTGAGCTCGAGCTGCTTATCGGAGGTATCGCAGATATCGATGTTGAGGACTGGAAGAAACACACCGACTACCGTGGCTACACCGAGAACGACGAAGTCATCCAGAACTTCTGGAAATGCATTCGTAGCTGGGATGCCGAACAGAAATCCCGTCTCCTTCAATTCGCTACGGGTACCTCGCGTATTCCTGTCAACGGTTTCAAGGATCTGCAGGGTAGTGATGGGCCGAGACGGTTCACTATTGAAAAGGCTGGAGAACCAAATCAATTACCGAAATCACATACATGGTACGTTGTCCGAGCAAACATACTAGCGGGACCAGCTAACAAGATGCACAGTTTCAACCGTCTCGACTTGCCACCGTATAAGACATTCGAGGCGCTCAATCAAAAACTCACCATTGCTGTCGAGGAGACTGTCGGTTTTGGACAGGAGTAATTTCCCATGTTCAAGAGCATCTTTCGCATGGACCGCAATTGCGGCCAAGTGAAATGTAGAAATACTACTTGGCTTTTGCGTCAGTGTACAAAATCTGCAAAGGAGGAAGGGAGGGCGAGCATTACTTGACGGGACGGACGTGACACGACCCGCTCTAATGGAGTGTCACTTTAGCTTTTTTGGGGGACCAACACTATCATGCCTAGCCTGGTTCGCGCGCCTATTGTACTACGCAAAGAAGGGGGGATTATTATATCGCATTGTTTGCAGTGTTTTGCTTTGCTGCTGCTGCAAAGAGTATCCGGGCGTTATAGGGGTTGTGAAAGAGAAAGAATAAAGTAGGATTTTGTGCGCTTTTTATTGCTTTGGGGGAAAGCGCTTGGGTCAGTCACAGTCATTCAATTAAAGATGACACGGTATGCAATGGCCTTTTTCGTGATTGATGTGATGATGACTTGGTGCGGTGCATGTGTCAGGAAGAGAGAGAGAGAGAGAGAGAGAGAACGATGGTTAACCCCAGACTCCGGACTGGGAGGAAGGGAACTATGGGGGAACGACGGTACGCAATCGTTCACGGGTAAAACTGGTGCAAGGAACCAGAGCTGATGCTGGTCGGTTCAAAATGATAGGCTTTCATGGCGCAAAGCGGGGAAACGTTATACATTCACAACAGCCCCGTTTTCTCACCCTTACCCTTGCCCATGCGTACATTTTGTGCCAAAACGTCGCTTTTCCGCCATGTGTCAGTCCAGTCAGCCCATGCCATGCTATGCAGCCACACCTTCTGCCGCCATTCCACCCCCCGAAAGTGAGATTTGAAAAGCGAGATTTGAAGGAGACAAGACCGAGTGCCCGTGCCCAATTACCCTCAAGCTCCGTGCGCCACAGCCTCGTCTCCCGCCCAGTCCGTCCGCCCGTCAGATCAACATGAGTGCTCATTAGAAACGTGAGAAAGTAAGGTATACCGGTAGGAAAGTGCACGTGTTTCAGAAGGCGAAGACGAGCTTTGCGAGTGGAGATGGGGAGGTGATGTTGAGCTGTAAGTAAGTGGGCATGATGATAAGAAAAGCATATAGCACCCTCTTACTATACCGACCAGTACTGCAAGTACAGCTATCGATGTGATCAGGAGATGTGGACATATACCATACCATATATCGAACAGTCAGTCTTCATTCATAAACGGGCGCATTTCCGAGGCTTGGGGGCGCGCTTGGCATACTTGTCCGTTTTAGCAAGCAGCGCGCCGCTGTTGGAGGCTCACATGATGGACGCAAGGGTGTGAGGAGGTATTAGCCGCCTTTTTCTCACTTAGCGAGATGGGAGATGCAGCGGCCAATTATTGGCATGACTCGCTTGCTGGGGGGGGGGGTCGCTCGGGTGGCGGAAATATCTTGTAGCTATTCCGCTTTGCGTTTGCTTTTGCTCTGTTTAGTATGGGGGGGGGGGGGGGGAACGGACGTTTGCTCATGTCACCACATAAGACACAGCCTTGCGCGCGTGCGTGTGCCCAGACATATTTCGATCGATGACCATCAGCTGTGTATACGTGCGTGTGTGTGGATCACAGACGTTATTCCTGGACACCAGTGGCGATTGCCCATGGCGAGAAAAGAGGAGGCAAAAGCAAAGCGAAGCCGCAACGTCCAGTTGCTAGCGCATTGAGAACCATGGATCAGTCGACTAATTTTAGGGAGAGGGACGGAGCAGAGAAGCAGAGTAGCAGCAGTGGAGGCAGCGACCACCCGGCCAAGCATTACACGCTAGGTGGGATAGAGACTAGTTCTGCTGTATCGGAAGGTAATAGCGTTGCCTGTAACGCAGCTAGGGCGTATTAAGTGCAGTGTTGCATGGGTGCGTGCACTGGGCTGCGGTGCAGAGCCTCTGAAAAGCTCGTTTTTGCAGCTGGCGAAATGGGTTTTTGGGCTTAGGAGGGATTGATTGATTCCGGGGAAAGGGGAGGCTAAGGACTAGGTAGGGATGTGTTCGGGAGCCGGCTGGGCTTGGACTGACTGGTTGGCGTGTGTTTACGGTTTATATCTTCCTGTGCTTTCTGTGCTTCCTCTCTCTTTTCTCTTGTTCACCTTGCATTCCTCTTGTGTCGCTAACCCATCACTCGCTTCTGGGTTTTGTTCGCCATCATCTACATTATCTACTACTTTTAATACACACACACCACAAGTCGCGTACATCTCTTCATCCTCCGCCTTCGACTCTCAGCTACATCATCCAAGATGCGTACCTCGACCGCCCTTGCCATCGTCCTCTCCGCGACCGCCAGCCTCGTTGCTGCGCAGCAAAAGTGCGATGCTCAGAAGTATGTTTCTCTCCCCAACCTCCCTCGCTCCCTTCAACCCCCCCTTAACCCATCTTATCTGAAACAACAACAACAACAACAACAAAAACTAACTTCCACTCCAGCATCGTAGACACATGCGTGTCCGGCTACCAAGCCCGCATCGAAGCCTGCCAAAAGAAGGGAAACGACTTCATCTGCCTCTGCGACGTCTACCGCGACGTGCTCGTCTGCTACAACAATTGCCCCAACAGCAACGAGCGCTCGCCCGTAGAAAACACCGTTACCTCTTACTGCGGCGCTGCTGAGCCCCTGCGCGCGGCAGCCTCTTCTTCCATGGCATCAGTTGCTAGTGTCGCGGCTACCCAGAGCCATGCTAGTCCTGCCTCGACTTCATCGCCTACGGGATCTTCGTCGTCCGGTGGAAAGACTACGGGAACTGCGACAGACGGTGAGGAGGCAAAGCCTACGGCTACGAGCTTTGCGGGAGCTGCGGCTGTAAATGGTGTCAAGGCTGGTGCGGCGATTGTTGCCGTTGTTGCCGGACTCTTGTAGATGCGGGGATTGTGTGGGTGTAAGTGTGGTAGTTGTGTGATGAGATAATATCTAATGGGGTTTGCAAACCACGTCTTCTTTCTGCTGTGATGCATGGTGTTTTGTTCTGGATTGATGAGGTCAACGAAACGCGATTGCTTCGATTCGCTGAATGGTGTGTGGATTGTGTCTTTGCTCGGGGGTTTCGGTGCGACCAGGTGCCATCAACGTCTTGCCCCTGCGTATCTGGAATATAAAGTGATTCCACAGCTTGTGTTTGACGTCACATCAGCAATAACATGTCCTCTGCTTGATTGTGAAATGTTGTAATTGCAAAATATGCCAGACTAAATACCATGTCTACCCATAGGTGGAATCATATGCACCGCTCCTCGCTTTTGCGGTTGAGAAACAATAAAGGGGACCCCACAACGCCGTGCCATGCATCATGTAACTATACTTCATCCTTTTCTCTGGTCATAACCACCTACTCCTCGTCAACAACACGGCCCCACGCGTGGCTCTCCATGCCGTCACTGCCCCACATGATACCCTTGAGCGAGTTCTTGAAAAAGCTGGCATACGCGCCAGAATCGCCCTTGACCATGGGAACCTCAATGTCCTTGCCGCGGAAGTGGATCTGGCTGATGGGTGCAACGAACCAAGCCGTACCTGCGGCGAAAGCCTCGACCAAACGGTCCTCCTTGGCTGCCTCCTCAATCTCAAAGACGTTGAACTTGCGCTCTACAACTTCGAGTGTCTCAAGGTCCGATGGCGCAGAAGAGACGAGGCGCTCGCGTGCAAGCTCGAGGATGGAGCGACGCGTAACACCGTCCAGGACGATACGCTCGTTCAGATCCGCAGTGATGAGCTGAAGCCTGCCCTCCTTGGTCTTCCACACGACGAAGAAGTTGCTGGCGCCCGCCTCAGTGATTGTGCAGTCATCGCCGAACAGCCAAAGGATTTGGTGGTAACCCCTCTTTCTCGCCTCGCCCTGAGCAACAAGCGAGGGGCCATAGTTGGCACCGACCTTAGCATAACCGAAACCGCCAGGCCAGGCACGGCACATGTCGTCCTGAGAAGCGAGGAGTTTGATACCACCGCTCATGTCGCCCATGGGCGCAAAGCAGCACAGGATGACGAACAGCAGCGCCTCCTTTGGTCGCTCAACACCAAGAGCAGGGTCCGAGGCAATCATTGTAGGACGAATGTACAAGAACTGGCCTGGTCGGTCCTTGGGCAGCCACTTCTTTCCATCGGTAGCACACAGCTTGACGATGAGCTTGAGAAGTTCCTCGGGGTCAAAGGCGGGCAGCGCGATGCGGTTCGTGGACATGAGCATGCGGCGGCAGTTGAGGTCCGGTCGGAAGAGGCGCAGTTTGCCGTCGTAGCCGCGGTAGAGCTTCATGCCTTCGAAGCACTCGGTTGCGTAGTGTAGGCATGATGCTGTAGGTGCAAGAGAAATGGGGCCGTAGGGCTGTACTGTTGGTGCTTCCCAGCCAGACTCGACGGTCCACTTGGCTTGAACCATGTGGTCGGTGCACACCTTTTGGCTCGCCATTTCCGCTGAGCCTACCGCGGGGACGGTGCGGGGTGTGGTGGTGTAGGTGCATGTGACTTTTGAGGCATCGAGACTTGCGAGAGGCGCATCGACGATTTCCTTTTGCTGGACTTGAAGCTCATTTGGCGGTGTAGCTGTGGTGGAGGTTGTGAGGGAGGCCGAGTTTACTTGCTCAGGCGCATTCTTGAGGAGCGCCGATTTGATGCCGGCTTGTGTGAGATTGGTGACGGTCTCGTTGTGGTTGGGAGGTGTGACTGCGATGGGAGCCATTTTTGGTGAATGAGTGGAGTAACGTTGGACGAAGGCCTGCTTTTATGGTAAATGAGCTCGACGGAAAATATGAGGACAGTAAGTATGACGTGATATCGGGTGTTGGAAGGCCTTGTACGATCGTACGGTGAATAACAGTAGCTAAGGTAATCTTGTGTATTGGTATTCTGGTGTATGATGATTCTACGAATGTGGGGGCTACGAAGGTATACATAGCGTTGGGTCCGAGTTGGGCCGAAGTAGGATCGAGGCGGTACATTGGGCCTTATTAGGCGACACACCGTGTGTATGCCGACATCGGGGCTTATAAAGGGGACGGTCAACGAGGTAAGACACAACCAAGGTACCTGAGCCAGGTTCTTATACAAAGTCCCCGAAAAAAAAAATCAGTCGCGAGTCACATCTCCTCATCACACGCACGGGAAACAGACCTACTACCCACCCTATCACTGCAGGAATTGTCCCGCCCAGCCCTTCCCACGGACTACTACGGCAATCTAGTGTCGTTTTCCCTTACAGACGAGGGATAAAGAGACAGGCTTACGGCCCACCCAGGGACCACAAAGGACCCATGTTTGACGTCTTGGACCCCAATTACCGTCAATTGCTCGCTCTTTATTGCACGCAAACCTCATCTGCTCCAATGTGATGTATGCACACGTGTCGCCATCGCCCATGATGGTTATGACGGAAGACGCGTCTTGGAGAAGCCGTCGGACCGGGGTGGTGTTTGCTAGCGTACCTGAAGGTTTTAGGTAGCGGTAGGGCGCGAGGCGTGTGCCGAGCCTGCGGTATCCAGTCACCCCGCCCCATACCTGCCGCTAGTATCCGGCCAGGCTCCCGATAGATGAAGAGACAGTCATCTACCTCGTCGGCGCGTTGTCGGTCCTGATGGCGCATCGAGTAATACGAGCATTTGTATGCATGCTTGTAGATAATATCAGCGATATCGGACTATCGTCTCTACTCACCTGGTTGCCAGTCGAAAAACCCAGGTATCGCAAATTGGATGCACCTCGGCAAGCAGCGGTTCAAGCAATGGGAAACTTGACCGTAGGGAAAAAACTCTGTCAAGTGCTCTGTATGACCTGCACAGATCAGGGAATAAACACATGTCAAATTCTTGAGCGGCAAGACCCATCGAGATTGCCAAACGGGCGCTATGTACCGAGGCTCCACTGGTTGCATCCATTTGTTTCTACTCTAAAATGTCCGTATATAGCCCGTTCGCCCACCTCTATCCGGTACCCTTGATTTCAAAGTAACACCATGAGTGTCCGGTGAAGCCAAAACGCCGGGCATCACGATGCCTGGTCCATCTGACCAACTCGCAAGCTATCAATGCCCTTTAAAATGCCATCAGCGACCTGGCCAACCTGCCCTTCTAGCGCACTGAAGTCAAGCTTGCTAATCGCGGCATTGATCTTCTCCGTGACCATTTCATCCTGCACCAGTTCCGCTGTAACTTGCCCTTCTGTCCTCCAGTATCCCTCTTTTACCCCCCTCAGTGCGGCATCGCGGTTCACAGAGTTTGTGAGCAGAGCTAAAGCGCTCATTTTATTGTGTGCCTCCTCCGCTGTCCGGCTCGTCATCTCGATTCGCTCGGCGATGGAAATGGGCTGTGCGAGCCAGCGGTTTGTGCTTGTAGCCCACAGCACAAACCCCAGGCCCGTATCTACTATCGCAAAGGTGATGTATCGCAAGAAGCGGACACGCCAATGTGCTGAGTCGAGGTCCTGGAACATCGTGGCTTGCTTGTTCAGCTTTATGTCGTATGTAGCCATGTGCCATACTTCCGCCACCATTAATAGCGACCCTGCGATTGTGGCGTGCGTGCGAAAGCGTGAGCCTTCGCTTCCGATCAGCGAAGATGTAGCGAGACCAAGGACGGCTAGGTGGAAGATGTGCGGTGTTACCATCTTTGGTAGAGAGTATAGGAAATAGTCTTGCTGGTGGGTCATACACCATATGCAGTTGAGTAGCGAGTCCGGGCCGTATGCGAGATAAAGCAGTCTATTGCGCACTCCACTGCTGAACTTCTCCCGCAGCGCATTATCCTCGTCGGTAAGTGGTCGCAGGTGTTTCAGTCGTGCGAATAGAACGCTCGTTTCCGTCCGAATATCGCTTTGAGTCTTGAGGAAGATGTTGTCGGGCGCAAAGCGCGAAAGCGAGAGGGTGAGGCACACGACGGCGCTCACAAACAGTATGTTGAGTGCATACTGGACTCTTGTCGGTATCGGTCGAATCGGCGCGTTTATTGAAGTGGCGCGCATGACATTTACCCAGTCAAAGACGCGGGGTATGAGGAAAGGACCGAAGAGGATGAGGATTGAGTGCACGTCTGAGGGCAGGAATGTGAGGCGCGGAATTACGACGTAGGAGATTACGAGGAGAACAATAGAGCGCAGGTTGAACATGATGGGCGCCGCGCTATCATGAGGAGTCTGGATTTGGACAAAGTTTGGACAAAGAGCGTGGTGGAAAGATCTGTGCTCGCATTGGCGAAAGTTGTGGGTGACGTGTGAGCGTCTCAGGAACAATGCACGAATGCACGTGTCAGCGAACGCGCTAACATACATTGAATGTTTCTTTCAAGTCGCTTCCCACATGCAGCTTCGACAGTCTCTTCCACATGACCATCTCAATGATATTCCCACTAAGTCTAAGATTGAAAATTCTTGCATCACTATTGTGTTGATGCTTGACTTGGAGAGGCCGTTCCACCAACACATACAATATAGTTACATGGCAATACAGTCGCTCCGCTAGCTAGCAAACATGATATGTTCAGATTGAATTAGTGTGAACGTATATCGCGGTATAGATCAGGCTGGCCCATCATCTATCTACATTCCGTTCCAATACTACCTTCCTTCTGACCAAATCCCAAAACTTCCGCAAAGAAAACGGCTGCCCATAAGCCCAGCCACGAAAAACAAGTCATCGAGACCGCAGAAAGAGCGTCTCGACCTCCGAAACCGTCATAATCCGATCCCAAAACTACCAAGTTGTTCGCCGCGCTGGACCTCTTTCACATGGCACAAAAGGAAAAGACCCTTGATGCGTGTGCTTGGGACGAGCTTGTCAAAAACTCCATGGACAAGGATTTGTGGGCCATGGCAGATTTTTTTCCAGAGAGAACCTGGCCTGCGACGGTGGCGTATCCCAAATTGCTAGCGTACGCGCGTTATGTGAATGGATTCTGAGTTAAGGTATGTACTCATACGCGATACGCAAAGAATGACATGAATGTTTCGACTCCAGAACACCAGCCTTGCCATCAAAACCCCATCATGGCTATATACTGCAAATTGCAGATTATCCGAGCCTGTGTGTCGCCTCGGAATCCCTCACTTCTTCACATATGATCCTCTTCCACAAATCTGCCATGAATTGGCCGCCTGTCATCATTTACACGCCTATTATCCCTTCCTGGAGACCCATGTAACGGGTATCTCGTTTCGTCGGAGAACGAGCGTGGGGTGTGTAATGGGGGCGTCGAAGGATCGGTAGGTCGTGGGTAGTATATTGGAACTTGCTGTTGTATAGAATCGTTCGGGGAATGTCGCGGTGTAACGGGAGTTGGGTACGAATACTGGCCCTCGGTGCCTGTCCCTGATTGTGCGTAGTGCATCTGTGGACTCCAACCAGCTGGGGGCGAGTTATGCATGGCATGTTCGTCTGGAGAGTACATCTCTGCATGAGGCGAGTGCGAATTGTGTCCTGCTTCGACGACAGGTGATGTGTAAGGCGGTGCGTTTCCGTACGACGGAGGACCTTGAGCGGGGTAGGACGAGTTGTACTCGTGGCTGAAGGAGTGTGAGTGTTGAGTATGGCCCGGGTAGTGTGCAAGGGCGATAGCGTCCGCTTGGTCGTGAATGGAAACGTACTTGCTAGCATCTGTCGTGGCAGGCATTTCATGCGGAACTGTAGTCGCAAGCTCAGCTGGTGGCGGCGGCGGTGGTGGTTCATCGGCCTGTGCTTGCTTCTCCTTCAAAGCATTCTTGCGTCGATGTAGACAGAATAGTATCAGGCAGAGGATTATAATCAAAACCGCAAGACCTCCCACAACGCCTCCAGCGATAGCCCCCACGTTCGTCTTTTTTGAAGGTTTTGGTGATGGACTTGTCGTTGCCGAAGGGAGAGAGCGAGTAGCTGCTCTAGCTGTAAAACTAGGCTTCAGAGTAAAATAGGTTGCTAGATCGACATGGCCCCATGATGCAGGAGCGGTCTTGGTTGCGCCTCCAGTTGGCCTGCTCTAGTCAGCTTCAGTCGTTCTGCTTACGTGGGCGGAATAAAAAGCATACCCTCCACCAATTGCGGAAATAATGGGCGAGGGAACAACGTAGTCGTCGAGCTTTGGATCGAATTTGTCCCACAGTTTCCCCTCTCCCCCGTTGTATCCAAGAACCATATTATGCTGGCCTTGACCCGCCGGCGCATCACACTTGTCGTACAGAGGGAACCAACCACCTATGATTAGCATCTGAGCGCGGTTGATGACGTTCGCGCTACAGCCACCGTGGCCAACTTGAGACGGCGTGGAGTCGCTACCATCAAGAGGAAATACTTTGATCCATGTAAAGGACGGTATCGAAAGGATGTAGACATCGTCGAATCCAGGAGCTTCTGATGCACTAGCGCCGTACCCGCCATATAGATAGCTGTGAGATGTCAGCATTTCTCATTCGTGATAGACCCCATTCATCTACGATACTGATGCAGCTGACACTACGGCTTAAGGAAATCCATCTGTGAGTGTCTTCTCACATGATTGTCATCTTCCCACTTCCATCGTCTCTGATCAACGGAACTACAAGGTGGTATCACAATCGGCCAGAGTTCCTTGACACCGATGACACCCTTGACTCTGTGAAGTAACTTCGGTATACCCTTTGGTGCTTCTAATAAAAATGTGCAGGTAAACCAACTTACACGTTAAAAGACGATTGGTCATTTGGCCAGGTGACGTCCGCACAAAACTGTCGTCGTGCTGCAGGTACACTACCGGAAGCAGTCTGTCTGTACCATTTCGATGATGCCATGTCGTAGATGTGGATGATCTGCGCCTGTTAGCTATGTATGTTACGCGGCCTGTGTAACATACACTCATGTTTGCCTAGATAAAATGTCAATACACGGTCTGTATCAATAATGCGACCCAAACTTACTGCATTGTAGCTGCCATTGTGATACGGATCTTCGATGCCACCAAAGTAGATGAGTATGCCGCTATCCGACACTGGCAGAAATAGTAATTGTCCCTCGGCTCTGCCAGTATTACTATCATCTGGTCCGGTCATATTTTGCAGTTCGCCTGTGGACATGTCGAACTGAACCAGTCCATTTGTAGCCATTGGTGGTCCTTTCCAGCCCAGGGTCGTTTTGTTGCTGATCCAGCCGCCATAGTAAAAGCCTAGTCCACGTTGCTCAACATGCGTGCCAGCACCAAACGAGACCCGTTCAAACTGTTTGTCGCCAGTCGTTTTGGTGCTGTTCCACGTGTTAAGGATCACGTCGTAAGTCCACATACTGTAATCTGCAGGTGTAACGCCGTCGGGGTACTCTCCGCCAAACTGGTAGAAGCACTGGTTTGTATTGTCAGACCAAGTGTAGCCGCCTGAGACGCTTGGTATGTTTCCAGGTTTTGATAGGTTTGCATATTGCATCGGCATCCCAGCGTCAACGGTCGACGTGTTCAGGTCACTGTACAGAAGCCATGGGTCTAGAAGACGAGGTTAGACTGTCTAGTAATGAACATGTAGTCTTGTTCTGAGCTCCACATACTTGTGCGATTCGACGCGAAAGGAACCGACCCTACCATGCCGCCATCTACATATAACCTCGAACCAACCTGCGCTGTCGTATGGCCCCATCGACGACAAAACCCACTAACGGGGTCATCCTGCTGCGAGAGGGACAAAGTGATAAGGCTAAGCACAATAAGTACGCCCTTGAGAAGGTAGGCCATGATATGCATTCATGACGCTCCGGAGACTAAACACGTGAGGCGGTCAAAGTGCGGGGATGCCGTGTACTAAAAGCAAGAGAGACAGGAAGAGGTGGCAGGAGGCGGCGGGCCGCGGACGTTGGAGTGGGTATGCACAAGGCTAAGAGGATCCTTCAGAGAAGACAGCGAACGTGTAGGTGGCAGCTCTGAGGTCGTCAGATGGCAGTGCACTTAGTTTGGGTGATGCACCCCGAATTACCGATCTCACTGCGCCGTAATCCTGCTGGGCGACCGTAGTTTTCAGCCATGCGGTGGGCTGTGAGATGCAATCACCAATGAAGTCATGGCCTGGATACCCGGGTGATCTTCAGGCCCGACAGAGGCGTCTAACCAAGCGAAATATTGGACTAATCGAGAGGACGCGAGAACACGAAGTCAGCCCGCCAAGTTGGGGGCCTACTGCGCCGGTTATTGTCTGTGCTATGCGACGGATCGAATCAGACGGGTAGCGCAAGTGAGAAATGAAGAATCCAGGGCCAGTGACAGGAAGTGCCTGGCTCATTCAATCAACGGTTTCTCCTCAGCTGCTGTCGTGCACTCGAAGCTAGGCGTGCGCTTCTTCCTTTTTGTGGAGTGACACACGGCATGAGTTGCGGGGATCCTTCAGCTGCTCATTCTGCGTTATTCCACCATTAACCCCAACAGTCTAGATTCGCACGACTAGAGGCTGCAGTAGGCGTCCTAGCCATTGGTGCCATTTGTCCGCCTCATGCAGTGCCATGCATGTTGCGGGTAATAGTCTTGGCAGCTGGCTGATACCGGTGGCGAAGGCGCATATTGCGACAACGCCACGACATGCGGAATTCCGGCTAAAATGCCTACTGTGAGATGCCCATCTTTCAACAGTTGTAAATTTGGATCATCTGACTTGGAACCCTCATCAGATCAAGGCAGCGCCAAAGTATGTAGGCCTAAAGCGAACCCGCAGCTCCAAAACCGACCGGAGTCGACGTGGACGAGCTGCAGGATTAGAACGGCTGTGCATTTTTCTGGGTCTGCTCTGGAAAAGGCGAATCCACTCTGTATAGGAAGGACCTTAGGGTTATTGGAGACCGTAGACAATATGTGAAGAAAAGAAGAAGAAGCGTCGAGGAGAAATTTCAATGACACGAAAGTCAGCCTTGGCGCGCTAAACCGCTAGCTGCGGTTCCAAAGGTTCCCGTTCCCGTCGGCGCTTGCTACGCTGCGACACCACCGCACCAGCATCTCCATTGTCATCGTGTGGAGTGGAACATAGATTCTGTTCCTGCATCTTGCCTGCGAACGAGGCTAGTGTGATGAAAACTGATCTTGTTTTATGCCTTTACATATGACATGATTTGTGAACCATACATTACCGAGGCTTCTTTCCTCTGGGCCAATGCCCACAACTACAGCCTCCTATACAGTACCTCCCAGTGCCAAGTATGTAGGCTACCATGTCTTAGTGATTCTAGAAAAAGGGCAACAAAGATTGGTAAGTGTATGATATCTATCTGATCGTATGACAACTACTAACTATACTAAAAAGGCACGTTTTTACTGCATTTCGCATATGGCGGAGAGTGGTTCGATCTGTTTAGTTCTATATTTAGTCTCTCATACATAAACCCGCGGAATCTTCAAATGGAGTGGATGCGAGGGAGGCTTCATTAGACGAATCGCTACTAAGTCATGGTAGCGCATTCGTATACTGAATACCTTATCACCCGGGTAGCATAAAATACTTGACATACTAGTATACAACGGCCACTTGAGTCGTCAGACACGCCTATTAGGTGCTTATCTACACTGTCAGGTATTTCATGATCCCCAGGTGCTATGATGACGCATCCTGGTCCATCATGGGCGGGGTTCTGACACAACGGTCCTATTTGATCTCATTCATAAACTACATACATCATCTAAAACCTCGATTCAACCTTCTGCTGGGTATCCTGCAACGCCCACTCACTCCTCGCCTTCTTACTCCTGACAGCATCAATCTGTTCCTTTGTGAACCCCTTCGCAACGGTCGCAGGGTTATATCCCAAACCAGTGATTTTGGCAATCTGCTCATCTGTCTTATCAGTAGCAGCGCTTCCATCAGCCCTCTTGTACACTGTGACAACGACAGCACCACCAAGACCCAAGTTGTGCTGAAGAGCGACCTTTGTATCTTTGACGGAGCGGTTGTTGGCCCAGCCACGCATGTGCCATACGAGTTCTGCGCATTGAGCTAGACCAGTGGCACCGAGAGGGTGGCCCTTGGAGATCAAACCGCCAGAGGGGTTGATGACGACTTTGCCGCCGTATGTGATGCCGCCCTTGCGGATGAGCTCGTGAGCTTTTCCCTTTGGTGCGAGGCCGAGGGCTTCGATTGTGACCATTTCGTTGGCCGAGAAGCAGTCGTGTAGTTCGCAGACCTTTACGTCGTCTGGCGATACCTTTGCTTCTGCGAGCGCATTCTTAGCGGCTAGCTCGCTCATGCTGTATCCTACAAGCTCAATTGCACTGCGGTTGAACAACGATGGCGTGTCGGTTTGTAGTGCTTGTCCGGCAATCAGGATGGCTTGTTCCTTGAGCTCGGGACGCTTGTCAAGGAAAGCTTGTGAGACGAGGACTGTGGCAGCAGCGCCGTCCGAGGTAGGGCAGCATTGAAGCTTGGTGAGAGGCTCGTGGATCATGGTTGAGTTCATGACTTGGTCTAGGGTGTACTCGTCTTGGAATTGAGAGTATGGGTTGTTCTTGGAGTGAGCGTGGTTGACGCGACCGATTTCGGCAAAGTCCTTGAGTTCAGAGCCGTATCTGTTTTGAGTGTTAGATGGTGTACATCGAAGACGGAAGAGCTATGCTTACTTCTCCATGTGTTCACGTCCAGCGTTGCCAAACATTTGCGCAGCACCCGGTGCCTTTGTGATTCCCCGGGTTTCCTTCATCAACAGACTTGTTGTACCTGTGGGGTTCGCCCTGTCCTGGAAGAAGGACTGTAGACTTCCTGGGAACATCTTCTCAAAACCAACAACCAGCACACAGTCGGCAGCTCCATGTGCAATCATGTTCCGCCCCATGAACAGACCTGTCGATCCCGTCGAGCAGTTGTTGTTGACATTGTATACCGGGATTCCAGTCATACCAAATTGGTAGAAGACGCGCTGGCCGCATGTCGAATCTCCGTAGCAGTAGCATGCGACGCCTTGGTCGACTTCGTCGTAGTTGATGTGCGCGTCAAGCATGGCTTTCACGCCAGCCTCAAAACCAAGCTCGGGGTAGTCAACTTTGCCGCGAGGCTTGATGAACTTGGTCATGCCCACGCCGAGCACGTAGACGGGCTGCTTCTGGCCGACCATGGTGGCTGTTGTGGTATGTATGTCCGTGGTGATGTGGCAAGGGTTGGGTTGGTAGGTATGGAGGGAGCTCGAGTAGCAAAGTGGACGAGGGATGGAGATATCAATTGTAGCGTCTCAAGCGCACATTAGGAGCCATTGACAAGTACATATGCCAACCTCAATTGCGGGGAGACGCGATTCATCACGTCGACCTCCCGAGTCTCCGCTTCGCATCACGGCTGGGGCCGAGGTTATTTCCTTTTCGGAAAGGCGGCAGACCATTTCCGATTGGGGAAGCATGCAGCCTTGCCAACGAGCGCACATGCTTCTGAAAGATTGGGAGTCGACCATGAGGATCTGCTGTCAGTGATCGAAATATCATGTTCGTGCTTCGTATTGTACGAAAAAAACATCTTCTTCAAGAAAGAGTGTCAGAGTCGAACGACGGATTCTAACAAGACTAAAGCCTGGTAGTAGGGTCGTTGAAGTTGACCGTGAACAAGCCGAGGCTTCCAATCGACGCGTGGGACTTAGTTAGCCAGCATACCAGTGGCGACGCGCCCGTCGTTCCCGAGATACGTACGTATGGGCCCATGTTGCCGACTAGTCACATATAAATCCCAATCGCGTTTCACGATTGCAAAAGAAGATGCTAGCAGTAGCATTGGTATGTTTTACTCCTGCACCCCGAACAGGGGGGCTCGATAATGTAAAACAATGTGATGAATGAAGATTGGCGGGATTCGCAACACATTTTCTCCAATCCGTGGCGGACCAAACAGACGAACATTGATTACTGTACATGATTTTGATGAGAGCCCTACCGAGCTTTTCCACTCTTACCTTACTTCACATCTCCTCCTCGCCATCAGCGGCATCATGGTGCATGGGAAGAAATAGGTATGTTGCATGCACCGACGAAGATCGATCCCAACAGCATGTCTTTAGCGCAGTTGCACATATACAATATGACATCAAGACAACATTTGTATTGCGCAAACATCTGTTCTTCAAGAAGATCTAGTTGAGCGACGATCATCGTCACTCCTGGTACAGGCCTTCGCTACCTAACTCAGCCGCCCAGGACCGATATCGCTTATCTATAGTTTCCATGATTGTAATGTGAGTCGTACACTAACATGTTCTTCTTTCTCCATGCAACAACCTAAGTGAACGACCATCACCCGCAAACCTTCTTCTACACTTGAGAATATTCTCCTAGCAACCACACATCGAACTCCAGCCTTCACCATGACCGAACCGCAGGACGTGTCCATGGAGAGCATCACCTATATGCACGAAGATCTCAAGAACTTCATCGTAGACAAACTTCTAGACCACATGTTACCCATCTCAGCTCTTACAGAGCCAGCGCCACAGGATCGAGTAGTAGGATCACTCCCAGTCCTACCCATCGAACTACTTGTCATGATCCTCGACAGCCTTACAATCACCGATGTAATGCGGTTCCGACGCAGCAATCGGTTCGCAATGTACGTCGTTAACACAGAATCAGCGCTTAGCCCTTCTTTGCCATTCGCGCCGAATGTAGTGAAAGCGATAATGGCAATCCGCAGTCTTTGCGCCCTGGGTCGACCCGGAGTCATCTACGGTGGAAAGGGGAGTTTACTGCACCACTTTTCTGAAGACCGGAAGAGAAGGGGAGCTCTTCACCAAAGATACATTCTTGGACCATCTCAAGGACTGTCGTGTCACACCTGTTGATGTTGGACGGTACATTTGGCCTTATACATTGGAGGTCAATTCTCAAAGTTCGGGGGATGATCAAGGCAAAGTTGAGAGAGTGGATGAAAACTACAAGCGTATTACTCTGTGATGGGACAATCGAAGATGGCAGTCTGGTGGGCAATTTTTGAACAAAAGAGTTTCATCAACAGCTGGCGGGAAGCATAAATGGTACCTTTGAAGGTAGAATCAATGCGGCTTAGGCAACTTAAACCTTACAGAAGCTAAGTTAACTATTAGTGGGCATTAGAAGAAACGGACTAGATAGTCAGGTCTTCTGGAACGAATCTATTTTCTGGTATCATTAACACAAAACGGGAGGGTTTCGAAGCAAGTTTGCTCTTACTGTTTCCCCTATTACGTAACATAAGAAAAGAGCTTGCTGTATAGTATTGGTGTAAATGCAGAATGCAAGTGTTTTCCAACGGACAAGGTGGTTTCCAGTAAGGCTCCCTGTTAGGAGCTAGTCCCTTTTCGTGATAGCTTATGGGCGTAATCCCCTTCCAGTTAGTGTCTTGGCAGAATGCAGTGCGCCGCCTTCCTTTCTGCGCCATGAACACTTACCCAGGAAGTAAGGAACCGCATCGTACAACACGCAGAATGCTACTTGAACTAAGTAAGACAATTTCTCGCAATCTATCGATCCTAGCTTAGGAAGATGATCGTCCAAGGAGTGCTGTAATTGCACCTCGATACTGCTGCTTCACCAACGGATGACCGACTGTGCATAGGCCAAAAGACAGATGAACTCTTGTATGCGATTGCGACGGGTAAACAACTGGATGTTCATCCAGGCCAGTGGTAGGATTACGCCTTTACCTCTTCAAGCCCGAAATCATGCCAGTTATTCCGTTATGCAATGTCCTACACCTCAACAACACTAGGTATAGCTCCCGTACACTGGAGTCACGTGTCGCACCAGATCTCACAATGTGTACGTCGAACATCACGATCAACCGATGGCACAGTCTACCGCAGTTGCGAGGCGCCAACTCCATCAAGGAGTGAAAAACGATAAGCGACGCCCCCGAAGATGCTGCAGCATCATATCGAAAAGGTCGTCATAGACATGCGAAAGCCAGCCACCGCGTCAGTGACGCGGGTTGCGTAGAATTCAAGACGAACGCGCGGCTTACTCAGGATTTGAGGAGAACGCGGAGCTTGCCTAGGATACGAGAACAACGCGCGGCTTGCCCAGGCTTGCCCAGGCTTCGAGACGAGCACGCGGCATAAACGGACCGTAGTGCAAGGAGATGCCCACAAGAAATGTATTGATCGAGAGAAAGATCGACAATAGCGAGAAACTTATTCGGATCCCTTCCGAGGGTATGTTCGGTCGCCACGAATTACCTACCTCGCGAGACAGATGAGCACTAAGATATTCTGGCGCCCGTGAGTGATCATGACCTGATTATGCTGTAGGCTATATCACTTAGAAGAATGCCCAGTTCATGAGTCCGCGCTTCTGAGCAGCGTTGGAGCGGACAACGGGGAACAGGATTGCAAGGTAAACGCTCGCGTTACGAATCATCCGTATCGTATCTAATATGACATGACCGTTGTGCGTTGACTGCGTAGCTACGCATCCCGTTCCTAAACCCAGTAGTTCGATGCATCGATGGCCGCTAGAAGTGGCCGGTTGTGTTTAGATACGGTGCTTTCAGTACCAAGGACACTTCTTGTTGCGCACTACCAACGAACCGCCAAGGGTATATTAACGTCATTAGGGCAGGTCTCCATCAGACTATATGATCCCAGTCCGAAAACCACCTCCTCGGTATGGCTACCTACTCAGCCAATTGAAGCCCTTAAAGTACGCTTTTCGCCACATTTGGGACACTAAAACGACCCATGTGTTCTAGTAGGTCGAGCAGACTGGATTGCCAATTAAACAAGTGTGAAGTATCCTAGTATTTCAGCTCCTGATGAAACAGACTGCAGCAAATCCAAGGTCGATGCATACCAAACGAATTCTCTTCATTCCTTGTTATCGTTCGCTGGAGGTACGCTAGTCTGCGCTTGCCTCATCTCGCGCCGCACCAGCTCCACCTCAACCCGCAGCATCTCTTCGCCGATAACACCCTTCAGTCCATTGTCGTCCACGTCGAAATAGAGTGCCCACTCGCCCGGACAGTAACGGACTGCAATGAACCCTTCCCAGCCTGTCAGTGTGATCCTGCGGTCCATTTTTGTCACATCCCAGGGCCCGATGATGTGAGGCTCTGATGTCACACGGTCACCATACTTCACCTCACAGGTGTCTTGGTCAACGTATATCCAGTTGAGCTGCGGTGGGTCGTCCGAGATGGTCGAGACCATGCCTTCGCCCTGTCGGCCCCAGTTTTGATCCGGATACGGCAGGAAGTATCCTGCAAATGGATGGTCATCGGTGCAACCGTCTGGATTTTCGTCCGAGGGCACTGCAACATACAACTACGAGATCGTCAACACCTGCAAGCCTCTGGAAATGGGCTGGTATCTCGCCGAGGCTTCGTAGGGGGACGCGACGCACCTTATCGTTGCTCAGTACCACTGCACATCCGTCGATTTCTCGTCCAGCGCTCGAGGCCCTCGAACAGTTCACAGAGAGATTTGTTTTCAGACCGCGATGTTTCTCTTTGGCGCTCTGCCGTTGACCTTGACGCACTGCTTCCGTGGTTCCAATGATCGCGGGGCAAGCAGCAATGGCAGTTAGGATTCCTAGTACCATGATGCAGATTTGGCAAAGAGAATTGCTTGTATAGTAATATCGTTATGGCTGACTTGGAGATAGTGTCATGATGAGAGTCAACGGATGATTTGTGACCGTTTGTCTGCTCTTGGCAAAATCAAGCGAAATTGTCGATCCTACTATTTGAACATGCTTTTGCCCTGAAGCGCCTCGTAAAGGAGATAGCCGTTGTGCCCCGCTAATCCTCGTACGCGTGTCTAGGTTGTTGCAACTTGCGGGGTATGAAACCCTGGGCATTTCTGCGCTTGCCAGATAAACTTGATTAATGCCAGCTCTTTTGAACCTGTCAGCTGTCGAGTAAGAACTTTTGGGATATGATGCTGTCATCATGGAATGAGTCTTCGGTCGGCATGTTTAGTACAAAAGACAGGTTTTGGGTGGACTCACTCCACCTTTCTTCATCAAACAATCTACTATCCTACCCTTCACCAAAACGGCAGTTCCACTTGATCTAAAGAGGTCGGACTCTGCCATAGCCATGTCTTCCGGGTACGTTGCGGATGCTGGGTACATTCTCGTATATCTAGATTAACAACCCCTCTAGAGCCCCCGCCACCGACTTCCCAATTACCGACACCACATCTGAAAGCTCCAGCAGCCCTCTCGCCGCCACCCTCAAAAAGCCCAGGAAAATCGTACAGGAAGACCTGGGCGCTCTCCAAAAAGCGCCCCAGCAGCAACAGCAACAGCAACGACAACAACAAGCTTACCAAGATGACGACGAAGACGGCTTCGGTGACGTCCCAGAGCCCTATGTGATGCCTCGTCGGTCAGGCGGCCGCCGCATGGTACCCGTCCACCAGTCGCGCATCGCCGACCGGCCGGCCAAGGTGGGCGAGAAGGACAGCAGTTTGAAGATCAAGATCGAGCTAGATCTGGAAGTCGAGGTAGAGATCTATGCAAGAGTCAAGGGTGACGTGACGATTGGGCTGATGTAGCCTAGGTCGAGATTTACGCGAGAGTAAAGGGCGATGTAACGATCGGTTTGTTGTAAGATGTGAGTCTTACCTTTGCTTCTTGGCATCATGTAGTAACGTACGTCCTTTGCAGTACTGCCGAAGCCTAAAGAGTCAATACTACACGATCCCTCAAGTCTCGGCGAGCTATCAACCCTCTTCACCGCCTTTCTACCGACCCCAAAAACTCAGACGCAAATCTAGAACCCGTGAGGCTGAGTGGGCACGCGATGACTTACATCTTGAGCTTGCCGTTCTATAGACAAACGAGCATCTTTTTAATAGTCTTTGGAAGATGCATGAAGAGACTTTCTACAGTAATAAAAGAAATGCCCACTTCACATCTGACGCGGCGAGCAAGAGCACCAGGATAACCTCAATTGAGGCCGCACTTGTGACTATGACATGAGCTAGTTCAGACACCTGTGAAGAACATGTACGGAATAAGAAACCCTGGGATATTTCCAGATTCACCAATATACCGCCATGTTCTTTCAAATACGACCATGTGATCTTGAAAGATTGTTCTCTCTGCCGCTCAGTTTGAGGTAAACAGCACCGTTTCCGGGTCTACTGAAATGACTCCGACAATAGCTTGTTGCCGCCAGAACCTATGGATGAGCTTTGAGCCGCCCTACTGATCAACCCCAGGCCTTGAGGTAAGGCCGATGGTCGATAAGATGGTGATATCACGAAGTTTACTCATGAAGAAATGACCTGGGGCTAAGCCCTAAAACAAGGATACACGAACTGAAAGTGCCTTCCTGCATCACATACATCTTACTTGTCGGCCATAGGGCTTATCCCTTGGCTCCTCCTTAGGGAACCAGGCAGCCACCCATTTACCCGCTAGTACCTTTACGGCCTAGCTGCTTCACCCCCTCTTCCCACTGCGTATATAGACCTCTTTCCAATAGCTCTAATACGACATGATTCTCCCCAGCCTTGACACTTGAAATTACTGAACTGGTGACAAATCCTTGCTAGACACACGTGATATCCGAACTCAGCAAGCATCTAAGAAGCTTATCTGAAAGGGTTCTTGGCCCTACAGAATGACCAAAATGACAAGTTTCCATGTGTATCGGCTTGAGCTTCTTGGATCAATAGAATTACACCTGGTATCTCATGTATCTCTTCTCAGCCCTGAAGTTGCAAAGTAAAACTAAACGTAATTACTGCATTGGCCCGAATCGGAGACGAGGCCGTCAACTATAGTGCTATATGATACGATACGAGCGCTGCTCGAAGGAGCTCGAGCGTAAGATGGGGTACTGTCCCTAGCAGTAGTAGTCATCACGGCAATAACGCTAATTCAAGAACAGCCAACGCCCCTCGATAGGCGCACGGGCCCTGCTTCTGTACGTAACTATCTCCCCAACCACATGGACTAGGGCTCTTTCTTTTGTTTCCTTCCGCAACGTCTTGCAAATATCTCATGTACGCAACAACGTAATCAGTGATGTAAAGAGCATCTTCGACAATTCCAGGGTTATCGCAGTGTATCATGACACACTGTATGCTAATGGCAAAACCTGTACGGTCGTACCAAGATGTCTGTGGGGTTTGGTGTTTGTTGTTTGTGGCCCGTGCTCCTAAGAGTACTGTTGATAACGTGTCTGTGCGCGTGATGCCCATAATCGCGTGCCGCACACCCCACCAATATCGCGACGACGGCAAAGTTGAGGCTGCGCAGCCACGTACAATAACTATTATCGCGAGATTTTCCGGTGTATTGATCTATAGACGTAGCTCTACAACTTTGTCTATCTATATTTTGCCGGAGTATTGACGGCCCGGCCGCGTCGGGTGGTTGTTGGTGGGGGAGCCGGTGCAGCCACCTCAGCCAGAGTACCACCGCCAGCACCACCCACGCGTCGTTTTTTTGGCTGTTGCTTTGCAGCGGGCTTTGAAGCCTTACGCTTACCCGACTAGGGTTGTTGTATAGCCTTTGCAGCGTCGCGATCGCGTCGTTTGGCGTCAAGTTCGGCAGCCTTTACAGCCTTGGCTTCATCCCGCACCTTCTTTGCCTCCTCACGCGCCGCCCGCGCTGCCTCTTTGATCTTAAGTTGATAGATCCTGTTGTTCTCCTTTGCCTCTTTCAACTCTATCTTATCAAGTAGCTCTTTCTCCTTCTCCTTCTCCTTCACTAGCTGCCTAAAGCGGGCCTCTCGAAGCTTGCACGGCGACCACTAAACTGCCCCTGAATAGAACGCTTTTCGCTGCTGTAGATCTAAGGGAGGTTCGTGCCGATTGCGGGGCTTCTGGTGAACGTGTAAGCGCCGCGCGCAGTGCGTCCTTCTCGTACTCGGCGATCTCTTTGGCAGCCTGGAGGCGGAGGAGTATTTCTGAGAGGTTGTTGGCCGCAATAGAGCTCGGATCGTAGGCCTGATTAATGAGGTTCGTGATAGTAGCTCTACTCACGTTCACTAGTGGCGGCGGTGCTGTTAGTGTTGACTTTCGGAACTTTTTAAGTACTACTTCGGGATCTATAGGAGCTATCCCAGTGGCTTTAAATGCCTTCAACGCGTGCTTCTTAATAAAAGAGGAGTCCTAGGCAGGCTTAAAAAGACGGTAGAAGTCATCCTTCCTCACAGCTAAGAGACCGTGGCTCGCCTGGAGGTAGTGCTGCAAGCTGAGTGAGTACGCGGCTGCTAGAGGTTTGAACATTACCACATCGAGTGGCTGCAGCGTATGGGTACTATGGGGGGGTAGTACGAGTAACATAATATTGTGGGCGATCGCGTAGTCAATAAACTCCATAGTAACGTGACTCCCATAGCCGTCAAGGATGAGTAAGCGTGTGTGATTGCCGGCCTTCTCCTTCGTATGGCGATCAAACACCTGTTCGAGCCATGCCAGGCCTACCTAATCATTGGTCCACCCTGAGGGACTTGAGGTAACGTAGACTAGATCGTCAATTGCGATATCATCAACCTATCTGGCGTACATGTTGCCCGAAGTAGCTTCGTATATAATCGCGGGCGGTAACGTACTCCTATTAGCACATATAGCAGCGATAACAGTGATCCAATCTCTGTTGCCGTCCTGTATCACTTTCTTAAAGCCCCCAGTCTCATATTTCTGCTTACTAAACACTCTCTTACTCCTCCCCGTCACTCCAATAAGGAATCCCTTCTCATCCATATTATATACATCCTGCGCCCGAATATAGTGCTGAGCCATTTTAGTAGATAGTAGATCAAAGTACGACTCGTACTTGTATACAGAATCAGCCTGGTGGCGATTGCGGTCCAAACCAGTTGACCAACGTGATATAATCGCGTCGGGATGACGGTGAAAGAAGCGCGTCACCTAGCTTTAGGAGGCAGCCCTTCCGGCTATAGCACTAGCAAAGTTCTAGATTATAGTCCTCGTCGGTGGTAAGCCAGCCTTAGTAAGCTCATTAATGTGCTCTAGAAGCTGTAGCTCCTAGTGTAGGTAAAGGAGTTGCTGATTACGTGATTTGGCTTCATTTGAGCCCCGGATCTGTTGATGGCGTCGCGACAACGTAGAGCGATCAACACCAAAGCGGCGCGCAACCTCAGAGTATGTAAATTTATCTCCGGGATCACGCGATTCAATAGCTTCAATCGCAGCGTTGATACAACTCATAGTTGTGGAGTTATGGGTGGTTGAAGTGGTAAGGGTGGATTGGTGTTGATGTTGCGGGGTGTGCGGCACGCGATTATGGGCATCACGCGCACAGACACGTTAACGGATGCGTATAACGGAGCATGCGACGCCCGAATAGTGTCTTGGTGAATGATGTGACATGCTAATCAGGTGGCCCATATTATCGCCAGGCCACAGCGGACTCGCGAATTGTACTAATGAATTTCTGGCATCGATGTCCGAACTCAGCCACAAGAACTGGAAGACCGGCACCGAACTACAAGAACACGAGGTAATTAGTGGCATCCGGATGGTCCGGCATGCTATACGCTATACGCCCTCTATGCTAAGCATTCATATTTTAGCGTCTCTGACTTATACCGTAAGCTCAATCTCCATGTATACTGATTGGGTGACATTTTGATGTTCCGACATGCCGCACACTAGTCTAATTAATAGCTCTTGCCACGTCTACCATGCTATGCCTGCCATGCCATGCCATTCCTACCATGTCATGCCTGTCCGGTACTTGTTGGCTGTTCAAGTTCCGCGCTTCTGCTCCATCCTGTATTCGTCCCTAGAGGCCCGCGAATCGTCCGACCCTAAGTGATGGCAAAGCATTCATTTCGTTTATTTCTGAGCGCAAGACTATAATTTCAATGTCCCCTCGTCACACTGTCTTTCCAATTCGCAGCACATATATTCCTAGTCGACCGCCCACAACAGTCATAGAATATCTCTCGCCAGCCTCATCAATAACTACTTGTTACACCCCAATACCTACCATCGCAATGACCCAGGTGCCAATCACGCATGACGAGATGGATGAGTTGATTCAACGATACGAAAAGGAGCGCGAAAAGCGCCTCAACAAAGCCGGACTCAGTCAATACATCGACGTTCGATCGGAAGAAATTCAGGATCTTGCCAAAGACCCATGGGTAGACTACAATGACCCGCGGATCCGGAACCCCCCTCTCAAAGACGGGAGTAGCATCAAATTCTTGATCAGTGGTGCTGGACACAACGGAATCCTTTTAGGGTGTCGCTTGGTAGAGGCTGGTTTCAGCGGAAGCGATGTTGTGTGCGTTGATATAGCTGGTGGATTCGGCGGTACTTGGTATGTTTTCTTCCCTTGTGTTTGTAGCGAGGTCACAGCTAATGATGGAATAGGTACTGGAATCGTTATCCTGGACTTATGTGTGATGTAGAGAGTTACTGCTACCTCCCACTCCTTGAGGAGACCGGTTACATTCCCAAGCACAAGTACTCTTTTGGTGCGGAGATACGAGGCCAGAATGAGCGAGCTGCAAAGCATTTCGGCATTCAAGGCCAATTCTGTACGAAAATAGAGTCTCAGATCTGGGACCACGATGAAAAGGTCTGGGTTGTAACAATGACACGTACATTCGGCGAGAACACGAAGCCCGAAACTATCACAGTCTTTGCTGACTTCGTCATGCTTGCTGGCGGCATTCTCAACATACCAAAGATTCCAAAGCTCCCAGGGTGGCAGGAATTTCGCAACAACAAGCGTGTGTTCCATTCAGCTCGTTGGGACTACGACTACACCGGCGGTAACCAGGAACAGCCCGACTTGGTGAAACTCAAAGACAAGACAGTCGCAATAATCGGAACGGGTGCGACAGCACTCCAGATTGTGCCCGAATTGGCGAAATGGGCTAAACACTTGTATGTTATCCAGAGGACACCATCGTACTGCGGATATCGTGGCAACCGCTTGACGGATATAGAACATTTCAAAAGCCTATCGAAGGAGAAAGGCTGGCAGAATAGTCGACGACTTAACTTTAATTCCTGGATCACGAATAATCCTGGGAAATATGGTCCCAATCTGGTGAACGACGGATGGACTCACACACCCGCCGGCGCTGCAGTTTTGGGTTCAAACAAGAGTGTTGTTGGGCCACAAGCTATTGGGGAGCACATCAAATATTTCCAAACCCTTGACCGACCGCGGACTGACCTGTTGCGCAAGCGCGTTGATGACGTGGTCAAGGATAAGGACACTGCCGAGAAGCTGAAGCCATGGTATGGTAGCTGGTGCAAACGCCCTGCCTTCCACGACGACTACCTGGAAGCTTTCAACCAATCCAATGTCACGCTCATCGACACCGACGGCAAGGGTCTGGAGGCATTTTCCGAGAATGGTTTTGTATTCGGCGGCCAAGAGTACGAAATCGACGCTCTTATCCTCGCGACGGGATTTACTGTTAGTATCGATCTAGACGCTTCTGAGAGACTCAGTGCGGTCATCAAAGGTGACAATGGAGAAACGATGTCTCGCAAATTTCAGACCGCGAGAAACCCACCAATTTTTGGCGTTGCGATGACCAACTTTCCCAATCTCTTTGGTTACTTGGGCCCCGGGAGTGCAGGTTCCTGGAATTTCACTTCAGTCTATGACGCCCAAGCGAAATACATCGCACAAGTGCTTAAAAAAGCACATATGCTGTCAAAGGATGGTCAGAAAGTCTTCATTGAAGTCGACCCGGTAAGCGAAGAGACGTGGGGCAATGAAATTGCAAAACACGCCACTTGGTTTTCCATACTTCAGACTTGCACTCCTGGCTACTTTACTTCAGAGGGAGAGATAAGAGCCACTGAAGAGGAGGGCATGGAAAAAATGCTCAGGAAGGCTAGATTCGCAGTCTGGGGCCCTGGTATAGTCGATTACCAGGAGAGGTTGGAAGCCTCCGCGGCTAAGCCTGGTATCGAACATTTCGATGTTTCAGTCTTGGCTTGATAGGATATCTGGCATACATGCGCAATTAGACACTCCCCTCTGTTCAACTAATAGATAATCAACAACGAGCAAACCTCCAGGCTTGGCTGGGCTATTTCTTTTTAATAAAAACGCTCAAGCGGTCCCATACCAAACTTGGTTCCGAGCGAAAAGCGAGTCACCGTCTAAATTGATGAAATTCATTGTAGTTCTGAAAATACGTTGTCGTGATCAATCATGAATTTGTCCATACGGTACCCCACGGATGACCTACTAACTCTGCCAAGACCCCCCCCCCCCCCTTTCTCCAGATCAAGTTTATTGAGCCAACGGTATTTGTCAAAAATTTAATGTAATCTTCTACATACGACCATAGGATCTTGAGAACAAGGCTTCCCGTTCGCTCAGCCCTATTTAAGCAAGATACCGGCGGATTAGTAATTAGGTGGGTGACCACTAGTGAATACCCGCTGTTGTATGTTTTAGATTCATTTTTTTTGTCTAGACCCTTTTCCTAAGCTATGCTTAGACTTCTGTCTATGGTGTTCTTAAATATCGTAGTAGTACTTTCAACTGCGGTTCTATTTAGTGCTCTTCGCACTCAACTTTAAAATATTTTTGAGTGCCTGTTGGTTGCTCTTAGTTTCGAGCCACCGTACGTACGTGGCGAGCACGTGACTACGTGCGTGGCCCGTGCCGTGGGGTGGGATTCAGTTCGTACGCGAGCTGCAGCCCACCTCCTCTAATCAATCATAACCATCTACTTCAACTCGTTGCAACGATCGTTACTTGATTCAACCTCACCTTTGCCGTATCAACAGTGCCTTAATATTGTGGATTAACATCTTCGGATGGATTAGAAGTACCAAAAACTGTATCTATTACAACAGTGTATCCATTTGTTGTTTTATATGAATAACTGCGAGGAACATCCTTGGTGATCATGTCTCATTGGCGTGGCACATAGTCAGCCGCAGCTGAAAATATCTTGCTGCTAGACGCCCAGCCGCAGCTGAACATCATTATAAGGGTGAATAGACTACTCAGGAGTCTATGAGTCACTTATCCTTAATTCAATTCAGCATGTCGTCTTTACACCATTCTTCACTCCGTCAATATGACACGCCATATCAGTCTGTCCAACAAACAGAGTGTACAGTCCATCCGCATGCACAGTCCGCAACAATCAATTAAGTGGGTCCTAGAAGGTTCAGATTGGATTGATTGATTACCGCTTTAAGCCTAGTAGTTACCTATAGGAGTTTAAGCCCTACCTAGATAGGTAAGTGGGTCTAGGAGAGTGACCGGATTGAATTGATTGTTGCGGAGTCTATCCGCATGTCGCGCCAGAGAACGATTCCGGTGGTACCGAAGGTTCTTTTCGCTCAGACCAATGGGCCATTGGTTGGGCAACACCGCTCATCATGGTCTTTTGCTTTCTCATCGCGACTACAACAGCAGTTGGACATTACTGCTATTGCTTGTACCTGAATCGCAAATTTGTTGAGGACACAATTCCCCAAGACCGGAACACCGCCATATCCATGAGCTTTGCCCGTTTATTTTCTACAGCCCTAGCAACTTCTGCGTCTACCGCTTTCACGCAGCTTCTCTGGTGGTTCCTTCGTCATCGCTCAATACCAGACTTTCCAAAAAGCAAGTTGACTTGGATTACTTGCTTGACTTGCTTGGTTTAAACCAAGCAAGCAAGTCAAGTAAGAGCTGGGCAGCTAAGCAAGCAAGTCAAGTCAAGATACTTTGCTTGCTTGGCTTACTTGGTTTACTTGGTTGTTTTAGCGTTACTGTGATGAGGGTGCTAAAACTGCTGTACGGTAGATGTCGCGATGGTTTTGAAGTGTTGCAGTTGCCTCGGTTGAGTCCCAAACAGGCTAAGCGGCTATCAAATAACGTTAGCCTTAGTCTAGCGCATTGCTCCAATCTCGACGTACGCCTGTCTAGAAGCCTATCGCAATGCAGTATCCCCTATAGCAACGCGTTTTCCAGTGATTTATACTGCCCTGATACCCCCAATATGGCCAAACGTCGCCTACCACAAACTTCTGCTCGGAGCAAACGTACGAAAGTAGCCGCTGCCACCAACAACGTCGCCTCAACTCCTGAGGCTTCACCTGAGCCTGCATCTAAGCCTGCATCTAAGCCTAGACCTCAGCGTCGATCACCTCGCAAAACCCTAGCTGCCGCAAGCCAGGCTAACGCCTCGCCGCCAATACCTACCTTCGAGTTGCAGTTCTTAGAGTCGCAGGCGGAGGCTGAGATTGTCGCGCCCACCGAGGGCAGCCGAGCTGGCACGGTGGCTACAACTGAGGCTGGAGAGGGTGGTCAGGATGAGACAAACAGCGCACTAGTTGAGAACTTTGACGGCATTGACTGGGCACGTTTACCTGATTTTATCAAGCCATTGGCGCGTTCTAAGCGCCCAAAAAGTTGGATCTTTCAGTATGGCTACCGCGTTGTTGAGCGCCATGCTACATCTCGAATCTGGTTTGTGTGCAAGTACTGCCATGTACACAAAACTATCGACGCTGGCCGTGGTGGTTTGTTTAACATTACTCAGGCTACAACCTCAGCAGCCACCCATCTCAGCCAACCAAAGCCTGGCCACAACCTTACGAAAGATGGCCCAAAGTTAGCGCAGAGAGCTCGAGGCCAGCTGTCGTTGCGGCAAGCTTTTGACGCTGGTTTAGACGTACAACAAAACACTGCTAACGCGTTTGGAAACTTCGACGTAGAGGGCTTTCGAACAGCCACTGTCATGTGGCTTGTTAACCGAAACCACCCGCTCAGCGAACTTACGACGCCTGATTTTAGAGAGATGATGAGATTTGCCAACCCAGAGGCAGAGGCAGCGTTGTGGGTAAGTAATACCAGCGTTTCTACCTTTGTGATGAGGTTGTTCCGGTCTATACGACCGCAAGTTATCGACACCCTGTCAGGCTCAGTAAGCAAAATACACGTAAGCTTTGATGGCTGGACAACAAAGGGTGGTAAACGTGGCTTCTCTGGAGTAGTCGCTCACTTTGCCGACGCAGCTGGAATAATACGAGACTTACCAATCGATCTGCCTGAGCTCGCTGGCGCCCACACCGGTGAGGCTATTGCCAAAGCTATCTCGACGACGCTCTCAGCATACGGAATAACAAGCGACCGATTAGGCTATTTTGTACTCGACAACGCTACCAACAACGACACTGCGATCGCCGCGCTCGCGCGCGAGTACGAATTTGAGTCCGCTCACCGGCGCCTCCGCTGCAGTTGTCACACGCTTAACCTCATCGGCCAGGCTATTATATTTGGCACCAACAAAGACGCCTACGGCAACACTCAAGAGCAGTACAATACCGAGGAGCAGTATATGCGAGAGTGGCGGAAAGATGGCCCTATTGCAGTGCTAGTTGACGTCATCAACTATATCAAAACGCCGCAACAGTACGAGCTTTTTCGTGCTACCAGCGCCTTGCCAACAACAACCTGCCTGCTGAGGGCGTCTCAAAAGTACTCGAGCCAGTCAAGC